GGCTGGAAGATCATACAACCCAGGCCAAAGAACAAGAACATGTAACCGGTACCCGAGTTCAAGTTCCCAAGCGAGATCCCAGTCTCTTCAGAGATGTTGGTCAGCACAGAGTAGATAGCAGCAGAGGGAATACCAACACCATAAGTGTAAACAACCATACAGAACACCGACATCCACTTACGGCGCGGAGTCCAGTTCAGCGGGTCATCCGGGTCGTCAGATGGCGTGGGAATCAGCACAATCTTCTTGTTCCCTGACGAGTGACGGGCAGCCATGCTGCCGTCGAGGTCCACAAGGTTCGTGTTGCCCGGTATAGATTCGTAGTTGATAGCGTGGTGTCCACCCATTTCGCCGCTTGTATTCAATAGTAAGTGTCTTGAAGGAAGTACAGCTGTTTGATACTGCCAACCCGCTCTTGTGACTTGGAAAAACAGGAGTGCCTGTGTGCTTTTATACGCACTTCCGCACTGATAGAGATGAATCCAATAGTAGATGTGTTCTTGATTTAGCGCAGGTCTGATACCGCTACATCCTACCTAAGATAAACAATCAAAGGCGGGAAAAACTCCCCCAGTTGTGCACCACGATAAGTACAAGCTGCATATAACATTTTCTGTTCGCTGTGCCAAATACCGGTGGTGGCCACTCAGGCTTTGGCCTTCGCTCGTGGGGGCAAGAGGCAGTATCACGATCACGATCACGATCACGATCACGATCACCAGCACCTGATCTGGTCGCCCAAGGTTAGTCCATCACTATATCGGATGGGCCTGGAGGAGCCTGGAGGTGGTGGTGCACAGAGATAAGTGCGACTGTTCACTTTGGAGATGTGATCTGTGTGCTCTGTACCACATGTACAATGACATGCATATGAGCAGGTGTGGCCGAGAATAGGCCCCAAATTGTTAGGTAGAGCCCCGTCGTTAGGATTCCGTCGCCTACACCATATCATTTCCCTTTTCGTCACCCGCTCTCCAGAGGAGGCACACAGGTCAAGAGTCGTGTCCAAGTGGACTGGAGATTGTTGGAGACAGGATCGTTGATAGGCAGAGCCTGGCAGGACGGAGTGTGTCGATAAAGAATGTGCGATCAGTTAGAGATCGGCATTGATTCTTATCTGGATGCCGCCAGGCTTGTTGAGAGTATAGCACCCCTTATCTTGAGTGACGATATAGGGATCATGAGTAGTAATGGCGCGTATGTCTGCAATGCGTTGGAACGGTGGGTTGGCTATCGAATGTAGTAGTACACACACGGTGTGCGGTTGAGATTGATGCCATGTAATACATTATCTACAGCTTGTTCAAGAATAGGGATTCCGAATGCCATAAAGCAAAAGCAAGTTATATGAAGACAGCGCATAGCAGTGATCTGTCCAGGAGAACATCAAGTCCTCTGGTGTCACTCTGCAAGCCATGGCTACTTGTCAATCCCCAACTGACGTTTAAAACGTCAATTACGGAATCAAGAGCGCGTGCGTGGGACATCTCTTCAACGTTTAGGAGCATGTTCACCACGAACTTCCTTTGGTTGTCATTGATCAAGCTCAAGCCAACTATGAACAGCGACCAAGTTAGAATTAGCGAAATCCGTGAACTTAGAGGGATTTGGAACAAACGAGGCATTATATAGTCAATGTCTCTTTGAACGTCTGGATCGTATTCGGACAGCGTAGGATCAACAACCTTACGAAGTACGATGCTCGAAGCTCTAATGACAATCTCAGCAACTTTAACAGATTCCTTGAGATTGGCGTATTTTCTCTCGTTGACACGGATCTCTGGGGGGATAATCGGGGTTGGATAGAATTTAGCAATGTCCAAGAGCTTCTTTGCACAGTCCATCGACCACTGTGAACGTGCAGTCCTGATCAAATAAGAAGCTTTGGCAGCAACCTCAAATGCGTCAGATGCAGCCCCAAGGACCGGGTTATTCATCCAAACCACATCGCAGCTGAATAAAGGTGTCTTCAGATACGCCTTCAAGATCTTGAAAACTTCGAATGGGTTCGGGTAGTTCTCAATATCGTGCGTGGTTAAAATGCTAACAGAGTAGTTGTAAAGGAAGCTCTCGATAAACATTCGTTCAAACTGTTTGCCGAAAAGAGCATTTCTTCTGCTGTTTTCATAGCCAATCAGCGTGTTCTTGATTTCCAATTTCAGGCTATTGGAGGAAACATCCTCGAAAAAGCCGTCGTTTGGTAACTTGGGTCCTTCGAGCCTTTCCACTTCAAGACTCTTCTGTCTTCTGCTGACCTTAGCCTTGATCAGTTTGTAAGAGTTCTTCAAGTTAGTTGCACCAACTTTGTTATCGCAATGCGATGTAACCTTAGCACCTAAACATAGCAGTTGGAAAGCAGCGCCTAGCCAAATTTCATCATGTTCGGCTATCGGTCTACTATCAACATATTCCATTATGCCAAGGATGGCAGCCTGGTACTTCTTGACACTCAGATCTATGAGATTGGGTGATGACCAGCTCAGAAAGGCACAACCACAGGCTTCTCCAACCTTTTCGATAACCCTGTTTCTTCTAAGAAGTGGCGTGAAAGTTGCGTTTGTTGTCAAGAGCGGATGTGTATATTGGGGTCCTACCGATGTGATAAACCCATTTACACATGCATCCATGAACAGTTGGTTCTCTGTTGGACGCAACATCTGTAATGGTAATATCCTTAACAGATCAACATCCATAGGCTCAATCATATTGGAGCTGTTAGTTCTTGTAGATACCACCATACATGTCTCGTTGTCCAGCGATTCGTACTCTTCCGGTGACAGCGGCTCCACCGCGGGTGACAAATGTGGAAAGTCGGATAGATTTGAGCATGGTGGAGATAGTTCAAGCTTCACTTCTTTACCAACGGGGTCGGCGTTGCTTGTAGCGATTTTCTTCCTCTTGTGAAGTACAGTAACAGGAGATGGTATTTGGTACGCTTTAGGAAGTCTCTCCTTGCCTTCGGGCCATACACACTCAACCCCCCTTGATAGACAGGAGGAGCATGACGGTTTACACTCATCACATTTTTTCTTCCTCTTGCGGCCTGGACAAGATGTCTATCGTTAGTACTCCACTGAGCGCAAGTTGATGTTAAAGCACACTCACAGCTGAGACACCCCATTCTGGACCGCTTGACCTTTGCTCTGGTCAGTTTGGCTTTTGATCGTGGGTTTTCAAACTTGATAACCATCTGGAACGGTAGTTTCCCTGGTATTGTAGTCATTATGCTAACCAGTCTGTTGTGTATTCTGGTTATACGTGTCTAATGCTCTGTAGCTCTTCACCAAAACGGTTATATCGACAGTTCAATCAGCGAGTATATGATGGGAAAAGGTTCTTGGGATATCAATTCATCGGGATTTTTCCCTCCTTCTAAAGATCACCGAGCACCACCTCAACCGTTCCGTCTTCTTCTACACACCACACGGTGCAATGGATCAACAGAAGATAGGCAACTTCTGAGGCTGGGGGTGGGGGGTTGTGCAGCGTTCCAGAATTTACGTCAGGCGTGCGAATATTTACGCACCACGAACTGTGAGGCTAGGGGATGGTTTATTATGGAGTTTATCGTTCGCCTGTTCTGGGCCCTGAGTTCATGCGCTAAAGAGCCAAAGAATGGGTCTATAATACGTGGGAATCTACCCCACACGTAGTTGGTGGTATATTTGGAGTACGCTGTACCGTCAAGGCTGGGCCTCCTTACCAATTGGCGTGTAATTATATCGGCAAAGCTGGTTCTGGTACTTTGCCGGTGTTTCATCATCAGTTTCACACGTTACGCATTGCACGCGCACACCGTTGCACGCTGACAATGAACCAATGTTGTAGTAAGTACATACGTAGTGGTGGTGGCACAGTTATTGGTAGAGTTTCATACTCAATGGACTTCGTTGGTACGAGTTGCTGGCAGAGAGCCCATTCCACAGAACTTTATCGGTGCTGATAAACCCCAGATTAACAAGAGTTTCGGACAAAACGCACAAACTGATAAGAGACTAGCTATGTAGATTCCTGACTTGCGGTGCAATATACCGTAAAACTATATGACGTTGGTGTTGTTGACTAGCTTCCGAAGCAGTTGACTTCTAACGAAGCCAATGAACCGCTCAAGCGACACGGTTTCTTTCCTGATAGGGAAACGGAACAACTGATTGTCCTTGCTGGTGCTCAGATCGATGCCACGGCTGTTCCTCAGATTGAGATGACTGTTACATAGCAATAGGGCCGGTTCGCAGTGTACTCTGCCACTACATGCAGTACCCAGCTGGAGATTGTAACTGGAAAACGTGGGACTATGCTAAATATAGTGCCATGTATCTTGGATCTTACGTCACATCTTGTTGTTGTTGTTGTTGTTTTATCTTACAGGCGAGGCTAAGGCCCCACAGGGTGCTTTTTCACAAGCGCATTTCCTAATGCGGAAGAAATTTACCCATGCGGAGAGAAGAACTATGTGATCTGTGTATCACAAATTTCAATCAAAGGCGTGCACTTGGTGGCGTATCGGTGAATGAATCCGATATTTGGACCTATCGAAGACCACCAACGAGCCACGCGGTTCGCCCAAACATGTTCATCAGCTATCAAAAAATGGATTCCAGCAGAAATTTTATCATCGTTCATAGCGAGCAGTGTAGCCGATTACCCATTTTGGTCAATGGAGTTGATAAAGCAACCACAAAGTAGGTAGCCGCTGAAAGCCAACGATAAATATAAATATCACCAATATTCGTAGATACATAATAAGCTTTAGTTATTGCTAGTCGCTACAACCATCTCCGAAATATCCTGAACTGCGAATCACGAAATGACAACTGCACAAGTCTTCTTCGATCATCGCACTGAAAAACTCACCAGTGAAGAAACCCACTACAAAGGTGACCCAGAGCGTTACGAGAAGGAATGGGTTCCGCTGATCAAGGCGTACAATAAGGCACGTGAGGATGCTATTCCAAAGGAATATCTAGCGCCTAAAGGGCTCTTGCCTGAAGGCGACCTTGACTATGCACCATTCGATGCCACCACGGTTCCTGCAAAGGTCCTTGACCCTAAGTCTCTGGCAATCACTGAACTCACCGCTGTTGAAATTGCAAAGAAGATCAAGGCCAAAGAACTCACGGCGGTTCAAACAATCACCGCATTCATCAAGAGGGCAACAATTGCTCATCAGTTGACCAATTGCGCCATGGAGGTTCTGTTTGAAGAAGGGCTGAAAAGAGCTCAGGAACTCGATTCATACTACGAGACAACAGGTGAATTGGTTGGTCCATTGCACGGTGTTCCGGTGTCTTTGAAAGAGCACTACAACTACGCAGGACGTGTTACAACCTGTAGTTTTGTTGCATGTTTGACCAATATTACACCGGAGTTCTCACTCACCAACCAAATCCTTTATGACCTTGGTGCAGTGTTCTACATCAGAACCACAGAGCCTCAATGCTTGATGCATTTGGACTCTGAGAACAACATCACGGGTCGTGCAAGAAATGCACACAAGCTTTCTATGTCTCCAGGTGGATCGTCCTCTGGTGAGGGTGCATTGATCGCAATGAAAGGTTCTCCGTTAGGTGTTGGTTCAGATATTGGTGGTTCAATTCGTTCCCCATGTGCATTCAACGGCATCTGGGGTATGAAACCTTCTAATAAGAGAGTTTCTATGAAAGATGTCATGATGGCACCAACTGACACGTGCAATGAGATGATTGTCTGCTCTTTAGGTCCAATGGCCAACTCGCCAGAGGATTTGGATCTTTTTATGAAGTCTTATCTCAGCAAGAAGCCATGGAATGAGGATGCTACTTGCATGCCAATTGAGTGGAGAACTGTTCCAACTCCAAAGCCTTCGGAGTTGACCATTGGTATTTGCTACGATGATGGTGTCGTGAAGCCACATCCACCTGTGCTTCGTGCCTTGAAGGAGGTTGAAAAGAAGTTGAGGGCAGTAGGTATCAACGTTGTCTCTTGGGAGCCACACAGAGTCTATGAAGCTGTTGAAGTGGCTTTTGCATCCTACACTGCAGATGGTAACTACACTGCAATCAACAGATTGGCTGCATCTGGTGAACCTGTTGTTCCTCTAACTGACCATTACTTACAGATGGGTAAAGGTGACAAGGGCCTTTCCACACTTGAACAACACTTTTATACCAACACCAGGGAAGCTTTGCGCCAGGAGTACCTTGATTTATTCAACAAGAGAGGCGTTAACTTCGTTCTTGCACCAACATACGTTGGTGTCGCACCTAAACCGTCCACCATCAAATACTGGGGTTATACTGCCTTGTGGAACATTTTGGACTACACCTGTGTCACTTTCCCATCTGGGATCAGTGCTTCAAAGGAACTGGACCCTGCAGAGGACATTGAACCAAGAAATGAGTATGAAGCCTATGAGTATGGCTTGTACAACGCAGAGGATGCGGATGGGCTGCCAGTTGGCTTGACGCTAGTTGGTAGACGTTATACTGAAGAGGAAACTTTGAAAGCTTCCACGGTTATTCGTGACGCTTTGAAAGCGTAATTGACTTAACACATTGTATAAGTCATGAAGTTTACAAATTGGTTGTTATACAAGAAGAATATACTAAACTATGTGTAGCTGTGCTGTAGTGTTTTCAGTGGAGTTTATGTCTCTTACTTAATCAGAGGTGGTGATAGCGCCCGGTTCATAAGCGCCACCCTTAACATTAATATGGCTGTCAACTTTTGAGAAGCACGAGAGCCATAGTTACTACACAGAATGAAATCAAGAAGGACATCATCCACTGGCGTGAACACAGCCAGTGTACCACCAAAGACCCAGCAAAACAGTGGGAAGTCCACGCGCCGTCGAAACATAGCGAAAGCTCAAAAGTCGAAGTCGACAGAGCCTTCTACGAGCATTTCAGCCTCTTCTAGCGAAGAAGGCAGCATAACAACAGCACTTGATCACAAATCGACAAAGCAAAAGGTTGGAGAAGACGATATTTCGACATTAACCGCTTTTCAGACTTCTCAGCTTTTGGAACTGGATCTATACGCCAGAGGACGGAGATCTGTTCCAACTACTCCCCGTAGCACTTTCTCAGAGCTCTTGAGCATGTGCTATGGTGAAGAAATGCACCATGATTCTGACACATCTCTACCATCATGCTGTTTCAAGAAAGACCATTCAGTTGAAATAGTCCAAGATTTGTCACAGAGTTTCCAAATGATACAGATTGTTGGCCTGGGCATGAAACTGAAACAACTAATCACACGAAGATTGGATTAGATCACAAGGAAGTTACTGAGCTATGTTTACTGTGCAGAATAGATGAAGGCTGGACTAACCAATTCCAACTATGGCCAACCTATGTATTAAGCTAGATTAATGCGTTGTTGTAGATGCGTCACAGCTTCTCTCCCACGTTTTGATGGAACAACTCCACGGGCTGCGCAGTTCCCAAAGTTGTTAGCCAGGCTTAGCAACCCATAGCTTCAGAGCAGCAGGGTGATGTGTACATAAAAGCCAACCACAGTGTTCGATGGAAGCGGTTGACTTGTCTCTCTATCCATCGAAAGAAGCATGCATCGTAGAAACTTCCCGATTAGGAATATTACGTACTAAACTTTATTTTCCTCTTTACCAAACCAGCTCGTAATAATAAACAACAAATTCTGAAAATTTATAACACGCCGTTATAGTATAGTGGTTAGTACAGGTCGTTGTGGCCGACCAGACCCAGGTTCGATTCCAGGTAACGGCACTTGTTTTTTTTTGCTTCGCCCGCGGTCGTGATCGTGCGTGTCGCGTAGCCACCACAACGTCACATAGACCGCATTACACACGCTCATGTGTGTTCAATTACCTTCCAAAGTCTCCAGTCTCGAACACAGCAGTGCACCAACAGCGCACCAACAGCGCTGTGATCATCCAAATATTGGCCCAATTGGCGTTATCGGCGAAGTAAAACACGCGTTGACGTGATTTAATTCCAGACACGCGACTCAAAGTTTACGCAGAAAACGGCGCTGCAGCTCCCGCTGTTTCTATTTTAACCTTGATTTGGCTTTTTGTGCTCTTGTCGGGGTTCCTCGAAAATCTCACATGTGTAATATCTTTTCTTGCAAAAGGAACTTCATTTGCAAACGAATACGCATCTCGTTTGGGAGTGAATTTTTTTCTCTCTTGTTAGGAAAATACACAGCTTCTTTGAAAAGAGCCGTGACATTGCTTTCTATTTCCAAGTATGACTGGCCAGCTGTTGGAGAAAGTGGATCTTGGACTCCAGTTGCTGTTCATTGCAGCGACTACGATGGTCTTATTGGCAAAGTTTAATACCGGGCTTTCTGGGTTCCTCAAATACGGCAAGACGCTCTCATCAGGCGTACAGGTACGACAGCAAAGCCACGATGGGCGATTTGTGGAGGAGGCTCCGTTTGGATTTATCGTTAGAATGACACTTGATCTCAAGGTACCCAAGTTCTGGTTCTTTCACTTCTACCTCTTGTCTTTGGTGCTATCGACTGTCGGCTTCATCATCACGCATACGAGGCTTCGGACCAAGGATACCACGCATCCCTTCACGCTACCTGACATCCAAAACGTTGGCACGATACCGCTCGAGATCTCACGTCTGGCGTTCTTTCTCATAATTGGGCATTCTTCCCGGAGATTCTTCGAGACGTTGCTCATCTTCAAGTATAACAGGACTTCCAAGATGAACATAACACACTACCTCGTGGGCATCTTCTTCTACACTGCAATAAACCTGCAACTTTTCCTCAACACCGACTTCAAGGTCACACAGAAGGCCAAACCGGACATTGTGCTGTTCCTATCACTCCTGCTGTTTCTGGTGGCATCGACAGATCAATTCCTCAACCATGCACACCTTTCCGGTATTAAAAAGTATCGAATTCCAAGATACGGCTTGTTCCAACGGATTGTATGTGCGCATTACTTGGATGAAATATTTATATACCTTGCTGTCTTTGGAGTTCTAAGGACAAGGACGTCATTTCTTGCCCTGGTATTTGTGATTGTTAACCTATCAATATCAGCAATTGAAACCAGAAACTACTACAAGTTGAGGGAAGAAGGGAAAGTACCCAAATGGTCCATCATTCCATTTTTTATATAGACCGCGTATATTTATACTACTGAGTGAACGATCTCTTTACTATATACATATTCTTTACTGTTCAAATCTCTTGAAGAGTACAGAGGTGTTGATTCCACCAAACCCGAAACTGTTTGACAGTGCGTAGTTGATCTCTTTTTCAACAGGCTTTGGTCCAACAAAGTTCAACTGGAAGGCACGGCCATCAGAGTCGACATCAGGATCCTCCAGGTTCAACGTTGGAGGACAGACCTGGTCATGTACTGCCAGTGTGGTGAATATCCCCTCCACAGCGCCGGCTGCTCCAAGGAGATGTCCTGTAGACCCCTTTGTAGAGGATATATGGAAATGGTTGTTGTCCTTCAGCATGACTTGTAATGCGCGTGCCTCGATAGAGTCACCCATAGCAGTTGATGTGGCATGTGCATTGACATAGTCAATGTCATTGGTTGTATGATCTCTCAGTGCAAGCTTCATGGCTCTAATAGCACCGCTTCCATGGGGATCTGGCGCAGTCATGTGATAACCATCACCGGAGAGACCGTATCCAACAACTTCAGCGTATATCTGCGCACCTCTTTGTTTGGCATGTTCCAATTCTTCCAAGACTAAAACACCACATCCTTCACTGAGCACAAAGCCGTCACGATTCTTGTCGAATGGTCTAGAGGCCTTTTCAGGCTCATCGTTCGACTTTGTAGAGAGTGACTTTGCCCTAGAGAAACCAGCAAGCGCCAGTGGAACGACACCTGTTTCCGTGGCTCCTGCAACCATCACTTGGGCGTAGTCATCCTTGATAAAGCGATACGCATCACCAATGGCATGATTACCTGTAGCACACGCTGTACTGACGGTATGGTTTGGACCTTTGAGTCCATATGTCATTGAAACAACACCAGAAGCCATGCTTGGCAATGCCTTTGGAACAAAGAGCGGTTGAACTTTTCTGTAGCCGCCTTCGTGGTAGATCATGGACTGTTCATAAACTTCTCCAAAAGCTCCAATGCCAGTCCCTATACAAACACCAGTGCTTGCCTGCTCGTCATCAGTCTTTGGTTCCCATTGAGCATCTAGGAGCGCCTCTTTCGCAGCGACAATTGCATATTGGGTAAGTAATGCATACCTTCTGGAGAGCGATGGTGGCAAATGGTCGTCTGGATTCCATTTTCCTTCTGATATGCTCCCCTTCGGCACAGCACCGACAACTTTTGAAGGGATGAGGTCGTATTCTGGGTTGTTCAGTGTCTTTGTTGAAACAATGCCGCTTTCACCAGCCAATAGCCTTGCCCAGTTTCTCTTGACCCCAACCCCAAGAGGCGAAACCATACCCAATCCTGTGATCACAACTCTTCTTGCCTGTGACATGGTGCAACTCGTCTATCTGCTATGGTAATACCGCCTATGGACTATGCTAGACGTGTGACTTGTGGACGAGGAGCAATTTCTTTTGGGACCTGGAGGCTGGGGCACGAATTCCCCAGCACCGGATTTGTCTGGCGATGGGCACCACCAGCTAAACCAACCTGTGTCAATGTTGTTCGCCGGAGCCGAGGCTACACCTGTGAGAACCACACCACCATACCGTTTGAACACCATAGGCGTTGAAATCTGGAACGGTTAGGGTGTTGATGTTGCTACATGGGCTGTTCACCTAAAGATTATGGATATAGTTATTGTTGTTGTCATGGCAACGAGGATTTCACCACTCCCGCGGGCAAAAAAAAGAAAACGAGAGTGCCCCACGTGGGGCTCGAACCCACAACCGTACGATTAAGAGTCGTAAGCGCTACCGATTGCGCCAGCGAGGCTACTTCGTTGAAAGCAGATTCTCACGGTTTTCCGAGTGAAGAGAACGCCAACTACGACGGGTTATGAGCACGCTCATGTATTCCGTCGTAGTTGGTTTGTTGTGTGAGCAGACGCGCGAACCACCTGAGCTGAGGAGGACTCACCAGCTGGAGGCCTCATCAGGTATAAAGAACCAATTCAACAGCCCCGGTGAAGTCGTAAAGGAAAATCCACAGTAGACGCTAAGTGCTCACTGATTGATGGCAAGTTACTCTGTAATATACGCATCACCGGGCCCGAAGCCAAACCATTTCCTTTGTATTTTTCCCACACTCTGAGTGCTTACTTTCTGACGCGCACTGGTGGAAGATGAGAGCTTAACCGGCAGCCATATAAAAGGCCCAACTACACGCAATCAATCGCTGTTTTCATTCCAGTAGCAAAGACCCAAAGGGCTTAAAGCGTTTTCTGCTCAAAGTAAAGCAACACGTACAATTCTTCAACCAATTTCAAGGCGAATTTGGTCGAGTGCTGCTAGTTAGAAGGAAAATAAAGTGTCTGCCTACGCTCACAAGGTGAAAAATTATTGGCGGCGTGCTGTGAAAAATTTAACGGCCAAAGCTGAAAAAAATTGTCAAAGCGACAAAACCATAGACGAAACCTTTCTTTAGACAAAGTCGTGTCACGCTAATCTCCAAGGTTTTTACTTCCAGGTTTGTCTGTGTTGATTAGTCTTAGAATGACTGAAGCAAAGACCATTGTTCTCGAGAACGTGAGTATCCCGCTGTTTTTTATCGTTTTGTCCCTGCCTGTGTGGGAGCCACTTGACACATCACCTCACAGGCAGCGGCTCTGATCAGGTTGTCAGAGAAATGGCTCTATACACACCAATCATATCAGCACAGCGGTACTAACAGGCTTGTTTCTCGATTAGACTGCGAGAAGAGATACCCTTATCGGTATTGAAAAGAAATACCAGGCTCTCTGGGCTGAAGAGAAGCTCTTTGAGCAAAACGCTCCTACTTTGGAGGAGGAGAACGTCGAAATCTCCATCGATGAGCTCCACAAGAAGTATCCAAAGTTCATGTCCTCCATGGCTTATCCTTATATGAACGGTGTCCTCCACGCTGGTCACTGTTTCACTTTGTCCAAGGTGGAGTTCAGCATTGGTTTTGAACGTATGAGAGGTAAGAGAGCATTGTTCCCATTGGGTTTCCACTGTACTGGTATGCCAATCAAGGCGTGTGCCGATAAGTTGGTCCGTGAAGCTGAAATGTTTGGTAAAGATTACAGCAATGTTCCAGCTGAGGAGGAGGAACCAGAGGCTGAGAAGCCAAAAGAACAAACGCCACAAGCCAAATCTGAAGATGGTAAGTTCAAAGGTAAGAAGACCAAGGCTGCTGCAAAGCAAGGTCGTGGTAAGTACCAATTCGAGATTATGCTTCAACTCGGTATCCCAAGAGAAGAGCTGTACAAGTTTGCCGACCCATACTACTGGCTCGAGTACTTCCCACCTCTCTGTCAAAGTGACTGTGAGAAGTTCGGTGCCAGAATCGACTGGCGTCGTTCCATGATCACCACTGATATGAACCCATTCTACGATCAATTTGTTAGATGGCAAGTTCAAAGATTGAAAGATATCGGTAAGATCAAATTTGGTGAGAGATACACCATCTACTCTGAAAAGGACGGTCAACCATGTATGGATCACGATAGACAATCCGGTGAAGGTGTCACTCCACAGGAATACGTTGGTATCAAAATTCAAATTACAGAGTTCTCTGATCCAACCGTTGCTGAATCTCTCGACAGCTCTAAACCTGTTTACTTAGTGGCTGCTACTTTACGTCCTGAGACCATGTACGGTCAAACTTGTTGTTTTGTTTCTCCAAAGATTGATTACGGTATCTTTGACAATGGTAAGGAATACTTCATTACCACTGAGCGTGCTTACAAGAACATGTCGTACCAAAAGATCACTCCACAACGTGGTGATTACAAGCCAACCGTTGTTGTCAGTGGTAAGCGTTTGATTGGTTCTAAAATCAAGGCCCCATTGGCACAATTCGACGAGTTGAGAGTCTTGCCTATGGAGACTGTTCTCGCTACAAAGGGTACTGGTGTGGTTACATGTGTTCCATCCGATTCCCCAGATGATTACATCACCACCAAGGATTTGCAGAACAAGCCAGAGTACTATGGTATCGACAAGGATTGGGTTAGAGATCCAGTGCCACTCATTAAGACTGAGAAATATGGTAACATGTGTGCTGAGTACTTGTGTAAGGAGCTCAAGATTCAATCTCCAAAGGATTCCATTCAATTGGCTAAAGCTAAGGAGGCCGCCTACAAGGAAGGTTTCTACAGTGGTATTATGGATGTCGGTCCATACAAGGGCGAGAAGGTTGAAGTTGCAAAGCCAAAGGTTAAGGCTGATTTGATTGCTACCGGTGAGGCCTTTGTCTACTCTGAACCAGAGTCTCAAGTGGTTTCTCGTTCTGGTGATATCTGTATCGTTTCTCTCGAAGACCAGTGGTATGTTGATTACGGTGAGAAGGACTGGAAGTCTCAAGCTGTTGAAGCTTTGGAATCCATGAACACTTTCACTACAGAGACAAGAAATGGTTTCGAAGGTGTTTTAGACTGGTTGAAGAACTGGGCCGTTTGTCGTACTTACGGTTTGGGTACCAGATTGCCATGGGACGAAAAGTACTTGGTCGAGTCTCTTTCAGATTCTACCATCTACCAAGCTTATTATACAATCTCCCATTTGTTGCACACCGACTACTATGGTAAAGACTTGGGCAAATTCGGTATCACCCCAGAGCAAATGACAGCTGACGTCTTTGATTACATCTTTTTACGTAAGGAAGACATCAAGACAGAGATCCCATTGTCTGCCTTGCAAACTTTGAGAAGAGAATTCGAGTACTTCTACCCATTGGATGTTTCTATCTCTGGTAAGGATTTGATTCCAAACCATTTGACTTTCTTCATCTACACTCACACTGCTATCTTCCCAAAGAGATTCTGGCCAGCAGGTATCCGTGCTAACGGTCACTTGTTGTTGAACAACAACAAGATGTCAAAGTCCACCGGTAATTTCATGACTTTAGAGCAAGTTGTGGAGAAGTTCGGTGCTGATGCTTCTCGTATTGCATTGGCCGATGCCGGTGATACTCTCGAAGACGCTAACTTTGAGGAGGCCAATGCCAATGCAGCTATTTTGCGTTTAACCACTTTGAAGGAGTGGGCTGAAGATGCCGTGAAGAACATCGACTCTTTCAGAGATGGAGAGTTCAACTTCTTCGATATTGCCTTCGAGAATGAGTTGAACGACTTGATCGAACAAACTTACACCAACTACGAATTGACTAACTACAAGACTGCCTTGAAGACAGGTTTGTTCGACTACCAAACAGCTCGTGATTACTACCGTGAAGCATCTGCAACTATGCACCGTGATTTGGTTTTGCGTTACATTGAAACACAAGTCTTGTTGTTGACTCCAGTTGCTCCTCACTTTGCTGATTATGTTTGGAGAGAGGTCTTGGGTAAGAAGACCACTATTCAAAGTGCATCTTTCCCAAGAGCCTCAAAACCAGTTGACTACTCCATCCTTGAATCCTTGGAGTACATCCGTGGTTTGTCTCGTTCCATCCGTGAGACTGAGGGTACCTTGATGAAGAAGAAGAAGGGCAAGGGTGCTGATGTTGACCAGTCCAAGCCTGTGAAGTTAACAATCTTCATCTCCGAAAACTTCCCAGAATGGCAAAACGATTATATCGAGATTGTGCGTGAACTCTTTGAGAAGCAATCTCTTAATGACAACGCTGTGATAAAGGAGAAGGTTGGTAAGGACATGAAGCGTGCTATGCCATTCATCTCCAACTTGAAGCAACGTTTAGTTAAGGAATCTCCAGATGTTGTTTTCAACAGAGAATTGAACTTTGACGAAGTTGCAACAGTTAAGACCGCCATCGAGACTATCAAGCGTGCTGCTTCTGCATTCAAGGTGCACGACGTGCAAGTCATTTCGTTCAAGAACGGTACTAGAGTCGGTACTGATATCTTCACTGGTGAAGAGGTTCCTATCACTATCACTGGTAAGATCATTGACAGTGCAGTTCCTGGCCAGCCAGGCTTGGTGATGGAGAACATCTAGACACCTCAGATCCTTTGGTACATAGAGTATGCTTTCTGGTGTAATGAAAGTTTTATTAAAGCAAGCCAGTACAGTGTAGGAGAGTACCACTAGTTATTTAACAGCTATGTATACAGCCATGGTCATATTTGAAGCAAGTAATCTGTCCATTACCCAACTAATTATAATCAGAATCTGTTTGGCGGGCTACATACAGTTTATCCTTTGTACTTGCGACTTGTTGGTGGTGATGACCTGTCTATCGGCAACGGCTTTGAGCAGATACGCTGTTGCAGACCTTATTTCTGCAGTAGTTCACGCATTCCTTGCAGAGTGGTGGTGTTTCTAAGGCCTTTCCACCCTCTTGTGACTCGAGTATTTGTACAGTTGGAACAGTAAAAAGCTGATGACCAGCACTATGGAATTGTAGCAACAGCTTTCAAACAAATACGAATGCCTATTCATGAGCAGTTCACCATGGCAAGTCCAGTATGATTTAAGGCCAAAAAAAAGAAATGCGAAATGCCCCACGTGGGGCTCGAACCCACAACCGTACGATTAAGAGTCGTAAGCGCTACCGATTGCGCCAGCGAGGCGATTTCGAAAACCGAAAAACCCAGTGATTACCACACAGAAACCGAATTGAGGTACAGGAAAGACGATATGAAAAACTGTAGGGGAGCATCACAAGGCATCCACTTCACGCAAAGGAACCCTTGGATAAGCCCGCTTAGGCAATGGTTAACAGTTGTGAAGGTGCCAATTGTATGGTCAACAGTCATCAAGGTGCCAATTGACATAGATAGGACCATCATCGTCTTACACAGATCATATCCCTTTCACAGCGTAACAAGCAGTCAACCGAATGCCGGTGGTATAAACCGTTAACACCTGTAACCGGCTGTGTGACGTAAACCGGAACCATAATAAGTGCGTTACTGTGGATGAAGAGGTGCAAAAAAAATAACGCACAATGCGAAAACGATACACAAAAATTACAGGCACGTTTTTGTTATGAGAAGGCTTTAACAAAGAGCTCTTCAGTCTAGCGATCACAACAGCGAATCGGAGACACACGACACGGTTCCATTGGTCACTTGAATCCGTATTTTGACCTTCTCTGTTTCACTTTGCAGATAGTTTTGAGACGGGGTTGAGTAGCTGGGATGAAGTTTGCGGAGTGAGTGTGGGATGATGGCTCAGCGCTAAAGGGAAAGGACATCTATACTAACGTATCTTATAGAAACCTCTCTGAGAACATGGTATGTACCGTTCCATAGAAGCAGGAGCGACTGTTCGATCACTAACCATCCATCAAAAAAGGTTCCAGAATGGAGGGATAAGTATCTGGATTACAAGGTAAGAATGTTTACATTCCAAAACACATTAGCCGCCGATGTATATGTTTACTAACTATCGAGATCTAACAGGGCGGTAAGAAGCTTATCAAGAAGATTGCTCAGTCACCTTCGTTTTTAGCGAAGAGTCTTCTCTCAACGCCTGGGACGTCCTCTGCTGCTGCTGAGAGACTGAGGGCCTTCACGCTAACACAGAACAACAGATCAACAACGCCAGGTTCATTCGAGTTGCCGCCGGCCGCTGTTGATCCTACGGAATCACTGAACAATGATGATGCAAGCAACGATAGAACTCCACTACTCAGAGCCACAAGCAACCTTGAGCATACGTTGTCATCGACCGGGTCCTTAACAGGTGAGATTCACCAGAGAAAGTCCGCCTCTAATAGGGCCAGTGTACCGGCAACATACAGCGGTGGCTCTGCTGAACTGGTCGAAGGGATATCAATGGATACCATGAATGACACGAGTATTAGTGAATTCACGGAATGGCTTGATAAACAGCTGGCCAAGATTGAAGGATTCTACAAAGAAAGAGAGGATAACATGGTGCAAAGGTTTCTCCTGTTACAGGATCAGATGTTCCACTTAAGAGAAGATAGAATGAAGATGAAGTCCCAAGGAATGCCAAATAAAGACGAATTGATCAAACTTGGTCTCGCTAAGACTACGAAGGAATTGACTAAGTTGAACAAATACGATTTACCAAGTCTTCCCAAGAATCCATTCAAGAAGTACAATGAAGAGGCTGAAATAACCCAACACAAGAGCAGAGACTACGAGCGTCGCAAACATGCTGTACCATACTACGTTGCAAGAAGACAGTTGAAGGCTGCCGTACAGGAACGTTATAGGGAACTAGAACTGCTTAAGTCGTACAGAATGCTAAACCGTACTGGGTTCCGTAAACTTCTCAAGAAATTTGACAAGAGATTGAAGACAAACTTATCAGCTACTTACATGGCTAAGGTCAATGCAAGTCATTTTGCGTCAAGTGATGTCCTTGAGAATATGACTCCAAAAATTGAAGACATGTACAGTATGAATTTCGAAAACGGTAATAGAAAGGTTGCCGTAGAGAAACTTCGTTCCAATCTTCGAGAGGATCATTTCTACTTTACAGTTTTCCTCACAGGATTACTATACGGTATAGCTTTACCATTAAGCATTTATGCACTCTCCTTGGGACTTGAAAAGACAATCTCGAAGGAAATACCAGCGGGAAGGTACATTCTCCAGATATGGGGTGGATTCTTCATGTTGTTACTAATGGCCTCTTTATTTGGTGTTAATTGTATCGTTTGGCACATGTACAAAATTAACTACACTTTCATCTTTGAATTCAACCCAAAAACTGCTTTGAACTACAGAGAGTTCTCTCTATTACCCTCATTATTGTTCTTCTTTTTGAGTATATTTTCGTGGTTCAGCTTTAATGATTTCTGGCCAGAAGTTATACCAGCAAGGTTCTGGCCATGGTTTTTTGTTGGGGTTGCCCTTGTGATTATGTTTCTTCCCTACAACATACTTTTCTTGGAGTCTAGAAAATGGCTACTTATCACTATGTGGAGGCTAATGCTTTCTGGTTTCTACCCTGTTGAGTTTCGAGACTTTTCATTGGGTGACATCTTTTGCAGTTTGACTTATACGATGGGAAACATCTCGTTCTTCTTCTGTATGTATGCCACAAACTGGAAGGGTGCTGTTGAGGGTAATCCTGGATGTGGATCATCAAAATCTCATCTTATGGGATTTTTCTCCACTTTACCACCTATTTGGAGATTTCTACAATGTTATAGACGTTACTCAGACTCTGGAGATTGGTTTCCACATCTTGCAAATATGGGGAAATATTCCATCACTATTGTTTACTACGCAACTCTTAGTATCTATAGAATTCATCTGATACCTAGAGACAGAGCCGTGTTTATATTTTTTGCTTTTGTCAACTCGGTATTCAGTGGCTTATGGGATCTCTTCATGGATTGGTCTTTGATTCAGAACAAAAGCTTGTTGAGGGATGATTTAATATACCCAAAGTGGTATTATTACTTTGCAATGGTTTCCGATATCACTCTAAGATTCCAATGGGTTTTCTACGCTCTGTTCAATCGCCAAGTTCAACAATCAGCTGTTACCAGTTTCTGTATTGGAGTGGCAGAAATTATCAGAAGATGTATATGGCTGTCGATTAGAATGGAGAATGAACATGTCACTAATACACATCTCTACAAAGCAGCCAGAGAAATCCCACTTCCATATGACACAGTTCTTCGCCCAATAAGGGCGACACCAAGGGTATCAGAAGAGAGTGCAGTTACAACCGGATACTCCGTTGCAGAAGGGCCGGCTGACGAGGAACAACAAATTCCAACAACACCTTCTTCAAGAAAGAGCCGTCCAGGAATCTCAGCTGGCGTGCTTAAGAATGTTTCTATGGCTATTGTTAATGCTCATGCTAAGGACTTTCAGCGTAGAAAGTCCAATGTTGACGAAATAGCTGAAAACAGTTCCGAAGAAGATAATAGTGACGATGAGGGCTAAGCATAATACGTCTTCGATTTACATTGACATTATCCACATATTTATAAAATTTCGGACTAGTATCCCTGAACCTTTGCATAATTCGGTGGATAAAGCCTCTTATAGACAAGTTTTGAGATCCATATTGGTAGTACCGATGCAGCTAAAATCACTGTTAACTGCCAGTAGAAAGTACCAGATGCCATAAAACTTAGGTCAAAGTAGTCACCCAATACAGGAACCGATCCAACAAAAATTGCAAACGTAGCAACTTCTGAAAAGATCATGATATTGGTCCAAGTGTGGATTTCTATACCAACCATTGCTAGCTCGTTCAAAACCATCGCAGTGAAACATAATGACACCAATTTTGTAAAGTCATCAGCACTGATACTGGTAAATACTTGTGAGAAAATTTGAATGACACTTCCTTGGTATAAAGAAACAGCAACCCAGACAAAAAACGTCGCATAACTCAATGACTTCCCACTGGTTAGCTCATGGTAAAGCTCTGGGAAGACAAAACAGACCTCTTTCTCAACATCGCAGTCAAACACAAGTGCAAAGACAGGCATCATAGTATAGCATGTAGCATAACCAACCATTAAAAACCCAGTGATCAAGGCAATTGGTTCATAGCTAGAGGTTATGGAGAAGATTGCCTGTGCAACCGAGATTAATAAACCTCTGTGAATAACAAATTGTCCCAATTTTGCAGATCTTTTGTAACTGTTTCTTCCATGCCAAAGTAACAATGTTGTAAGGTGACAGAACTGTGTGATGGAAAAATCAGCAGCCAAAGAGGCCTGCTTACCTTCTTTACCAACGATTCCCACACCTACATCAGCAGATTGGATCATACTGACATCATTACCACCGTCTCCGATGCAGCATACTCTTTTCTTTGTAATTTCTTTGATGAAAACAGCAACATCAGCCTTTTGCTGAGGGGTACAACGACAGGCAATGACACAAGGGAGATGAACAACAATATCAAAAAACTCCTGTCTATAATGTTTCATATACAATCCAAGCGACTCTCCATCAATTAGAAGACATGAGTTCTTATTGATACGGAGATATTCTAATGCATCCATCGCATGCTCAGATCTTGACATACGTGTTATGGTATGCACATATTGACCCCTAGTTATCAATCTTGCACTTACAGAAACACAACGAGCCGTTTCAACCTTGTCACCCGTTAACATCCAAATCTTAATACCTGCATTTCTCAAGATCTCAATGGACGATTTGACATCCTTTTGTAATTTATCTTCGACACCAGTCAGACCAAGAAGTTCCAAGTCACTTTCCAAATATTGCCCAATAACTCTTTGCATTTCTGCGTCTCTATTAGTCATGGATGCTGATGCTTCATCATATTTCTCTTTAAAAGTGTGGTAAAGTTTCTCTGTTAAGGCCTTTCTACCAACCACTAACGTTCTCAGACCCTCCCTTGCCATGTTACTGGTTTCTTCATCCAACCAATCGTTGCTTTGGACAATTTTACTCATGACTGTATCAGCCCCCTTTTCAAGAAACCAATATTCATTCTTCTTTTTGTCGCGTACAATAACACCCATTCTTTTCGTATCAGAGTTGAAAGGGAAGAGCTGGAGAATATCGAACTGTAGGTTTTCGCCAGTGCTTGCACGTACAAGGGTCATGCTATGACGGTCACGTCTGAACAGAGAAAGACCAACATGTTCTGTGAACTTCACAATCGCAATTTCATCCGGTGATGCTGCCTGATATGTGACTTCATCTCCATCCAAAGTAGGCGTGACGTTGTGACAGATCGCCAAAGTTGTTACGAGATCACGTACTCTGTTACCCATATCCCTTCTGTTGGTTACCGGTTTAGAAGGTGTAGAAGCCACATAGTCTGAGACAATGTCCATGGTATCACCAGCGTAGGAAACTGTACCCAAATGTAACTTCTTCAACTCCATATCATTTTGCGTTAATGTACCAGTTTTATCAGAAAGCAAATACTCAATTCTCCCCAAATCCTCAGGAATAGTACTGGTTCTAACGATAGTCTCTTCGATAGAATCATCATGCTCTATCTGATACGCATAAACAGATTTCGCAAGGTCCAAGTTAACTCTCAATGAGACAGGAATGATGGTAGAGAACAAGATCAAGAATCTCATAACGTCTAAGTACCAAGCATCACCGAATCCATTGATAGCGACAAGTCCAAAGGATAAAAGGAAAACACACGAACAAAGAATTTTGGAGAGTCTATTGATCTCCAACTCCAAGAGACCAGTCTTGACACCAGATTTTGTTGTATTCATTGCTTGACGTGTATCAGTTCCCGTATATATAACACACCCGATGGCTGTTCCAGATGCGAGAACTGTGTTTGCCCACATGGTATTGTCAATGGTCAAGCCAGCTTGTTGGTCATCACAATTTAGTTTTCCAACAAAGCTATGGATAGATTTATCTGGGGCACCAGCAGTAATCATGACATGATCCAACTCTTCGAGTGCCAAGTTCTGTGTTAACGGACATGCAATTCTCAGCTTCCAATCAGTCTCACCGTCCAATTGATCCGTCTTGATAAAGCTCTCCCCGGTAGATTCGCTAGATTGTAGGAGAATCATATCAGCGGGTATTCTAGTGTCCTTATGGACTTTGACCAAATCACCAACTTCCAAGTTCTTCGAAGGAACCAACTTAGGTCTACCGATAACCTCATAAAGCTCGCTATTGGCCTCCATATCCCTTCTTCTTCTGTGGATGTCGTCCATGGCCTCTTTACTCATAGTCACCACAAGGACAAACGCCAAAGGCACCACGTATGTCGAGAGATAGCCGATTCTCAGGGCAGGAATTGCCTGTGATAATGCCACAAGGAGGAAGTAGAGGTTGAAGAAGAACTTGAACTGCTCGTACAGAATCAGCGGGATAAACGTCACTGGGTTGTATTTCGCATTGGAAATGGCATTCGAGGGATATTTTGACCCACCCACACCAGGGTACACGGTACGATCAACGTGCTGTTCAGTCAGCAGCACACTCGAAGGGCTCTTAGAGGCCTTGTAGATCCTTAGAGCGTTCAGAGCCTTCGTCAAGAAGCTGCCGCCCTGTGAGAAGGAGCGTTGCGGTGTATTTGCCCCGGACACAATCAGTGGGGCATTATCACCAAGCGCTTCGTCAAACGAGTCCTTCCTCTGAATATTCGAGTTCATATTCTGTAGCGGTATGCTGTTGGAGCCTGGGAGGTTGATATCCGATGACCTTGAAACGTTTGATCGGCTATCAGTGAAAGGGTTCGATTCCAAGTTGGCCAACGCAGCGTCAAGCGAATCGTCAAACTGTTGATCAAAGGAAGAGACGCTGCTGTTCCGTGTATTATGATCACTTGTGTGCAGCGGCATTTAACACCTGAAGGAGAAGGGTGAAATCAACGTATGGCGTAGAATTCTGGCCTCTCCCTTTGAGATTTGAGTGCGCTGTGGGTTGTTGTTGTTGTGAGCCTGTTTTATCGTTTTCTCCGGTTGTTTGTTTACCCTTTCTGGTGTTTTTCTAACTCCAACACAGCGTTACAGCCCCGATTACAACAACGCCTTTCTACAAAGACAATTGTCTCCACTATCGAATGATATCGTCTACATCAGTTCCACGACGGAGGTGGTTGTGATTGAAAACTTTTTGATCTTTTGTGCTTAAATTAAAATACAGGATTGTGTTCTAACTTATTTCTTAGACTTCTTAGCAGCCTTCTTCTCAGCAGCCTTCTCCTTCTCGGCTTGCTCCTTCAAGACTCTCTTAACGATCTTTTGTTCCTCAATCAAGAAAGCTCTGACGATTCTCTCCTTGACACAGTTGGCACATCTGGAACCACCGTAGGCACGGGAGACGGTCTTGTGGGTCTTAGAGACTTGAGCGTACTCTCTTGGTCTCAAGGAGGAGATACCTGGCAAAGCGACACCACAGTCACCACATTTTGGTCTGGTGCCGGTCTTCTTGACGTGTTGAGCACGCAAGACACCACCTGGGGTCTTAACAACTTTGATCTTGTTGGAACGAGAGTTGTCTATAAAAGGGAGGAGTTAGTATGAACTATTCGACAAAATAGTCTTCACCATTCGATGAGTAGAGAGTGGGAAACATGGATATGATGTGTGACAGAGACACTATGCGCCTTGGAAGCGTTGTATTGGTCTCTCTACGTTGCTCTTCTTCACCCTCATCTTCTGTTCTTCCTCAAAGTGTCCTCTGCAAAAGTGCTAAAACCATTTGGCTCAACGAGTCAATGTGATAACAAACATTCAATTGTTTGAACTGTGAAGGCTAACGAATCTTTCCGTGGTGAGCTGTGCTTCTCTCTTCTGGGCCCCAACGCTCTTTGGTGAAATAAAATTTGATAGAAAGTCTAACGGTATGCTCTTCACACACATTTATGCCATCTCTCTTCTCCTGGTGATTGTGTATCAAGGTTCGTACGTACATGGGTTTCTTCTTCTGTAAGTAACTCTTTGAGCCATCTTTGCTTTCGTTGTCTCTCCTCTAACAGTTCAACACTCTGTATATTTACTAGCAGTGTTTAATTTTCATCAACAGAGTGGTGATGCGAAAGCTTTTTTTCAGTGGTGTGCGGGTGCACGGACCGCCGCATTTGGGATGAAGTGACAGCCCTAGTGAAAGTCACGTGGAAATAATGATCGATTTTCAACGAGAGCCCTAATGGGAAATTATGTGTGGCCATGTACGACGAACAATGCAACACACCGCACTAATACTAATGAGATAACAATTAACAGTTACAGGTCTACATTTCAGGACTGTTTTTGAATAATCTGGCGCTATTCGTGTGCTGTATAGATGAACTTATATACACAACTTGTTTAGTTTTCAACAGCAATAGCCTCGATTTCAACATCGACACCCAATGGCAAGGCCTTAACAGCGACACAAGATCTAGCTGGCTCGTGGGTGTTGAAGTGTTTAGCGTAGACAACGTTGAAAGCAGCAAAGTCATTCATGTCAGCGAGGAAGACATTGATCTTGACAGTCTTGTCAAGACCAGAACCAGCAGCCTCCAAGATGGACTTGACGTTTTGAATACATTGTTCAGCTCTGTCAGAGATGGTGCCCTCAACTGGCTTTCCTTCAGGAGTGTATGGAATTTGACCAGAGACGTAAATAAAGTCTTGTTTTGACCATTGTGTTAGTACGTACTGTATGTAGATACTGAGGGATTGTGGAGCTGGAGGAGAAGAGGAAATCAGAATTGACCTTGTAGTATCAATTACGCCCTCCACATAGTCCTGTATCGGTTCACTTACTGTTAGCCTTGATTGCTTGGGAGTAGGAAGCAGCAGCTGGTGGAGCGTTCTTGGTAGCAATCTAGGTGGGATTGTTAATTCAATTCGTTGTTGATTGGCACTGCATGGGGAAGTCCATCCAGTCTAATCCGCATGAAATGGGGAAGGTTGGATTGGGTATCAACGAATCATACGCTGAAGGCGTATCAAACTTACTGGAGTGATAGTGGACATGTTTCTAGCAGCGAAAGTCAATGCTCTGGATTGGAATCTTGTGGCACGGGCAGCTGTTTGAATGAAAGACATTGGGAGATACACAGACTAATTTAAGGAGACAAGAACCAGAAAGTTATGATTTTTTCAATTCAAAAGGGGAAAAGCCACGCGACGCGCAGCCTTTATATATATCTCTTCAATATCCGTCCCAGGCTTCTAACAGTGTCGGTGTGCCCACCGCAGTACATCTTAGAAGCGAGAACCGGGTCAAATTGTAGGGAGGAGTCATACCGGAGCCAGACTCCTTTCCAGGTTACAGACGGGAGGAGTAATATGTACTGATTGTATATGGACAAAGATCCTATAGAGGACACCCTTTTTTCTATGTACACGGGATATATATACAGTTTATCGTGGCTTCACTTGTTCACGCCGGCACCTTCCTCGGCCGTTACAGTGACACCACTGAGAGGTTGAATAGCTTCATACTGCTTCCTGAGTTCTTGCTGGTACTCATGCTCCTTTTGGTTAGCAACAAGCTTCTTCTTCATGGCTTTCTCCTGCATTCTCTGCGCATCTTTGATAGGACCTTGGTGTAGTGCCTAGTATCTCTTGTTAGTACCAACATGGCACACGCAGTGTTCGACATTCCATACCTCTTGTTCCTCTCTTTGCACCTTGTGCACCCAAATCACAGTGACCGTTGACACCACGATAGAGGCAGCCAGTGTGATCTTACTAGCAGTGGACATGATGTATCTCGAGCACCGTCCTAGAGTGATATGGCGGATAGCAGGAGACTAAGCGAAAAAAGTGCTACTGAGGGCCTTAGCGGTCTTTGTAAATTTCGGTGTTCCCGCTTGTTGGTAGGGACACTAGCACCTCTCCCTCCCTACAGAGAAGTGCCATAGAGCCATTCTTCTCTCTCCGTGTACCACTGCAAGCTCAGAGCTTTCCACCTCCTACACACGCAACCGTCTAATGTCCAAGACCAATGGCCTGGGCAGGGCTACGCCACGCACCACAGAAACACATCAGTCGAGAGTAAGTGCCTTTTTCTTCGTTTCTCCACCAGCGCACGGTAACGATTCTCATATGCAGTGCTCTGTCTAACGAGCCAACGGGCGGAGGCGTGCGCGAGAGGATTCCTCTCCAGCGCTAAATTTTCCCCTAGGGCCTCTGGGTGAGTTTTGCAAGGGAAACAGCGAAAGGAACCGCAGCCACAGGCCCACGGGCAGCCCGTGATCCTGGATTTCGCGGGCACGTTGAAGAGAAGGCCGCCGGCAGGGGAGAAAACGTGTGCGGTTTCTGTCAGGAAGAGACATTATTAGCGAAGCCGTAATTATACGTCGAGAAACAAACACTTGAGCCGAGAACAGCAACGTCACCTGGAGCTCATACACGGAGCAACAGTCTGTGCAGTACCGGGCTCCTCAGCACCAATCGCTATTCCCCCAGTCGTTCGTAGGCTCTGAGCTGACCAAACTCGTGTAGAGCAAGCGTGTGCTGTTTGCAGCGGTGTACGTAGATCCTCCCATCATCGCTTTTTCGGGCCCAGCTCTCGAAAATTAATCCAGTGCGGTGGTGGTGGTGCCTGCTTCAAACCCTACAGCATTAGGCAAAAACAGAAAACAACATAGACACACACGCTTTCAAGGGAGACTTGTCGTCGTGAGCATTCGAGAACCGTGGATTGAGCCAGCATATCGCATTGGACTCTTATTGACACTTCACTGGTGCAGACTATATCCACATACTGCTACGCTAGAGACGTCTTGCGTTTCTTCATTCTGGAATCAACCCCCTTGGACATATCATTATTCTCAGGACTCAAAGAACTGCGGTATGCAGGTAAGTGACTTCGTTTCTTCGCCCATGGTGTGCTTTTACTGCTTGGAGTAAAGTATACTTGTCTGCTTGTTGTCAAGTTTGCGGTTGGGACTCCTTCGAAACTCCGTCCCCTTCCCCATCCCTTGTCGTTTGCCTTCCCACTTTGACTAACAGCTTTGTCCCCCTTCTACAGAGTCATCAAACACGGCTTGAAAACGATTCAAGCCAGCCCATAATAATACCAGGCCATGAGGTTCTCATCAACAGCGGTGGACATAACGTCGCAGCAGCTAACAGCAGCACGGTGTTTGTCTCTGATTCGTACCAGACTGCCCAGTCCATGGAGTACCCGTTCTCATCATCAGTCAACTCAACGAGTTCACAGCAGATGGCGAATTCATATGGCCATCATCAGTTTATGACGGGCAGCAGCTTGCGAAACCAGACACCGTTCAATGCTTCACCTAATGTAACTTACTCACCAAGGGCGGATCCGCCTTCGATGACACAGCACAGGCCTTCGTTCACCAGCTCAAACTCGCGTCCCAGCTTGCTCACTACAAAGCTGTCGTCACAAGCCAGTGTAACGCAATTACCGCCAGTGTCTCAGCAACAGTATGAACAACAGCAGCAGCAATCTGGGAATTCCTTCAGAGCCTCTTTCAGAGACACTCCCTCGTCTTTTCAGACATTCCAGTCATCATTGCCACAGCGTTCCGCCAACATCAACATTGAGCACCCATCAACTTCTGCTCACTTTAATCAATCCACAGGGGCGGCAAGTTCGTTCACTCCATTCCATAACACCCCAAGTGTCGTGTCAACCTCGTACTCATCGGCGTCCAATTCTGTGCCGACACACTTCACCCAACCATCCTCGTTCTCGTTTAACCAGAGGCCCCAACTGGGAACAAGCACAACAGCCCTACACAATGAACATCACACGGACAGAACACCAGCGCGCTCTGTATCTTCACAAACCACGCGTGGGTTTGATACCTCAGAAACGCCTAGGGCCCCGCAGGTGGAGAGATTTCCAAGGGACATTGATGTTGATACTGAAGATCAACAGTCATTACAGTACGCGGAGCCTCTTATCTCATCAACGCTCTCAGAATCATCATTTGTGGAGCATCTGGACATTGTGAATCACCCGACAGGCGACTTACTCCTCATGCTGGCGGCGTTATTGCAAAAGATCATTGAGGCTAATGATACACTTCATCCTCATCACTACCACCATGCTTCTCAGATGCACCCTACAAACAAGTATACAGGCAATGTGCTCGCGTTTCACGGGAGAAATGTCCCAGCTATTAGCATCCACGCCTACTTGACAAGGATTTTGAAGTATTGTCCGGTCACCAACGAAGTGTTTTTAACATTATTGGTTTATTTCGACAGGATTGCCAAAAGGGCAAACGCTGGTGATTCAGAAGACGTTCAAGTAGAAGGTAGAGAGGAACAACTCTTTGTGATGGATAGTTATAACATCCATCGGTTGATCATCGCTGGAATAACCGTGGCTTCCAAGTTTTTCAGTGATATTTTCTACAAGAACTCAAGATATGCTCGAGTTGGAGGATTACCATTGGATGAGCTGAACCACCTTGAGCTTCAGTTCCTTTTGTTGACAGATTTCAGATTGTTGATCCCTATCGAAGAGCTACAGAAATATGCGGATTTGTTGTTGAAGTTTTGGAACCGTGAACAGTCTAAGAAGGAGTCATCAGACGAGAAGCAGCAGCAGCAGCAGCAGCAGCAACAGCAGCAGCAACAACAACAACAACAACAACAGGCCTAATACGATCAGAACACTATCTTTGACCATGCTGGCATGTCATTTCTGTGCAACTCGGTTTAGAATGAGCAGTGAGTTTAATCAACCAACCCAATGCGTCCCGGTGTGTGTGTAACAACGTGATGAGATCCGTCACTCCTCCTCAATACCCTCATAGAATGCACAGTAACAAGGCTTTTATTTACACACCATAGCACGTTTAAAGGAACCTCTCTTTTATTAAAGATAAAAACAACAAACATAAAATCATATTATAAGCGCGTGAATCACCACGCCGTATACACTCTTCCGGAAACTGAAACATAAACTTTCCCGTTTAAAGGGTAAACAGGTGTAATCCCATACGCAAGTAATGCAAAATTTACCACCTTTTTAATGTTCTTAACGCAATCTTCTAGCTTCACGCTCAGACTCCATCAAGGACAAGATGTCGTTCTCTCTGACTGGGCCCTTGACGTTTCTGACAATGGTTCTGGAGGAGTCATCCAAGAACTCAACTCTGACTTGGGTGACACCACCACGGGAACCGGTTCTACCGAGAACCTTCTTAACTCTAGCAAGGGTAACTGGGGTCTTAGTGTCCATCTTGTGCTGTAATATGTAGTGATAGTTGTGAGTTGACTCCCGTAGCCGCTGTGAAAGCTTTTTTTTCCGGTGAAAAATTTTGATCTTTTGCGACGTTTGGTGGAAATAACACCCGGACACCAGATGTGCGCCTAACACATACAACAGTACCGCTTTGGAGCTCTGTCACATATGAACGTTACCAACTTTTGATGGTGTCTATTCTACGGTAATGGTTCAAGTCTATGTACATAGTACCAAACTCTATATGTAGTATTAAGCCATATGCTTGAGCTGATGTTAAACACGGCAGTTTGAAATCTCGGTCACCATTATATCAGATGCACCAAGCTCTTTGAGCTTGTCCATGATCTCACCCTTACCCTTTCTCTGGATCATGGAGGAGACGGCGACCCAGCCATCGTCATCAATTGGTGACACAGTTGGGGCACGACGACCTGGTGTGAGTTCGAGAAGTTGATCCAAGTGGTCTCTTGGTGCGTTGTAGGTACACAACACGAATTTTTGGGCCGTAAGAACACCTTCGATTCTTCCAGTGATCTTCTTCACCAACTCAGGGTAGGCAGTTTCCTTGGATTGAATCAAGTAAGCTGACGTGGTCAGGACTGTGTCAATGTCCACCAAACCGGCAGCTCTCATGGTTTCACCAGACTCGACCAAGTCAACAATGGCATCTGCAACACCAAGAGCACAAGATGCTTCGACTGAGCCACCAACGTATTTGATGGTTGTCTTGAGTGGAGCACCCGGTGGGACACCCTCGAGCTTCTCAAAGTATTCTGTGGTGAGCTTTGTGAACGAAGAAACGATGGTCTTACCAACCAACTGCTTTGTATCCTTGATGGAACCGTTCACTGGGACTTGAACTTGCAATCTACACTTACCAAAATTGAGGTCCAATGGCAATTCAACGTCCACACCAGACTCCTTAACCTGGTCAACACCAGTAATACCCAAGTCACAACGACCTTCTGCCACAAAGGTTGGGATATCAGCAGCAGGAAGGAAGATAAGTGCGATTGGAAGGTTTGTAGAGAGAGCGATATCCAATCTGTTGTGTCTGTGGAACTCAACGTCTGAGCCCTTGAGTAATTGAATTGCCTTCTCATAAAGACGCCCCTCTATAGTGTTGATCTTTTGTTAGTACGATAAAATTCTTGCCAGCATCACATGGCCTTCCAAGAAAGAAAGTGAGCACATGGGGAGGGAGCCAGAGCCCAGTATGAAAACCATATTTTGCATTCCAGATACTAACTCTTAGGGACAGCAAACAGTAATCTGTCTTCCAAGTGATTCACTAAATCCATCGTTCAAAAAAACAGTCTAGGCAGCTATAGCTTGAACTTTTATTGAGCGTAATCTCGCAATGTTGATTATAATGGAAGAGTTTCAATTCTGCGTTTGTAGTCGTCGTCGCATCGACAACAGTGCCCGCCAAAAAAAAAAAAAAAAACTCTGACTCAGCGTAGTGGGCGGACCGAAACATCACGATTACATAATCGATTATTTAATGTACCGTCGGATTATGTACATTTACCTACGGAGCAGGCCCACTTCACAGAAATTGCGTCAACAAGCGGATTTTTGTGTCAATTTGGTGTTTGAATGTTTACATTTCAAAAACAAAGCTTTAGTGCTCGTTATTTATAGAATGACGCTTGTCGCTCGAAATATTCTTGTAAACATTGTGAAGCACCACGTGATCATACAGTAATCGTCATCAGTGACACGTATCACGTTTGTATATCTAATTTAGGGAAAACATTATGTACATGATTTGTTATGCTTTGTTGAGTTTATGCTTCAAGACATTTAGGAGTGTTCCCATTATGAAAATCCTCCCATCTATTGAAGACAGGTGCACTTTATCCAAGGACATATCTACATAATGCTCCTGGAGATAGTCTAACTGTAGCAGCTTTGAGGTCAAGTACCCAGTGATTTGCGAAACGATAACACCACAGTCACTTCCGTTGAGTTGTTGTGGAGTGGACATAAGACGGACATGGAACTTTGTTCCATCGTTCAAGTAATCCTCCACTTTACTGATAACATCCCTAGCCTCTCTTTCGTTTGCTTGCTCCATCGAATCGTAGACCATGGCAACTTTGTCCAACATGCTAATGACAACCAAGGACCAATGAGAGCCTGCACAGACAGCTTCAACGTCATCGTTATCATTGACAGGCAGAAACAGGAATTTCCCTTTCTCCAGAGGCGGAATTACCCCCCTCAATTGCTGTGGCTCGGGCGTCTGAGCAAGGAGGTAAACCATCGAGGGTCTCACCAGTTGTATGGCGCTCGACACGAGCTTGTCGTATTTTGATAACTGATATCTCTCTAGATATTCATATACGAACGAGATGTCATTGTCGTTGAACCACTCGTCATCTTTGAGATTGACCAAGTCCTCGCCATATATTGAGACATCGAAGAACTGTAAGATCTTATCGTCCAACCGCTTCTTTCCCGAAACTGAGATGATCTCAGCGTATAAATTGTTCAATACTTTCACGCTCTTAGCATCAGACGCCACATTGTCAAAGGAGTAATGCGTATTTTTATCCTTCTTCGAGCCCTTTATGCCCTTCTGTGCTTTCTTCTCCCTTTTCCTTTCAAGCTTCCGCTGATGCTTCGATAGAGCCTTGCTCTTAGGAGGCAGCTTATTCTTTACCTCTTCACTTTCAACGTTACGCATACTGAAACCGCCATCTCTTTGGTGGTTGAGAGCCACGTCTGATTCATCTGCATACATGCTCTCATTCTCAGCATCATCCGCCTCAACAGTGTAAGAGTCATAGTAACTCTTTGGTGTCTTTTCATCTTGATGTTCACTCCAGTCGAACTGATCAAAGCCATCCGTCGTAACCTCGTCGTTGTTCTCAGACTCGTCAAAGCACCCGTTCTTCGCTATACAGTACCCCTTGTATTCATTATACACGACTCTCAGCATAGTCGGGCCTCCCACACAGTTGCTATATGAACTCTTTGAATGAATCTGTGCCTTATAGTTCTCCCTGCACCGATTCTCAAACCTTGATGCCCATCGAACGGTAAAAAAGTCTTGGTAGGTACACAGTGGGAATACGGTGGGCACACGGTGGGCACGCAGTAGCCCCCTGGCTCATGACCCAGTGCCTGGGTAGCAGACACACCAGTCCAACTGCAGGCACGGGCGCTCCAGCGATTACTGCCCAGCGGGATGACGTGCGCAAAGGTCAAGCCGCCACACTGTGCGGACAACGAGGAGGCAAGCGTAGCTAAATCATCGTTCTGTCACACGTGAACTTTAACAACTGTGAAAGGATCTTCTCCCCGATCCGGTAATTACACCGTCGTTCTACTTGCGTTTTAGCATTGTGGCTAGTGAATAATGATCCGTGTTCCCTAGAGAGGATTTCCTTATCAGGCACAAGGCCCAGAAGAACGTCTCGAGTCTCGACACAGCACACAGACTGATTGTGGCGAATGACGTGGAGTTGGATCTCCAAAAAGTGTGGCGCTTGCCGTACGGGCAATTGGCAAAGCCTATCCGCGCTTTCTCTACAAGAAGGGTAAAAAGAAAAACGATTTCGTCACCTTGGAGCTTGCATAGAATAATAAAAAGAGGCCACAGCTGCACAGAAAAGGACTCTCTTGAGGAAAAAACACACACACGCACAGGGCTAAAAAAAAGAAAGCAGAAAGACAAAACTGTGGTGGTGGAGACATACTGTTATCGCAAGAAGGTGATTTAAAGAACACAGTTCCCACATACAGTGAGTGTTTGCAGCTTCTATAATCTTGCATTGATCATCAGGCGTTATTTGAGACTTGAAAGTTGATCGTTTTCGTTTCTGTTTATTGCTGTCATTTGATCATCAACACTGAAAGAGATGGACCTTGGGCTGAGTTGTCATCACCGTGAGGGACAGAAGCCACTCCTACGACAAGATAACGAGGACAAGAAAATACCTCAAGCACAGGAAAGAAACATTTTCACGCCGTGTGAAAAAGAATATGTAAAGAACATCTCAGATGTAGAAGAAGAGGAAGAGGAGATAACAGTTGGTAGCTCGAAAGTGAATGTAAATGATGCTCGTCTGATACCTCAGAGCAATTTCCACAAGTACTGTTACCGCCATAACCCAGATGTGAAGTGTAACAAGTTGGCGGACTCAAACAAGATTTCACAGCTGCAGGATACTTTGCAAAAGATGCCTTTGAAAGACCAGGAGACAATCAACGACGTGTGGAGTATATTCGGTGCTGCAGACTCTGCAAAGAGACAAGTAATACTACAGGGAATCCTCAGTCAGTGTTGTTTCCCTCAACTCTCATTCATATCGCAGGAAGTGTCCTCACTTATTAGGATCGACTTCATTTCAACTCTACCCACAGAGTTGTCATCAAAGATTCTGTGCTACTTGGACTGCGAGTCCTTGTGTAATGCGGCACAGGTCTCGAAGAAGTGGAAGAGACTCGCCGATGATGACCGCGTTTGGCACCATATGTGTGAGCAACACATTGACCGTAAGTGTCCGAACTGTGGTTGGGGTCTACCACTGATGCACATGAAGCGTGCACGTGAGATTGAGTACTCTCCAAAGAACGACGCCATTACCCTGAGTGGGAATCATCCACCTCAGGTGAAGAGAAGAAGATTGTCGAATCAGACGACAAATGGACACGGCGTAAGAAAGACAAGACCATGGAAAGTTGTCTACAGTGAGAGGTTCAAAGTGGAGAGAAACTGGAGAAAGGGAATATACACTACAAAACAGTTCGTTGGACACACTGACGGTGTGCTAACCTTAAAGTACGATTATAAGTATCTTTTCACAGGATCATACGATAAGACTGTGAAGATTTGGGATGTGAAAACAGGAGCGTTGATCCGCTCTCTTGAATCACATACACAAGGTGTCAAGACTTTAGCGTTTGATGAACAGAAACTCATCACAGGTTCACTTGACAACACAATCAAAGTTTGGAACTATCACACCGGCCAGTGCATAGCGACTTACAGGGGACACGAGGACTGCGTCCTCAGTGTGGACTTCTACAAGAAGAACATTGTGAGTGGTTCAGCTGATACAACCGTCAAGCTGTGGAACGTTGAATCGCGTACATGCATTGCCCTTCGTGGACACACGGAAGGTGTCAACAGCGTCAAGATTCATCCACAGAGTAGCACCATCTTCAGTGCCAGTGATGACACCACTGTTCGCATGTGGGACATGACAACCCACAAGCTGTTGAAAGTGTTCAAGGGTCATATCGCCGCCGTTCAGAAGGTGATACCGCTGAACATCTCCAGCGATTATGAGCTTGTGCACGACCAACAGAATGATGACGAAGACGTTGGCGAGGACGAAGAAGAGGAGGAGGGAGAAGGAATCGATTACCTCGACGAAAGTCGCCAATATCCGAACTACATCCTAACGGCATCCTTGGATAACACCATAAAGCTATGGGACGTCCGTTCTGGTAAGTGTGTGCGCACGCAATTTGGCCATTTGGAGGGCATTTGGGATATCAGTGCGGACACTTTCCGTATAGTTAGTGGTGCACATGACAGTCTGGTGAAGGTTTGGGATCTACAAAGTGGGAAGTGTATGCACACTTTCCAAGGCCATTCGAGCCATGTTCTTGCCGTTGGGTTAGGCGATTCCAGTTTCGCCAGCGCGGATGAAACTGGCGTTGTGAGGATGTGCAACTTTGACAACTTTGATTAAATGTCGTCCTATTCTATGACGTGTTTGACGTCATATCTGTGCTATGTTTTGGTCTCATGGAACCGTTTAAATCGGAGACGTTGCTTCTCCTTCTCCTTCCTCTTTCTCATCCTGGCCTTTTTCGCCTTTTATCTGGGAGTTATGTCTATGTGCTATTTCCTTGTTTCCAGTTGTTATCGCCAACCCTAATTTACGTCTGCTTATGAATACTAGACCGTGTAGCACATTGCCGGTAGTTCAACTACGCTTAGCATATATAGCGTGGTATCACTACGCTATATCTCGTGGGCTAATCTGCGCGGCGGCATACATAGAGCTCCCGACAAAACGCCCACGCCACGCAAACCACAGTTGCGTCCTCCAACATATTGGTGCATGTGGCTACAATCGTAGGAACCAGTAGAGATCTGGGGCGCTTGACCAAGTGCTTGAGAGGATCATTAGTGAGTAGTGGTCATTCCCCATTGATTGTGATCACCATAAATAGAGCATGCCCATCATTCGAATATGCGAAAATGATAAATAAGTTGCTAAGTAACCGCTGGCTTACCAGCCTTTCGGATTTTCTTCTCTTTCCCGCTTGTAGAAAGTTGTAGCTTTACAAGAGTGGCCTGCCCTCACGCGGTGCCCACGCGGTATTCCAGGGAAGAACAAAGGGCTAGCGAAAAGCAGCAGAACAGCGATTATTAGGCTGGCAGAGCTGTTTGGCTTAGCCGCGCGTAAATGATACAGAGACGAACACCCATCCCCCTGTTCTCTCCCTCGCGGGCACGCCAGCCAAAAAAGTAAAATGGACCCAGATTTTCACATACAACCACAGCTGTCGCTTCTACTTTTTTTTTCTCTTCTCTCTACCAGGTTACTTTAACCCTTTATACACATACTGTGCACTGAAGGGTCATATCACTCGTGTCTAGTGGCTCTCGTCCATACCATCACAGATAATCCGGATTATTATTCAATAAGAGAGGATGGTTTATGTTAGTGCGTCCCCTAGAAAGAACAGTGACAGCAAGCATGACGCGACAACCAGCGGTGGTGATGGGGGAAGGCACAGCGCTGAAAGTAGCAGTAAGGGAGGTGCCCATTCTCTGGCTTCGTCTCCATACTCCACAGCATCATCGTCGACATCCACGATTGTAACGATGGGTGATGAGAGCGAGTCGTTGTCGTTGTCATTTTTGCGGAAGAAGAAGCGGGTCGGAAGTATCCATGAGAAGGAGGAGACACCGGCTGGTCCTGCTGAGCCCCCATCACCACCTCGCCTAGTTAGGAAGAAGTCTGGTGAGCTAGTTAAATCGTCACTTAGGTTGAACTCCCTTGGTGGTGTCAACTCCAAATCCATGCCCACCACACCGACTTACAACAAGAGCGTCCATTTCGGTTCGGATGTTGATGTTCGCTACTTTGACGAAAGGGAAAAGCCCACTGCTGTAAGCGCTGGCGGATCGCCTGTATTGAGAGGCAGACGTAAGATAATTGGCAGTGCAAGCTTTGAAGGATTGTCGAACAATTCTGATACAGAGGATGATAGTGATATATTTGACGATGAGGAAAAAGTACACATATCGTGGGATCTATTCAACGTCAATTTTAACAAGATTAAGTACAATGAAAAATTTCGGGAAGGCTCTCAACTGTTTTTGGAAAAGTTGGTACTGGATGATGATGATAAATGTATCATTGGGACCATCGCGCTTAAAAACTTGTCTTTTCAGAAGGATGTTCATGTCCGGTATTCATATGACCAATGGCGCACAGTTATTGAGATTGAGGCCACTTATGTACCCGAAGTGACAAAGATATTGAAGAGGGCAAACTTTGATAGATTCCGCTTCACCATTCCTTTAACAAAGTTTGCCTTTCTACCCAACGACAAGACGGAGGTTTCATTCTGCATACGCTACCGATACGATAACAAGGATCTCTGGGATAATAACTATTTCAAGAATTATAAAGTGATATTAACGAGGTCAAGAAGATTGAGGGGTTCGAGAAGTGCCAAGTTCTCGTTGAACGATTACTTCAACTACGAGCACGACTATTCATTGCAGTCACAGAGCCATTCGTTGAGTGTGGATGACTATTTTGGCAATTACAACAGTTATAACTATCACCTCAAATCACCAGAGACCCCCAAGGCCCTCAAGACCGAGGAAGGCACCTTCTTGGACAGTACGCCTGATTTCAAATCTTTGGATAACATTTCCCACTCTGTTGCACAGATGTCATTGTTATCAAACGATTCAAAGACAAGTCTTTTGGACTTTGACAAGGAGAATCTTGGGGACGATGCCCTGGGCCCTAATGACGTCGGTTTGGGCCCAACTGACGTGGAGCGTACATCTAATGACGTTGCCGTGGTTAACAACGGCGTAAGATCGAACACGAGCTCGAAGCCTAACAGGAAGAACAAACCGCCAATGAATTCCAAATCGTACCAAGAGCTATTGGACTCTTATTGTTTCTTCACTGGAGAGAAGGGTGCAAGCATTCCAAGATCATAAGAAAGGGAAGCATTCACCTAGTATCCATCCGCCGGGACATAACGCATAGACAACCAAAGCGAACTCAGCAGCAACAAAAGAAAGAACACACGCACCAAATCCACCCAGCCACAGTGTTAATGTGGGCGACGTTCGCTATCTCACGAGTAATAATATACCTAATATACCTAATATACCTAATGACCACAGAATTGAAGTGTATAGAACATGTAGCGATAGGCGAACACGGCATTCTCAGCGACACTTCTCCGCCCTCAATGACAGGCAGAAACCCAGCTGGCAAATGCCACGGCCTGCCCCTTGCGATTCGGTGCTACAGCCTATTTGGGCAAACGACGCCAGATGCTGGATGAATCACAGCACAAACAGCTAATTGCAAAAGACAGCGAGAACGCTGACGCGTCAGAAAGGCCTACAGCAGCAGTGAGCTTACGTGGAACATGTGACTATGGCGAGCGGAATAAGGCCTACCACGCACTGCGGTCACGGTGCACTTCAATTCAACGGCAGCTCTCGTCTTCAACCTACGCAGCGTGGATTTACTCACATCCCGGTTTGTTGACTCATTCCCCATACATAAGCGCACTCCCGGCCACAACCGTCTTATTCCGTCTTATTCCGTCCTATGCCCTCGCTGCTGTTGCCTGCCTATACGAAAGTCTCGGTGGTGGGGCCGCTGGAGAAGAACAAGACGAAGAAGAAGAAGAGCGAAAAAAACACACACCGCGGGAAAATTATAAAGCGTCCACTGCCGCCGGCGGCTTTCTCTCGTCGTTTTTGTGTCCATTGAAATCTTCAAGAAAACACACTCCCAGCGCAGCGAATATAAACACAACAAGAAGTAAACACACACGCTCACAATGGTGACTGCAAGCAAGGACATTACTCATTTACTCTCTGAGGAGGCACGTTCCAGAAGACCTTCTCCGTTGAAGACCGCGTTCAAGTACTTTGGTAACCCAGATATCGTTTTCCTCGGCGGAGGTCTACCGCTATCTGATTACTTCCCATGGAACAAGGTTACTGCCCATTCGCCGGCGGTTCCATTCTCCAAGGGCATTGGTGCTGTGCCAGTTACTGAGGAGGATGCGTTGGTGATTGATTTGCACAAGAAGAAGGAGTTCCTGGAGAACGCGGATGACATTGAGCTCTCCAGGGCGCTTCAGTACGGTTACACCGAAGGTCAACATGAACTCATGAAGTTCTTGAAAGAGCACACTGAGTTGATCCACAAGCTGCCATACGAAGACTGGGGCTGTGTCGCTACCATCGGTAACACTCAGGCATGGGATGCTGTGTTGAGAACATTCTGTGATAAGGGTGACACAATCTTGGTTGAAGAGTTCACCTTCTCTTCTGCGTTGGAGACTGCCAACGCCTTGGGAATTACCCAATTCCCAGTGCCAATGGACGAATCCGGAATCCTTCCAGATAAGTTGGAGCACCTGTTGGATAACTGGGTTGGTAAGAAGCCTAAATTGTTGTACATTATCCCAACTGGTCAAAACCCAACGGGTTCATGTCTCTCTGTAGAGAGAAGAAAGGCCATTTACAAAGTTGCTCAGAAGCACGATTTTGTCATCATTGAGGATGAACCATACTACTTTCTCCAAATGGAAACTTATACACAAGATGTTGCGGCCAGAGAAGGGAAACATGTTCATTCTCATGAAGAGTTTATCAATGCGCTTGTTACTTCTTTCCTCCACCTAGATACTGAAGGTCGTGTGATTAGATTGGACTCGTTCTCTAAGGTTTTGGCCCCAGGAACACGTTTCGGTTGGATTGTCGCCCAAAACAACATTTTGGAAAGATTTGTCAGACTTCACGAGGTTACTATCCAATGTCCATCAGGTTTCACTCAATCTATTATTAACGGTACCTTACAAAGATGGGGCCAATCCGGTTACTTGGACTGGTTGATTGGTTTGAGAGCAGAATACACCCACAAGCGTGACGTTGCTATTGATGCAGTTTACAAGAACTTCCCATTGGACGTTATCAAATTCACACCACCAGTTGCTGGTATGTTCTTCACTATTAGTTTCGATGCATCCAAGCACCCGGACTTTGAAACAAAATACGGTAAGGATCCATTGAAGGTTGAAGAGGCCTTGTATGAATCTGGTTTGCAAGGTGGTTGTTTAATGATTCCAGGTTCTTGGTTCAAGGCTGTTGGACAAACTGAACCACCACAGCCAGTTGAGGAGACTGACCCAGAGTCCGCTAACTGGATCTTCTTCAGAGGAACATACGCTGCTGTCCCATTGGACAAATTGCAGAAGGGTTTGGAGAACTTTGGTGCTTCAGCTAAGAAAGAGTATGGTCTTTAAAAAGTGTTTTGCTATTTCGATAGAATCCCCATATCAAATAAACGTACTTATACATAATAGCTGGCTTATAATTGAAATATCAGCAGGGAAACTAACGTAGAAGTGTTGATATACAGATGTGTTCAATTCATTACATAAAACAAGGAACTAAAAGAGGTACAAAAATTGCATCATTTATACTGAATGATCTCTTTATCAATCCAATCAATCAACTTGTCATCAGTACCATCAGTGCAACCTTTAGCTATATCTTCTCTCAAATCTCTGAACTGGCCAAATGCAGCGACATAACCAACGAATCCAGGTCCCTTTTCACCAACCAATGGACTCAGGGCTGCAAACAGCTCGGTATAAGCACCGTAAACTGCTGGATATGCTATAGGCTTTATAGCAGCTACTAACCAGCCAGGGTAATTTCTCTGCAATTCCGAGTTCAAGATTCCTGGATGAACAGCGATTGTAGCAATACCTTTATCTGCATACTTCTTACCATAAGAGGATGCCTGGTAAATGTTACCAGCTTTCGATTGACCATAGATAAGACCCGAACTTGATTGGGAGGCATCTTTGAAGTCCCAACTCAATCCACCATTTGCTGGAGAGAGCAGGTGGGCCATGGAAGACAAGAACACAACACGAGGCTTGCCGTTCGAGTCAGCACTCTTTAAGATCGCTGGTGTGATGAGCTCAATAAGCAGTTGGTGACCAATTACGTTACTACCGAACTGTAACTCATACCCTTGCTTCGTCACAGAGTCATTAGGTGGTTGCATGACACCGGCATTCAAGATGACGATGTCCAACTGTGGAACAGAGTCCAACACTTTCGTAGCAGCCGGCTTGATAGTGGTCAAGTCCGCCAAGTCAGCCTGAACAACGGTGATTCTGGAGTCAATATCCTCACCGGTCACCTCTTCTTTCAACAAGTCCTTCTTGATTTCATCAATGACCTTGGCTGTCTTCTCCAGGTTACGATTGACCATAACGACATGCGCATTCTTCAACAGCAAGAGCTTTGCAGCTTCACAACCGACACCGGCACTTGTACCAGTAATCAGGACATATTTGCCCTTCAAATCAGGGTAGTCCTTAGGAAGGTATGTTGGAGCCGGAGGCTTCAAACCCAACGCAAACTCTTTAATAACAAACAAGGAAGGCATTATCTCTCCACTGCTTCAATTGCCCTATAATAACCACGGGGGAAGTGCTGATAAAAGATGAAAAGGGGTGAGCTGACAAACCTAACAGTGCTTCTGCTTATCATCGCTGGGAGTGATTACATAATCACGCCTAAAAAATTTCGTCTGTGTGCTGTGCGCAACTTTTGCGTGGGGACACACAGTTTTAAGTGAAAATACATCGCGAGATCTCCAACAATTATGAGCTGTTTCTACAGTGAGCAGGCCAACGATGACGACAGTGCGGAGCACTTGCACTGACAGCAGAAACAGTTCAATTGACCCACATCATCAGCTCTTCACATACATTGATGCCACACAGTTTAGTGGGAAAGCACACAACGGAAAGCACACAATGGAAAGCACACCGTGTAATTGTGAAAAAGTCGTGTGTTTATCAACATCGTAAGGGGAGACACAGGCAGCGAGCAAAATTGCAACTATCCGATCTCTCTTTCTCTGAAACACCGTAGTTTGGGGCTCAGTTGATTGGCAAGCCGTTTTCTCTCACAGTTGAGCCAATGTCGAGCGTATCGATTGCCGAAGAGGACGGAGAAACCAGGGCTTCATTCACTGGACGCTCTTCGTCGCTAGCAGAAAGAATTGGCGGTGAGCCGGAGCCGCAGAGCTCTCCATTGCTATCATCAACGCCTGTGACAGTTTCCAGAGTGTTGGTTCGTGCATATCCGTACTTGATCATTGCTGATAAGGTGCTCAGTGTGTTGACCTGGACCGGTGACGATGTGTGGGTGAGTACGTTGGTATTGGCCGTGTATGCCGCGCTGGTTCTGTACTTTGAGTCTGTTGTGACGTTCTTTGGACACATCTCCATTGTGGCGTTGTTGGTTGGATACTCCTTCATGGACAAATGCGTGGAACAACAGATCAACGAAAAGCCTACTTTGGATGACATTGTGCATCTGCTTACGAGTCTGAACGTGAAGGCAGATCTGTTTTTGAATCCAATAACGTCTTTGGCGTTGACCTCATACGATATCAAGAGAATCTTGTTCACGACCATATTTCTATCCCCGTTGTATGTCATTCTGACATTCTTCATCTTCACACCACGGTCTTTCCTCCTAACTTTTGGACTCTATGTTCTGTCGTACCATTCCTCGTTCTCGAGAGTCACACGAAAGATGCTCTGGAAATTCAGAATGGTTAGATTGTTGTCATTCTACTTGACAGGTTTGGACTTTGGAGGCATAAACATCAACAAGGACTCGGGCATCTTTGCCGCTGTCAAGCGTGTCAATGAAAAGGTCGGAATCCAAAACAAAGATGGCAAGCCAATACTGTTCACATATGTGCTCTATGAGAACCAACGTCGTTGGTTGGGTATTGGCTGGACGGCAAACCTCTTGAGTTATGAACGTACTGCTTGGACAGATGAGTTCTTGAACGAGTCCTCTCCTACTGATAAATTCACACTACCGGAGACCGAAGAAGGCTCTGGTCTAGCTTGGAGATGGGTTGACAAGACTTGGAGATTGGATCTTACGAATGATGGTGCTATTCAACTTCCTTCTTCTAAACCAAAGACCACAGCAAATCCAAATTCAGACGATGGTTACATCTATTACGATAACACTTGGAAGAAACCGTCCACAGAGGATTCATTTTCCAAATACACACGTCGCAGACGCTGGATACGTACTGCCGAGATGGTTCCAGTGAATGCTCCACCTTCAACCTCAAAAGCTTCAGTGGATCGTGTTACAACGCCACATGAACCTACACCTGTGATTGAGGTTTCCAATATTAAGGCCTCAGGCTCCACGTCAACGTCAGTTTCTAAGGAAAATACACCATTGAAACGTAAGAGCATAAGGTTTGATGACACACCAAAGGTTCTTGAAGCAGTGTTACAACAACAGGAAAAGCGTAAAGTATCATTTGGAGAACATAACGTAATCGTTGAAACCCCAACAGAGAATACAAAAGTGGAGGATAAGCCGGCAGATGAAACCGAAATTGAGATGGACCATGAAAAGATTGATTAACAATAACCAATATACAGCATACAGAACTACATATCTTGCTACGATGATGACCTGCTCTCCTTTTGCTTAAAAAAAGAGGGTCTATTCTCTCCAAATATGCTTTTGTACATTATGACATTTGAACATGAAACCACCGGAAAAGAAAATTACACCAAACAGTAGAATAAAACTTTTAAATCATATCAATTAGATTTGAGTAACCTCCAAAGTGGATGGAAGAGCTTGTTGCAACTTCTTAGCCTTGTCCTCATCGGCAACAATCAAGGTGTACAAGTGTCTAGAACCTCTAACTTTGAACTTGGTTTGCTTGGAAACCTTACCGGCAGCGTTGATCTTCTTGTTGACCTTGATGGAAGCAGACTTAACGTCAGCTCTTCTGGTCAATTCAAGGAACTTCTTGATGTCTTTGATTTCTCTCTGCAATTCGTGAGTTAGTATACAACGTTCCTTCATGATTTCCGAAACAACGATGGAGCGAGGAACATCTCAAATGAACATAGTTAACGAGCACTTCATTCTGACAACATCCATCTCTCCGGTTCGTTCGTAGATACCTACAGCCATTGTTGTATAAGTTTGATGTTACGACTTCCTCTTGTGTTCACCAGAAACCATCTAAGATGTTACCCAAATTGGTTTTTTCCACAGCGAGCGTGGGTAATTTTCACCTGGTGTTGGGATGTTTTTCAAAGTGAAAAAATAGCAGTCACACAAAATGTTCAAGTCGCTGGACAAGCGCAACACAGTTGGCTAAAGCTTCTTAGAAGACATAGTTAAACCCTTTCTGTATAATTGAATATGGATGCTTGACTCCAAGTTTGAGTGGGCGTCTTGGTGGACAATGACCAATCTTCCAACTAATGGAAATCTTGAGCAGCTTGATCAATCATTTGGTGGTGTATGGATGTATTATGACACATACCGAGGACTCTCTTCTCCATCTATGTATTGAAGATATGGTATCCATATTAAACAGATTACAAACTAGAATGAGTCATAACAATGTCATTATACACAACTACAAGAGCTATAAAACATCCTCCATTTCAACGTCCTCCTCGTTGTCCTCCTCCTCATCGGCTTCATTATCCTTCGCCAATTCACCAAGTCTCTCAGCCCTCTCTTGGTCCTTCAGCTCTTTGAATTCCTTCTTTAGAGTATACTTCAACGCGTATGGACCTCTCTTAATAAGCACCGCAACTTGTTCCAGGTTCTCTTTCAAATAGGCCTCTGGTTGCTTGGTACGTTCCTTCAATCCCTTCAATGACCAATAGTCATATTGGTCAAAGAGCTTGAACAACAAATCAAAGAGATCCTTCTGAGGCATACGGATCGCCCTTCCATCGTTCTTGTTCTTCTTCTCGATACTAGGTTTCAAGAACGATGAAGTATCAGTTCTCAACGTCAGACCAGCGTTACTCAACGACACACCAGAGTGTTCTTGTAGCAACGTAACACTCGGTCTTGGCTCCTCCTTCATCAGTTGACTTCTCTGTGCAATGATCTTCGAGTAGTTTGGATCCTTTAACGATGGCACTATTTGAGCCTCGTGTACAACTGTTCCCACCAACGCAGTCTTCTTTGGAATGGTCTTGACGAACGGCAACACTTTTTCACTTCCGTCTCTATTCTTGAACTTGTTGAATCTTCTGCGTCTCTTCATTGCGATTTGTATTCTCTTGTGCTTCTCCCTCTCCTCCTTCGTCATATCTTCCTCTTTCTTTGGATTCTTCTTTGTAAAGTCTAGTTCTGTCTTCGAATCGTCCCTCTCGGTAAACCTTTGCAAGTTCTGCTCGGTAAACACGTATTGATTCTCAACCTGTGCTCTCGTCAACTGCAAATCGTAGTTATGTGGTATCTCTGAGTTTGTACTGTCAGAGTTCAACACCAGCTTCGCAACTCCACGTTGATCAAGGGGCAAATCACGTCTAATCTTCACTTTCCCCAGCTCTTGTCCTTTGAGCGAGCCATGGTCTCGCCACCGCTCAGCCAGGAACCGTGGAACCCTCACGAGCCAGACTTGCTGGTCAATTCCCTTCATATCCAGGTTCAACGACTCCGCAATCTGGGTGGCGTCGTTCGCATCAACAACCTCTGCACCATCGGAGAGAAACTCTTCATCGTCACTGTTATCGTTGTTCTGCTGTTGGATCAAGATCTCTTGCTCTTTAGTCAATTGAGGCTCCGCAGGAGCATCTTTTTTCTTCGTCTTCGGTTCCACTGACATCCCCTTCCCTTCTTTTATGGTTCAACAGTGTGGTGGAAGTAGCTGATTGCCTATCTTTCTGGCCGCGGAGCTTTGGGCTGCTGGTCTGGCCCCCCTAGAAGTTTTTTCCCTCTGGAGTTTCGCGGGCCAACCCTGCCTGGGCCTGCGGAACTCCCCTAGGCCCAGAGACTGCGGGCAGGCACCACGGAAGGGACAAGATGACACCAGCAGGGAGAGCACAGGGAGAGCACAGGGCAATGGAAAGAAGGGAAGGGATGGTCGAAGTGGAGCCTAAGCGGGATAGAAGCGACAGTGCTGGGGCCAGTGGCGATGGCTCTGTGAAGAAACGGCGGACAGAGGTGCCTACAGAGGACGCAACGGCTGGAAGAGACCATGGCGATGTTGACTGTGATGGTGAGAACACTGGCGACACGCCTCCAGAGCTGGTGATAACACTGCGAGAGATTGAATCACCGGACGATAAGGAGCTGCCTATGAAGCTGAATTGTTACATCAAGTACATACTGAAGCTATGGGAGGAGTCACCTTCAGGCTTACTCCTAGATACAAAGAAGGCTCTGTTTCCAATGTTGGTCAAGCTTAGGAAGAATACACTGCCAGTCGACCACCTCACCTCCCTGATGACGATCTTCTACCATCTACAGCGTGCTGAGTACATGAAGGCCAACGAGTCGTACATGAAGCTGAGCATTGGGAACGTTGCCTGGCCCATTGGTGTGATAAGCATCAGTATCCACGCAAGATCTACGCAGAGCCGGTTGGCAGGTGGTAAGGCAAACATCATGCTGGATGAACAGACGAGGAAGTGGATCACTGGAGTGAAGAGACTGATCACGTTCATGGAGCAGAGACAGTATGAAACAACTACAAGCGGTAGCTAATTGGTTCGATAGCCAGATCTGTTTTCGCTCTCATTCTGTATATTTGTAGGCTGATGTAGTGTGTGTAGTGAGGCATCGCGATGTAAGGAAACTTTCACACTTGTTCCACTTTCCACACAACATCAAACGGAAAGCGCATCCGAAAACTGAACTTGAGGGCTCAATGGAGGACAGGCTAGTGATACCAGACGATTCCACAGGTGATGCGACTATTGAGGCCTTGAATGAGTGTAAACAGAGGGAGTTGGCGTTCTTTGACGAGGTTGTGCAGGGCTACGTCGTTGTCAAGAGGGACGGAACAGAAGTCGTTAAGAATCCCACTGCCACAGTTATCGTTAGAGGAGTGAATGGTCAATCAAGCGAGGTTTCCAGTGTGCAGTTGGAGCTGCAAAGTTCTATAGATTGTGTGGATCTCTATCGCATCTCATGCTTCGTGTCCTTCCCGAAGATCAAGCTCGATGAGCCGTCTCTGCAGTTGAACTTTGACTGTCAAGTTGAGCAGAAAGCGGTGGTGGTGGACCATAGTACCCATATACTGCCATCTGGATACCCTGCTGATAGGAGAAACTTGCTGTCGAGCTTGAAATCCGTGACTGATCAGTATGACAACATTCTATTGGACTCACTGGTGAAGGACAACAAGGTTGACAATAACACTCTACGAGAACAGCAGGATGAAACCGTGGCTGGTCCTCAGATATCAGGCCCACGCCAGGTATCACTGTCGTTGGAGATACCAATAATACGGTTGTTGAACTTACGAGTCCGGAACGTCCGCACTTGTCCAAATAAGGTCCTCTCAACCATTGATATTGAACCGTCTTCAAGGGCCAAGGGTTACAAGCTCAGCATTTCAATTGACTCTATAAAGTACCACTTCCAAAGGGCAATAACGGAGAAATTCCATGTCAAGTTCCCCTTAATGTTGGAAAGCAATGACTCCTTCAGTTTCACTTTCCAATTGGACTCGTACGAATTGATCATATACAAGACTCTGATTGAAGTTGACTATTCATGCTCACAGAGAAAGATAAAGACCAAATTGGTTACAAGCGTCGACTTCTTATCACAATTCACTGACCACTCACAGCAAAGCTTGAAGCAAAACTCACTAGCACAGGCAATTCAGATCAAATTCATCGGCTCAAAGCATGCGAAACTGGGACACCCTTTCTATCTGAAGGTTCGTGTGGTGAACACTTCATCTAAGGCAAGAAACCTGGTCCTTGTATTCAACTCTACAGACCAGAACCTACCAAGCATACCAAAACTACCCACGCCAGTGTATCCTAGTCTCTCCTTGCTGAAGAACTATACAAGCTCAAAAGTTCGTACTGTTGGAGTTATAAGCCTGTGCAACGAGGTACACTTCAAATGCGATCCTGGAAGGGTATTTGATAACGAAATCACCCTGATGGGACTACAATTGGGAGTCTACAACATGCACGGTGTGAAATTGGTGGACGTGAACACCGGTGAAACGATAAACTGTGATAAATACTTAGAGATTGTGGTTGAAGATGCCGAGAGTTAGCTAATCCACCAGGATTTCCATGAATTCATGTCCCAGTTTCTCATAATTCTTTCTGAATCCAAATAGCATGTCTCTTTTACGTCTTTGAGGAACTTGTAACAGCAAGGGCTCAAAGGTTCTGATGATGGCCTCCTTGTCAAGGCCGGAACTCACACAGAGTCTGAGGAAGCTTCCAATATAGATCAAAACGTTGGCCCTCAGAGGTGGCAGGTTCTCCAGTATACGTTCCATGACCTGCTCGTCATCTTGGAAGTTGTCCAATAGATACACTGTCAAGTTCTCAGGAACAACACCACCATCCAAGCTTCTCAATAGCAAGAGTAAGACCCTTGCAACAGCCATACTGGAGCTGCTGTTCAAAATCTCGTCCGCCTTTGCCAACTCCTTCTTGTCCAATGGCTTGCCCTCGTTGATCCACTGGATGATCTTGTTCTCCAAGTCATTCGTAAAGCTGAGAATCTTTTCGTTGAACATCTCTTTTCTCAAGTGTGTAGACAAGTAGTTGATCAATGTGTAGATTGGCTGAGGAATGCCACCGTGTGCATCACCATGGAGCTCATCCAACGTAACACCGAAATAACTTGGTTTAGCAACCCATTTCAACGTTAAGAAGTAGTCCTGGGCAGTGTACGCCCTCAAGATAACCGTCTTGGTGAGAGATTTACACCCAATTGGTAACTTGGTGGTGAATGAAAGCCACTGCTCGCCTGTTTTCGGCAAGACACCACGTTGAGGCTCTGTAGTGGATCTTATGGCTTTAATTGGTGTCTTTGAGTCAATGTTATCCACTGCATCCATAATCTCCCAATATGTCTTGTAATGACCAGTGTTCTCAAGATGCACTCTGATTGTTGATGGTGTGAGTACTTGTGTTTCCACTGTGGTTTCAAGGTCTTTGATATCCAAAGTGGTTCTTCGAGTGTTCTCCTTCTCATCAATCTCACTCAAGAGCCCTGTGACAATCTTGTCACGTACCTCGTTGTTAATCAACGGTAGCTTGAGCGAAAGGTCACAGATCACAGGCCTATGGTCTGACAGAACAATTTTCGGTGATTCATAAGAGGTGATGGTGCAGTATTCAGACTCTGAATGTAAAATACGGTCTGTATACGAAGGTGTTCTGTTCAAATCATATTCCCCAGTTCCCTTGTTGATCTTATAACTTGGAGGGAATTGGATATCTCCCTCTGTGAAGTTTTGTAAGATGGAGCCATCAGACCTCTCCCTAGTGAGGGCATCGTGTTGTAATAAACTGCTGAAATCACCTTCTTTGATCAGCTTGGAGACCTTCTCACTTCTGCAATGGATTCTATAGTTCAAATCACCACCTATGATGATGATATTCTTGTCCTGGTCAACCGTGTCGTCCACTGCTTGTGTTTCAATTTTAGAAAGGTTATGCTCTTGCTCATCGTCATCATCTTCATCTGGAGTGGACTCGCTATTGTCCGAGTCATTCTTCTGTTCAGCATCCTGCTCCTCATCACTTTCAATCTCCAACTCGTCCAATTGCTCGGGCAGTTGATCCACGTCGAACAGTACACCTGGGTCCGAAGAGACCAATTTGCCCTTTGACTGTGGTAATTTGATATAACTCTTGATTGCACTCAACTCACGTCTTCTCTTCAGCACAAACTGCTCACTCTCGCCTGCTGCAAAGTGGCAATCCAATAGAGTGAAGTTGAACTCTCTGATGGAGAAGCTCGTTGCAATTGCACCCTTGTTCCCGAACAGGTTCAAGACCCCTGTGCCTATAGAGTCGATGTGAATGTCTGAAAAGTTCAGAAACAATGACTTCTTTGATATCAATATCGACGCCAATCCCAGCAGCTTGTTTGTATTTATGACCCTATACGTTGATCCCAGTAAGGAGAGGATCTTTTCGGCCCACGAATCCACTGGTGCCTGCGATGATCTGAAATTCTTTGCATTTAACGGGATAACCTCTTGGAACGCAACGTATACAACGTCAAAATCACCCTTAAACAGCTCGCTGATGCCATTGTCTGCCGTTGTATACAACGGCTCCCCCGCTAGGTTCCAAGTGATATACCGCAGCTTCAACTCCCTCTGCTCTATGAATTCGCTCTCACGTTCAGACAGTCGCTTGTGAAAGCCTGGTGTTAGGCTCTCCCCTTCACCAACGGCTCCCAAGAACTCTATGGCTCCGTCCCACAGACTCTTGAACTCCTCAACGGCAGATTCATCACCACACCCCAAGTCCTGTCCCTGGAATTTAACGTTCGTCTTCGACTTGGTCCCTGTGACTTGCAATGTGTCATTCTCCGTCAACGGGAAGAACCCTTCATAACAGTCCTTGCTGTTCGGCTTCAAGGCATAACGAGGGATGTCCTCATCCCCATCAGCAGGGAAAAGATACAGCGTATAAAGACTCAGCCTAAGCAACACCATTACTTCTCTGCCAATGTGCGCCAGTAGTGTCGCCAATGGGTGCTTAACTGTGAGACACGTAGGTGATTTCCGTTCTCTCAATTTTCCCTTCAGGCTGTGTGCTTACTGTTTTTCATGGCTCGTGTTAAAATTTACATCTCACGCGATCCACCTGCAGCGCACACGCACAGGCGCTGTAACTTTGAAGCGCAGGCTGAAGACTAACCTTGAATTTTGTTTACAACTCCATTCAATCCAAAGAGAATATATATATATTTATATATAAAGCACCAGCTTCTTCGTTTTTAGCCCTTTTGCTGCCTTTGATTGGGCCGTTCAAGTGGTCTTCTTACTGTTCTTTGGATCGTCAAACGGGTTTGTCGGGTCTCTGAACGGGTCCTGGTCAGAAGTGCTGGTGCGTGTGTGATCGTCACGAAGGTCGTCGTCCTCGTCGGAGCCCAGGTTGAGGCTGTCGTTATCGCCAACGTTCTGGTACTCTGCGTCGTTCTGTGTGTCCTGGAGGGACTGGAGATCGTCCAGCTCGAAGTCGGCAGCGTTCTCCGGGTCAGTTGGCAGTTGAGACGAGGCTGCAAGCATGTATGAAGTGTCTGTTGGTCTCCAGATGAATGCAATGAGGTTGAAGATGAAGAAGTACACCAGCGTTGGCCAGAAGTCCAGGAAGAAGAATCTGGACTTCCAGTGCTGCTCAATCATCTCAGTGGTTGACATGCCGATAAAGATGAAGGAGGACACGATGACGCCGAATATTAGCACAAGCATCGATACAAAGATGATGCGGAACAACTTTTGATACATCTGTAACTTCACGTTCTGTTTCTGCGCGTGTAACAGGGCCGTTGTCGTTGACAACGACTTCAACGTCGCAATGTAAAAGATTGCCGTTGTGATGATCACTGGGATGGCAAAGAGTCCATAGAGACCATTCTCGTCGCCTGGGTTGGCTAGGTAGTTCGTGATGATGTACAGAATTGCGCAACATAGATGAACACCTGCAAAGATACGACATTTCAGCATCAATTTTCTATCGAGCTTAGGATAGACAATACCGTACCCTAATGAGATCACCAACAACAGGAAGAATGAAAAGGTGAACTTAATACCATTCAGTATGGAGACGAAGACTGTGTACACTTTCACGCCGGCATCTCCAGACCCTTTTCTGTTGGTTAAGTCGTACAGTCCCCAAATCATGACACACTCCAACGTCAAAAACAGGTAGAATGCCATAAAGTACTTTTGTAGGGGAAGCACCTCGTGTCTATGTTTCCAAAAGTTGAACGCATAGTATGCAAAGCAAACAGCATACGCAATCGCCAACACGGCATAGAGTGGCAACTTAGGGAACTCCGAGGCTGCAATCCGGCCAAACGAATTTCTAAAGTTTGCAACAACTTTGAACTTTGTCGATCTTGTCGATGTATAGGTTGCAACGCAATAATACCCGGTGTTCTTGACGAGATATGTCTCCTCGCTGAGTCCCAATTTGTTCAACGTGTATGCCAAAACCTGGGACTTGTTACCCTTGATGTCATCGTTGACGATGAACTGGCCCAATTTGTCTGTCTCACACACACCTTCAGATACGGCAACTTCATCACAGATGTACTTTCTGTTTCCATCGGATAAGCCAACACCAAAGGTGTCGATGTCCTGGTACTCAAATATCACAACAGCCACCTGTACCGGTTCGGATTCGTATTTCTTCAGATTCGTAGTGATGAACGGGTTGATGCTGCCACCAAACGCCGATTTGTCGTACATACCAGAACACGTCTGCTTATAGTCCTGATCAATGGTTTCTCTATTGGCCAGTGCCCCTGTAACGAGCAACGATAACGCCGTCAGGTATTTGAACGGCAATTGCATGGTGGAAAACTCTCTCGAACCAATTGAACACGCTAGGAAGGCACAACAAGACGGTGCTGATACAACGGTTTCACCCTTTATGAGGCTTTTTCAAAGGGAAAGTTGAGGAATCCAAGATAGAACTGAACCCAAAAAAAAGAAGGCTAAGTATTGGCAGTTGTCTGTGCCAATTTTTCGTTTTCGCTCTTGCGCTGTCTAAGCGTTTGTTCTCTTTTTGGAAGCCTGACTGCGCCCTTTTGCGCGGTCAAAACGGCGTGCCTGTTCCCTTGCTGTGCTTCCACGCTTATGCGATTGAACCGAGATTTCCCCTTTGAGGTGGAGTTGCGCAAAAAGCTCAAGAACAATGCGCAAAGCACGAACTCCCCCCTCCCAACAGAAAGCGCCAAAATCACCGAAAATTTCCCTTTGTCGTCCGTGAGAGAACGCCCCCTGTGCGTGTCCCAACCTCACCCTCTGCCTAGTTCCCCTAAGCCTCTCCCTCCAGCAGAAACACCCTCCCCTATCGTCGAGCTTACGCAGGGAGCAGGAGAGGCTCCTCCGTCGGACCTTGCTTATTAAGCAATATAAGAAAAAAAAAAGCACAGACACAGAAACAGGAAATCTTGTTTGTGTCCTCGTTTGTGTAAACATCAACAACCATTGTTTACATTCAACAATGGATGCGACGATGAACGAGGACAACACCGATGATGCTGAATATGTTGACCTCACGATTGACGACCAGTCGGCTGATGATGGGGCGGTAACAGCTGACGGTAAGGAAGACGTTTTCGAACACGATGGACACTTGGATGGTGAAGATGAATTGGATCTGGCAAGCAATGTTGATGGTGATGAGGATGTCGATATCGCTGATGTTGACGTGGCGGCTCGCGCTTTGCCAGGTATTGAAGAGCAGAGAAGCATCATTAAACAGTTGCAGGATGAAAACAGAGACGCGTATGTGGAGGGCTGTCCTGTGAACGTGTTACCGCTGGCATGGCTCGACACGTTCATCAGCGGTGACGTTGGTGATGAAGCGCTGGGGCCAATAAACACACGAGGAATACGATCGGACTCGGGCGTGTTTTGTGATACGTCACACTATCCGTTGGCGCATGTCTTGCCACAGGTGTTTGACCAGTTGGTGTCGTGGTATGGGTTAGCTGCGGGCTGCCAACCGATAACGACGTATATGATTGATAACAATGGTCAATTGGAGCCGGAATATTGTAGACCAATATTCCAATTACATCACTTGGTGTTGAATGCGCCGCAATATACATCGTATGCGCAGGTGCCTACGTTGACCGTTTCACAGTTCAACACCTGTCAAGAGTTGATACAGATGTGTATACACGTGTTGGATGGCCGTGAGAACCTATCACACTCCCCAGACTTCCACGACTTCAAGTTTAGAGTATGGGTTGTTGAGGATCCGAACATACACTCGCTGAACTACCAACTTACTCCAGCAACGTTTTTATCGTTAAGCACGAAAGTGTTGATAACGGGGAAATTCTTCCAAGCGTTAATCAAAGACACCGGACTTCGAGTGGGGCATTTGGTGATTGAACAGAAACAGTCCATCGCCATGGGTAAATCTAAACAGCTGAAGTGTTGGCCTGCGAATTATATGGTTCACTTCCCACCAACTCCATCTAACGGCTGTGTCGGTTTACAAAACTTGGGGAATACCTGTTACATGAACTCGGCATTGCAGTGCCTAGTACATATCCCTGAATTGACACAGTACTTCTTGTTCAACAGCTATTGCAATGAAATCAACGAAAACAACCCTTTGGGAATGGATGGAAGAGTGGCACGTGCATTTGGAGATTTGATCCACCATCTATTTGATAAAAAACCATCGCACTCAAGCTTTTATACCCCAAGGGATTTCAAACAGGTTATCGGACACTACAACAGTATGTTCTCTGGTTATCATCAACAAGATTCTCAAGAATTTTTGGCATTCTTATTAGATGGGTTACACGAAGATTTGAACAGAATTATTAAAAAACCAATAACGGAAAATGTTGAGCTTGATGAAAACGATGCTGCCAATATAGAAAAGGTTAAAGAACTAGCAGTTACAAGCTGGCACAATCATAAACTTCGTAACGATTCCGTGATCATTGACTTGTTCGTTGGATTGTACAAATCAACGTTGGAGTGCCCGTCATGTGGTAAGATCTCCATTACTTTTGATCCCTTTAACGATTTGACATTACCATTACCAGTGGATAATTTTTGGTCGGGTTCTATCGACTTATTCCTTGAAGATGGGAACTTAAAATCCTTCCAGTTGGAGTTACCAAAGACCGCAACATACCAAACTTTGAAGTCATACGTCGCTTCAAAATTGCAACTCAAGTCTGAACACTTGTTTACCGCAGAAATTTGGAATCACCAATTCTATAGGAATCTTGAGGACTCAGAATCACGCTCTGGTTATTTACCAATTTCAGATTTAATCACAAGTGGTGATAAGATGATCATGTACGAGGTGAAACACAAAGAAGGAGATTTGATTGTTCCTGTACTTAATACTGTCAAACCACCCACCAACTCGCCAGATGCATTTGGGGTTCCTTTCTTCATTTCCCTTGACGAAAAGGAAAGACGTTCGTTTGGTGCTATAAGAAAGAAAATTGAACACCGTTATGAACAACTAAGTACATTCAAGTACTTTTCAACCGTTCGTGCAAATCAAGACGATAAGTTATTTAACAAGGCTGATTTCCCCCTCATTAAATCGGATGAAAATGTTTCAGATGACTCTGAATCTATTGTTTCAATGGCAAACCCAGAAATTTCGGGGGACTACGCCTTCACTATAAAGATATTCGACTCGTCTAAGGAAATCAAGTCTAGAAGAAGAAATATGGGCCATTATAGACCTTCCCCAGCTGCTTCTTGTAATGAAAAGGTGTGGACCCCATCAACTAACAACAACTTCACAAATTTACCTGATTTGCTTGATTTGTTACCGGAGCAGAAGAAGGTGTATTATACTTATGCTCGGAAGCTGGATATTGATACAACAACTGGCTCAGAAGAGTCTAATGATGTTGATGTAATGGATGCCAGTGAAACGTTGGATCAGTCCAAACTACCTGGTGATCTCGATATTGAAAGTGTGATCGGTACTAATGATGGTGGTGTCAATACGCCTTTGACAGACTCTTCACTGGATATAAATATTGAGCCTCTGACTGTAGATATTCCAGAAAAATCAGAAGACACGCATGGAAAGGTTGTCGGCACTACAGTAACGGTAACAGATCTTGTTTCACCAAAGCAAGCGTTAATCTGTGAATGGGACCCAGACAACTTTGATGCATTTTTCTCAGGCTTAGATGATGAAGGGGAAGGTGGTAAGGAAACCTGGACCACACCAGAGGTGTTGGTAAATGAAGAGGTTGTCGAATCACAACGTCAACGAGAAGAACAGAAAAATAAGAAATTAACACTTGACCAATGTCTCAAGTTATTCTCAAAACCCGAAGTTTTGGGTGAGCATGATCTATGGTATTGTTCAAGATGTAAAGAGCATCGTCAAGCTACAAAGCAAATCCAGATATGGTCTACGCCGGATATCTTAACCATTCATCTAAAGCGTTTTGAAAACCAGAGAAGCTTCAGTGATAAAATCGATGCCGTTGTTGATTTCCCAATTGACGGTTTGGATATGTCACAATATCTTGCGTGTCCCGTGGAGAATCAAGCCGGCATGATCTACGATTTGTTTGCTGTTGATAATCACTATGGTGGTATCGGAGGTGGCCATTACACTTCGTATGTCAAGAACTTTGTTGATAATAAGTGGTATTACTATGACGATTCTCATGTTCGTGTTAGCTCACCAGACAATGCCATCAGCGGAGCTGCATACTTGCTCTTTTACAGAAAACGTTCTAGTGGGTTCCTCGGTGGTGAAAGACTGTCAGCTATGCTGGAGAAGTCTAGAGACCAGTATGAGGATAACGAAAAGCTCAAACTGAGTGAGCTGGAGAAAGTTTTCAACCAAACAGAGGAAGACGATGATGACAATGACGACGATGAAGAGGATGAGGATGACGAAGAAGAAGAGCGCAAGAGTGAAAGAAGTGCAGGGTCTGTTAACGACAGTGCCGACGGCAAGGCTAACCTCAGCAGCTCCTCAGAAAGTTTTGAGACTGCTAACGGCACCACTTTGAAGATTCAAACAGACGCTGTTGGTGGAGATGACTCATCTGATAATGTCTCGAGCATACCAGTGGGTACCGATGACGAGGAAGATTTGTCCAATTATCGTCGAAAGCAAAGACTCTTAAGTCGTGGCATCAAGTTCCCACTTGTCGATACTGACTCGCCGGCTGTAGGATCGCCGACCTCCAATGTGTCTGATGATGACTCTTCAACGTACAGTTCCCACGTTACTGTTCCATCTACGATACGTCATCCATTATGAGAAGACAATAGGTATACATACTCTATGGATGTGTTTTGTATCTTTTTCAAGATTTGAACAACAGTTCAACTTCACCGAAAGATGGGATACTGTTTGAAGCACCTTTCTTTTGGATCGCCAGTGAAGAAGCCAATGCTGCGAATTTCAAAGCTCTGTGTGGATCTCTTGAACTGATTAATTGAGTTACAAAAGCACCTAGAAAGGTATCACCTGCGCCTGTTGTATCAACAACGTTATCAACTTTTACTGCTTCAGTAAATCCCATTGAATCTTTTGAACGGAATAGAGATCCATAAGTTCCAAGGGTTATCACTATAGTGGCCTCGTTTTTCTGATTAAGGAGAGGTTGTAGTTTCAAAGATAATTGCTTGTAACCTTCCACCATGTCATCAGCTATAAGCGTCTCGTAGTTGCTCAACTCCTCTTTGGCAAGGATGTCCTGTGCAATTGAGAGGCACTCACCTTCATTCACAATCAAATGTCCACCAGTGGTGTCAGCTTAGAACTGAAGGAGTAATAAGGCGAAGGATTATAGACAATCGAAGCGTTGGGTCTATTCTTAGAGAGCCATTGTATGGTATACTCCGTTCCTTTGATTTCATTCTGAAAGACAACTACCTGTTTATCATGTGTAAACAGTTGGTGCAATTCCTCATCCGTGTAAGAAGCTTCTCCATTGGCACCTGGTGTTATAAGGATACGGTTCTCACCCGTGCTCCGTTCCACAATGATGACAGCAACGCCCGAAGAAACGCCGCTAAGGACACCAACCTGCGATACATCGACATCGTACGACTTCAAGGTATCAATCAAGTCCTTCCCAAACGTATCACCGCCAACTTTACCAACCATTCTGACGGCATCGCCAGCCTGGGCTTGTCTCGCCAGCGAAACCGTCTGGTTCAGTCCCTTACCACCAACATGAGTTTCGAACGAATCACCTTTAAAAGTCTCACCAGCCTTGGGGACTCTCTCCGTGTATGAGACAAGATCGTAGTTCAGAGAGCCGACAACCGTGAACAACACCATTTTGCTCCTGGTTTCCAGTGCTGAGATGTTAGGGAAGTATTTCCAGCTGCCTGGTCTTAGTGCGGTTTTTCGCAGTCTGCCTAGGAAGAGAGGCCCAGGCAGAGAAGTCCAGGCAGAGAAGCCCAGGCAGAGAGGCCCAGGCAGAGAGGCCCAGGCAGAGCGGCCCAGGTAGAGCGGCCCAGGCAGAGAAGTCCAGGCAGAGAAGTCCAGGCAGAGCGGCCCAAGCAGAGCGGCCCAGGTAGACAGGCCCAGGCAGAGAAGTCCAGGCAGAGCGGCCCAGGCAGAGCGGTCCAGGCAGAGCGGCCCAGGCAGAGCGGTCCAGGCAGAGCGACCCTCCGGGGGAGCTCATCGGGGAGGAAAAAGAAAATTCTTTCTGATCGAGCGAGGGCCATGAAGGCAGCAAGGCAACACTATCTAAAGAGAAAGGAGCTCTTAGCGGGAAACTAACAGACGAGAGGAATCGACAGAATGGCAGAAATCGAACCAATCACCTTCCCACCAGCTGTGCTCGCAAGAGTCTCTCCCGAGCTATCACTACAGAGACATCTAGCCATTGGAATACGTCCGTGTCTGAGAACATTTGAAGAGTTCAGAGCTGTTGAGTGCACTGCTGGGGGCCTCAGCAGATACTCTGAAGAGTCTGTTAAAGACTCTTCCGTGCTGGGATCGTCGTTGGTGAAGAGTGGCAACACCACCGTGATATGTACGATCACAGGCGGTATCCTGGAGGAGGACTTGCCAGCTGAAGTGGTGAACGAGGACGCTGAGGCTGTCAACGCCATCTTTGCACCTGAAGCGATTGAAGAAGAAGCGAAGGAAGAGTTTGACTCGCTAGAATCAAACGCTGCTGTCTATCCAATAGTCGAGGTGGAGAGAGGAAGAATAGGAGCGCCTACTGATGAGGAGATGATCCTGGGACAGAGGCTCTATGAGACCCTGTTGCACTCTGGCATCATCTCCAAGGAGTCTCTAAACGTCAGGGTTGGACTACGAAGCGTCGAGGAAGACGGAAAGGTTGTCATCACGTACTTTGACGACTCTGAGATTGGCTCAGAGCTCGGTCCAAAGAGGAAATGGCAGTACGTGTTGTATGCCAAGGTGAAAGTGTTCAGTCGTTCCGGTCCACTGTTTGAGTTGGTGTGGTATTCTCTGTTACAAGCTCTGAAGAACACGAAGCTTCCAAGGGCTTATATTGATGAGAGCGCTGCTGACATCAAGATCCCGGTAAAGATCAGAGGGAACTTTGCCGCAGTTAGAGAACAGTACCAGATTATATGTGATCCTTTAGAACATGATACGCTCATTTTGAACGAAGCAGCACTTGGATACGCATCCAACTTCTGTATCATTGATATTGATGAAGAGTCGAGAGAGACTGTTGAACCAGAGGATCAATCCATGGAGGTTGACTCAAGATCAGTGCTTTTAGCGGATGTTGAAGGGGAAGAAGAAGAGGCATCCTCCAAAAAGACCATGTCAATTGTAGTGGATAGCAAGGGTGAAGAGCTCAAATCCGTGACGATATCTGGAGGTGTTGACAACGACCAGCTGAAGCGTGCTGTGGAATTGGCTAGACTAAGATCTAAACAATTGCTTTAATTGTGTGTACTGTGACAATGTATTACAAATTCTAAAGGAAATATAAAGTATACATCTTGTTTCATAATCATTACCAAAAAGAGAGAGAAGAAACTGAATGTTCTTCTGGTATTATAACCGTTATCATGATGTGTAGAGATTTCTTTGCTTATGCCTTTCTTCTTCTCAAGTTTGTTGGAGCTGGAGATGGAGATGGAGTGACAACGTTCTTCACGTCAACTTGGACGTACTCGTTGATCTTGTTACCAAAGCCATCAACTCTCTTCAATACTCTGGCCTTTTTACCCTTTGTGATGTAGATTTCAATGTAGAACAGCACAAACAACACTAGGTAGGAAGAAATGATGGCAACACCTGCCCATGTGGCCAATGTGGTACCGACACAATCGATGCACTGAGTTTCAGAGCAACCAAAGAGACCCCAATCGTGTTTAAGCTTGATGAAGGATGCGTAGTAGATGAATGTGAGATCCAGGATGAACTGGATGATTTGGAAGTTTGTGATCCACTGCTTCCACCAGACTCTGATACCTCTGGCAGCCAAGAAGTAGTACCAGTACATGACGACATGCACACCCAAGTTCAACGAGATAGGGACCCACGAAATGGAGGTCTTACCAGTGAGTTGCGTGTAGCACAAGAGCGCAGTTGCACCGTGGTGATACGAGTGGAGGAAGATGATTTTCTTTCTCTTCACAACGAGGAACAGCGTGTCGACAAACTCCAAGTACTTTGTCAAGTAGTTCAGGTAGTAGAGCGTAACCAGCTCCTGCGTCCACGCCTTCTGGTTGCAGATGGCGTAGAACACGCCATGGTGATACACGATTGGCACGAGCTGCTCCACCATCAACACCAGCAATGTCCCGGAGATGAGCGTCAGCACTAAGTTGTGCAACTGGAACGGGTAGTTCAGCTTCCACGCCGGCCAGTTGTACCTGTTGAAGCAGTACTGGCCACCAAAGATCAACGTGTAGTACACAACGATGGTCAAAGCCACCGGCGGAAACGTCGACAGGAAAGTCTCTGCCTCGACGAACTCGAACGCGTCTGGGACAAAGCGTCCGCCAGTGACGAACGACACGGCCTCGTTGAACAGAGGCCACAGCTTCACACCAAACGGTGTTTCTATTGAGCAAGCGAAGGCCATCCTAACAGCAGCAGCAAACAGCGAACAACAAACAACAACAACAGCAGCAAGAAGGGCAACTGGAGGTGGAGGACGAAAGATGAAGAAAGCAGAGGAAGGAAGTGTTTTCGAAAAGTAAACAGAAGTTGCCGACCGTGAGCGAGGAATAAAAAAAAAGAAACCAAGCGCGCTGGTCTCCTAAGAGACGCATTGGTAGGGGCACTAAATAGGGGCAGGAGTGGGAAGCTCACAGGTGACGTTTCTTTTGCTGTAGAAAGTGGGATGGCCTCGGCTGTTTTAGGCTGCTTTAGGCTGTTTTAGGGGTGCTTTACGCTGTTTTAGGGCTGTTTTAGGGGTGCTTTCTGCTGTTTTGGGGCTTTGTATCGTTCAATTGAGCTCATCACATGCTCCACGCGGCCATTGCGTCAGTTGCGGTGGCCTTTTTGTCCTCCCCGTTGGGGTCCTCGGGGCGGCGTGAGGAGGAGCCGGCTGGTCGCTGGTATTACGTAAGCGCTTACGTAAGCACTGCGATACGGGCCTTGTGAGGGTCGTCTGAGGTGGGACGGGAAACGTGTGGAGGCCTACGAACGCCATTGACGATGCTATGAGGTGTGTGGTCTCCAGGTCAATGGCTGGTTAGAGATGTGCCACGCCGACGGTGTTGTGTTTAGTGTGCAACGTCTGAGCTTTGGTGTCAGTGTAAGCGGTGTTATCTCCGGCTAATCTCCAGTAACTACGGTTAACTCCGAAACGAATAACACTGTTGGCTAAGTCTAATGCTGGTGGTTCTATATCTATACCTCTAGCACAAGGAAGTCCCTCTCCACTCTGTGCATGAGCTTCATGGTCTGCTCCATGAACGTCAACGTCAGGATGGTGTGAGGTGCGATTCTCATCAGCTGTGCGAAGAAGCCCTTGTAGAGTGCACCAAAGCCTTCTATCCTCACGGTCTTGACAAAACAGTCAACGACACCGGTGTAGTGGCTGCCACTTTGGTTGTACATTCTCGTCAGGATAACATCGCTCGGGTTCATGACCACACCGACACCGATACCGGCAAATGTGGACGAGATGAGGTGCAAGGAGTAACCTTCATCGACCAGATGGTGCTTGAGAAGGAAGTTCTTCACCCAGTTGTAGATAGGCAATTGAACGGAAGAGCCCATACCGGTTCTGATGATGGCAGCGTTGATGCCTCTGAACCATCCGGCAATACCTTCTTTCTTCCAGATCTGATACAATCCGTCAAATGTGCTCTTGTAATGGGTTTGGTCACCAACGGCCACCTTTTCAGAGTAGCTCTGCATACGAGTCTTGATCAAGAATAGAGGCGAGCCAATAACAGCACCTGCCATACCGGAAAGTGCACCTGCTACAACGTTAACAGGGATGGATTGGATTCTTGATGGGTCCTCTTCTTTCCTGAACAGCACTCCGTTGAGCAAACGTCTAGTGGGCTCGTAGAGACCTAATCTACAACCGTTTAGACCTAGTTGGTAGATATACGCACAGACAAGCCCCTTCTGTAGCCCTCGGACACCTTCATTCTTATAGATCGTGACCAAAGCCTGGAATGGATTTCTATACACCTTCTGTGATGACGCAGACAGCTCTCCTTGGAGTTGCATTCTTGTCTTGACAAGTTCTATAGGGTTGGTGAACGTCACGGCTCCACATGCTGCGAGACCACCAGCGAGAAATCCTCCAAAAGTGGAAACCTTCTGGGCTGCTGACTTCTCCGACATTTCAATGACCTGATTCCTCCTGACAAAGCTTCAAAAGAACATGTAAAATACTCGAAGGTTATAATTTTTCACTTTTTCCAACCGCAGCTCCGGCACCGGCGCATCGACTGTGCGCGTTTGGTGGTGATCGACAAAGAAGCGGCCCGGTTCGTCGCGTAGCCTAGGCAACGCCAACATGGTAAAAGCTTATACAAACTACATTGATAACTACAACTGATGGAATCCGCCTCTTCCTTGTTGCTTTCCTTCGCTTTCTTGAATATTTGTCGTAAAATGCATATAGTCTCTATCTAATTTGGTTGCCACAGTCGCTGCAAAACATTTCAACACCGGTTGATGACTTGCCAACGTGAAACTTATCACCTCCACACACATCGCATGTGACACCAGCAGAGACTGCCGACCTTGAATTGCCGTTAACTCTGGTGGTGGAGTCGGTGGTGCCAGATCTGGACCGGGAGCCCAGAGGTGGTGAGCTGTTCCTGTCAAGCTGTGCAATTTTCCGTAGGGAATTTGACCTTGAAAGCACGGAGCTGCTAGATAGGTTCAGATGCTTATGCTTGTAAGGCTCTCTCTCGCACTTCTTCTTCTCGGCCAGCAGCTTCTTACGAACACTCGTGGAGAAATCTTGACGGAAGACTCTAATGAGACCCCTATCGTCCGATGTAACGATTATACTGCCGATATAGCTTTCTGCGAGCAGTGATCCCTCCTGTGATGGCTGCTGTGGTGGCTGTGGTTGTTGTAGTTGCTGCTGCTGTGACTGCTGTTGATCCTGCTGCTGTTGTATGTCACCTTGGTTTGCTTCGTTCAGTTCACAATTCAACTCATAGATGAAGTCATTGGATAACGACAATGCCTTGAAAGTCCCCGAAGGTGCTATCAATGCACACGTCACGACTGAGCTGTGCGCATGGAACGACGTATAATCACTTCTTTTCCTCTTGTTACTGATCAGGTTCTTTAAATGTGAGGACGAGGGATCACGAGGCTTATCAATCTCCCACAGATAAACCCAGTGGTTTTCAGATCCAGATATCAGATACTTGTGACTATCTGAGACTGTAGCAATGATCTGAGATGAGTTGTTACTGAGACCCTTGAAGTAGAACTCAAGCTGCTTGTGTCTCAAGGATATCAATCTGATTCTTGAATCGTTTGAGGATATGAGAACCTTCACATCGTCACCATCGACAAAGCTCTCGATTCCGGTGATCTTTGAGCTCTCGCTGCCCTTCTTCTTGTTCAGATCAAGAGAGTGTTTCAACTCCAGGTTTTGGGTGTCCAGAAAGTAAACAGTGCCGTTAAAAGTACCAACAATGGTCATTGATCCATTTGGGATGAACGCAACAGCTGTAACAAGGTTCTTAGCATCAAATTCATAACTCACTTCATTCTCCAGAATGGACCAGAGACGCACCTTATGGTCTAGGCATCCACTAATAAAGAATCTATCATCTGTTGGGTGGAACTTGATCGATGGGACGAAATCGTTGTGAACAAAGGTTCGCAGCGCATAGTCCTCGTTGACGTTCCATAGTTTAACGGTCTTGTCCATGGAGCTCGTAAGCAAAAAGTTATTCTTGCTCCAATCCAAGGATAGAATATCATCCGAATGTCCAATATAACTTCGATAAGGCGAATCTTGGAATACTGAGGCGTACTCGGTCTTGTCTCCATACTGAGGAGAGTCTAGTCTATCTAAAGGTGAAGATATAACTTTCCAAATCTTGATGGTGCTATCCCTTCCGGCACTGGCAAGGTATTTCCCGTCACTGCTAAACTTCATTGCCCAAATCGCATGCTTATTCGTCAAGGTCTCATCGCGAGTGTCAGTGCTTACCGGCGTTGAATTTGCATCAAATTCATCACTGCTCTTCAATTCGATGTCATCTACTCCATTGGCGACCAAGCCATTCAACCTGGGTTCAGCACTCTGTAACAGCTCTTGTGCCAAAAACAGCTGCTTACAGATGGGTAACGTTCTTCCGCTTCTTTTGAAGGTCTTGATGTACTTTGGCTGTCTGAGGTACTTCTCATAGTCCTCGCCTTCAGGAATGTTGAACAGTCGATCAGAAGAGCTTGCATGGCTCTTGCCAACCCCAGGTATCAACCCTTTGAAGCACACAGGGCCTGAGGCCACTGCATATGATCCGAGATCTATAGATCTATCATCCTCAGAGGAATCGTCCTGTTCATCTGTCCCTGTGGATGACGATAGGTTCGTGGAGAGCGACGCTGACCTTCCACGGTCCTCAGATTTCGAGTTGAACACCTTGAATATTGACAGACGTCTCCCTTTCTTCCCACTCCCAGAACTCGATGAGCTCAGCGTGGAGGACGTTGTGCCGTTATGTGGTGGCATCGTCTGCAGTGTATGGTGCTAATCAAGACAGGAGTGAGCCAGCACAGAGAGATAAAGCCAAAGTAAGGAAAGCACGCACAGTGTTCCTCCTTCGTGCTGCGCTAATGACGATGATCAGATGCCTCTATAGGGACAAGACACGGTATCCTTTCTCAAAATGAACAATAGCTGGATGTGTCTGTCTCAGCGGTTATATACCCAATTACAAGTGCTAACACGTCCTCGTTCTCCGTATTCAAACTGATCCCAAACCCTGTATATAACAGACTGAACCAGGGTACCGTCTCCAAACTTCAACCACGTATCGGCTTCCCTTCTTCGATGAACTTCATTGCTTTCTTCCCGATAGGCCTCGAGCGAGGCCGACAAGGCTCAAGAAGCCGAGGGGAATGTCATGTTAATGTCCTAATCAGGTAATTTTCTGCTTTAAGAGTTTATATACGACGACAACAGTTACCCTCCCGGCTATCCCAAGCTTTGCGCGCAAAGAGAAAAAATTTCGGCCTGTTTGAACGATGCGCCATGGAACAAAACAATAGCAAAGAGGTGGAAGAAGAGAGCCAATAACCCCTTCAACCGTTGGAATAAGCATTTTGAACTATGTCTCAGCAAGGGTAAGTTAGCTAGGATCGATTTATGGGCGTTGTTGTGGCCGCGGGGGTGTTGTTTCCCCGGTGTCTTCACCTGGGGAAGACCAACATCATCAGCGCCCGTATACTCATAAGCAGGCTAGACGGTTACTAACGGTGGAGCTGTGTAGAACTTGGGCGGACGACGTTGTTGAGAACCAACCTCTCATCACCACGAATGAGGACGGTACGAAGACCGTCATAACGTACAGAATAAACGAAAAGGGCCAGAAGATCAAGGTCACACAGATAGTCAAAGAGATCATCGTCAAAGAGAGCGTCAACAAGGAAGTTGCAAAGAGAAAACAGTGGGCCAAGTTCGGAGAAGAGAAGAACGCTGCTCCTGGCCCAGACTACAGAACCACCCAAGTTGGTGAGGAAGTGCATCTCAGATTGGGTACCGCATGGAAGACTGCTGAGAAGGAGGCGGAAGAGAAGAAAGCTGAGGAGTCCATGCTTTCTGCAAACACACGTGCAATTACGTGTAGATACTGTAAGGGACAGCATTTCTCCTCCAAATGTCCATTCAAGGACTCGCTTGCATCCTTGGAACCTGATCCAATGGACGAATCCTCGGAAGCTGGCGCCGCAGCACTTGCTTCCCCATCAGCTCCTGGCAAATACGTCCCACGTCACTTGCGTAACGGTGGTATCTCTGCCTCCGGCGAGTCGTCTCGTGAACGTGATGATTCCTCAACATTGAAGATTGCCAACTTGAACGAAATGGTTGACGAGGACATGCTGAGAAACCAATTGCTCTATCCATTCGGCCCATTGGTCAGAGTCAACGTTGTAAGAAACAGGGAAACAGGAAGATCAAGAGGTTTGGCATTTGCACAGTTTGCATCTGAGAGTAGCGCACAGAGGGCCCTCGATGCCTTGGACGGTAAGGGTTTCCACTCTTTGATTCTCCAAGTAGGCTGGTCAAAACCAAAGAAACCACAACAGCAGTAGTAAGCTCTGTCTTGCTACGTATATAAACCTCTATGTACACTAATTGAAGACTCTTCATCCATAGAATCGAGCACCTTTTAAAGGCGTAGCCATCGCTTATGATGAGCTCTCGGGTGAGTTCCGGTCCATATCCTACCGGATCTCGACAGCGTAGTTTTTAGTCTGGTAGGAGCACGCCCAATCGGTTATTGCCACCAAAGAGAAATCCAAACAACAACAACAACATCATCATCATCAACATCAACATCAACGGCAAACTACCCACAGGACACGTGAAGCAGTGGAAAGACAACAATGGCTGATATTGCTGGTATTCTAACACAGATTCGTGAGGAAGTGGACCCGACCTTGGCTCCCCTGTTCTTCACTTTCGAAGACTTCTACCAACGTAAGCTATGGCACTACCTCACGCTTTGCCTAGACACGTTCTACCAGTCAAAGCTGTCAATTGGGTTCCGCATGAAGTTATATACCCAGTTCGTATCTGAGTTCAAATGGAAGCTGAACCAGATGAAGAACGTGGAGTTCTTGTCACAGTCCCTCGTTGAAGTTGAGTTCCCAGAGGAGAAGCTGGAATACCTCAAGACATGCCACACAGAGCTAGAGGCACAAGATAAGTTGGACAACGAACAGGCGTTGTTGTTCTTGGAGGTTGAAATAGCAAGATGTAAACTCCATTTGAAACAGGAGAACGATGCCCGTGACGAACTTGACAAAATTGATACAAAGATATCCGCCTTGGATGACGTTGAGTTGAAGTTGAACCAATCATACTATTCAACAAACTCGGAGTACTACAAGGTGAAAAGTGACTACAACAACTTCTATTACCAGAGCTTGTTGTACTTGTCCACTGTAACATTGGATGACCTGAGCGTTGTGGATCAACAAAGATTGGCCTATGAGTTGAGTATTAGTGCATTATTGGCTGATAAGATCTACAACTTTGGTGAGCTCTTGATACATCCGATCCTTTCCACATTGAAGGGCTCAGATTATAACTGGCTTGTTGATTTGTTGTACTCCCTTAACTCAGGTAATATTGAACAATTTTCTGCAAACTTGGGCCATTTGGAGAAAAACCCATTGTTGAAGAACTCTGAATCCTTCTTGAAGCAGAAGATTTGCCTAATGACGCTTGTTGAGCTCGTCTTTAGCAAATCCATTAGAATCATATCCTTCAAAGATGTTTCCAAGGCAACAAAGTTGAGTCTGGATGAAGTCGAACACTTGGTGATGAGAGCTCTCAGCTTGGGTCTCTTGAAGGGATCCATCGATCAAATCAGTCAAACAATTTCCATCAGTTGGGTCCAGCCTAGAATCATTAGCCAAGAACAGATCGCTAACATGAAGCAAAAATTAGTCGAGTGGGATGCAAACGTTTCCAAATTGGGTCATTTCATGGAACAAAATGGGAAAGAAGTTTGGATCCAGTAGATACTACTTTTTTTGTTTCTTCTCTAGAAGTTCAAAATTGAAACGCTGTTCTGTGCGATCACTAGTTATCCATCTGTAGATTTTCTATATCCCGTAGGAGCTGTTCCTTGGATCGACTTAACTTTTCAATTGAGGCTTGGTGGCGTATTTTGAGGCCTTCAACTTCTCTTGTGATCTGTACATTTGGTTGAATTGCTGCAAGTACAGCCCTGAAGTCACCACTCAACTTGTCATTTCTTGCTTTTAATGCATTATGCTTTGACTTGAGCAAATCATATTGGTTCCTTTGGTCGATGAGCCTTTTCTCCAAGAACTTGTTCATGTTGGTAAACTGTAACAACAACTGGTCCTTCGCATTGGCCTCATCAAGACTGGTTGTCAAATCCGATATCTTTTGCTGTAACTCTAAGAATTCTTGCTCATTGTGTGCAGCAACTTGATCAACAACGTTCTTCGTAGCCTCCAATCTTATCTTCTTCACAAGCGAAGCATATCGTAGCGTACTTAGCGTCTCGTCGTAATCCACAGGTGATATACATGCAATCATTGCAGTCTTGGAATTACCACCCAAGGATTCCTTCAATAACCATGTAAGTGTCGAATCCCTGAAAGGTGGTTTTTCGTTCTTCGTTAGAGAGGTAAATACCCTACCCAACGTCGTCAATGATTTGTTTATGTTGGAACCTTCTTTGAAACGAACGCCTGTGGCACCTGTGGCATCAGCACGTTCTGAGCCGGCTAAATCAACCAATCTAAGACATGAGTTCGTTTCTCTCACTAGGTACTCGTTGGAATCGAACTCTGTTATTCTGATGGAGACTGTGAAGACCGCGTGTGATCTTGAAGATTTGTCATTCATCTTTGTAGCGCCGGTTGTTCTATTCTTGTTTCCAATTTTCATATAGTTGACGAAATCATCCACAACTTGTATTGGGAAGCTTTGTAGTCCCTCTATGTAGGGACCGGTCACTGGATCCTCTCGGACCCTCAGCTGGCTGTTCACCTCGTGAGTCTTTAATAGATCACGTACTTGTTCGTTGTAGATCTCAAAGAACGATACCGTCATTTGAGCCTTGGAGCTCTCCGGCATCGCAGTACACGCATCGAACAACTCTTCACAGCATCTAGGTATAATACCTGGCTCTCTCTGCGTGCCCATCATCGTGTAAGACTTACCTGACCCTGTTTGGCCGTATGCAAAGATACACGTATTGTAACCGTTCAACGTATGCTTTAACAACTCACCAGCACATAGATCAAAACACTTCTCCTGCGAAACGAAGCACTCGTCCACTGGATCCAAACTGCACATCGAGTGGTCGAAATGGAACTCCTTGGGCTCTTGAATCTGTTTCTTCGAAGGTGATGAATTGACAGGTAACCGTGGAGGCATCAACGTTGTTGTTTGATCTTTCATCTCCACGAGAACCGCCTGCCCTTCTTCTCTTTTCAGCTTCAGACGAACCCTAGCGAAGACCTGAACGTTGTCCTTCATCTTAAAACTGATCCGCCACGCTGTTGACCTACCCGCCGTGGAGTGTTTGTGCTGAACCGTGGCCTTTGTTTACATTTCTGTCGCACCGAAATCAAAACAAACCGGTCCCGCTTCACAGGTCGGCAAGCCTAAAAAACACAGAAAAGGGCTCAAAAACAGAGGGCAAAAAATCAAAACATTACTACTCAGAATCAACAGATTACAAGTCATAGACACACCAATTACACAATGACTACAGACAGAAAGCGTATGTTAGACTCATCCATCATGTACTAGTACAGATTGCTAACAATAGAGAGCTGAAGCTATCATCAAGGCACAGGACATGCCAGAGGATGTACAGAAGCAAGTACTCGAGATTGCCGCTAAGGCGCTAGAAGAGAATGATTTGGAGAAGGATGTTGCTGGGCAGATTAAGAAGGAGCTGGATAAGACTCACGGACACACATGGCATGTCATTGTCGGGAAGAACTTTGGTTCGTATGTCACGCACGAATCGGGCTTCTTTCTCTATTTCTACATCGGCCCATACGCCTTTTTGATCTTCAAGACTGGTTGAGCGTAACAGCCAGTTCTCTGTTCCCTATATATAGGTTTTGTTGATGTAACTGGTCAACTTGTCTGGTTTCAAGTACACTTGGTTATGCTCCCCCATGTGTGCCATGTATAGACAGTATTCAATACCATTCTGCTGTAACTGAGTTGTAAGCCAGTTCGTCTGTGTCGGGCTGAGCAGCTCATCCTCATAGCTCTGAATCACATGCACCTCTATACTGCTGTCCAATTTGGATATGTCCAAGACTGTGCTGGTGTAATCGTCGTGTGCCTCGCTAACGAAGCCTTCGTACTCAGGGTACTCCTGCACGAGAGTCTTCAAGTCGTAAATCCCCTCCACCAGGTACAGCTTGTCAACAGCGATTCCATGGCTGATACAGCACTGTAAGGCGATCGTTGCACCAACTGAATGGCCCAGTAGCGACACTTTGGTGGCCCCCAGCTCCTGGATGATCCGCTCAACACCGCCCACCACGTCTTGGGCAAAGCCACCGTCCTTCACCTGGTCACTGAGTCGATACTCAACAGAACAGAGCGTAATCACCCTGTTGAGCTCCCTGTGCAGTGCATCGGCATCTCTGAAAGTGTTTGTAGGGTCTCTCCATGCTCCGCCGTGGATGAATATCAACGGTGCAATCTTGGTCTCCTCGCTGAACGGAGGCAGATACTCGTATATCGCCACCATTTCGTGTCCCAGAGGGCCATATTTGATGATCTGGGGCTCGTTCATCGGCTCTGCTTACCTCAACAACTCAGCAACTCCGAGCCTTCTGATAAGAGCAAGAACAGCATCAACAGCCTACAAAGGACAGCGAAAAAGCGGGAAAAACACTGAAAAGTGACAGCTTTTTGTTGCCTGCGGTTTTGTCTACTGGAAGGGGAAAATCAACCAGGTGCTGAGCCCCAACACAGCAAAGCAGCGTGGTGAACATCAGATAGAGCAAATGGACTTTGAAGAGGATAACAATCCTTTTGCTGGAAGCAGCGTGTGGAGCGATACCTTTGGTTCAGGGAGCTTACACGGTTCAGCGGTGGTTGGTGCTGCTGGTAGTGCCTATGGCCATCGTAGCAGTGTGCCTGGTACAGATGCTGGTGTTGACGATACTCAACAACCGTACCACTCGAGTGGAGATAGGAGCCAGGAGGAACAGCTGCCGCCCTACGAAGAGCATTTCAAGGGTCTGGAAATTCAGAATCATCACCAAACAGTAACGGTAGGCGACTCTAAGGAGAGAGACGCTGCGGCAGCAACAGCGGAGGGGGAGCAGTCAGAAGCGGCAGTGGGCACTCCAACGGCGAAGGTGATGACAGCAGACTTCACAACTGAGCCGCTGCATGGCAATTACGTCGAAAGGGTTGTATACGATGCCAATGGTGAAGATGAGCAAGACACTGGTGAATACATGCCGTATATCGCAATTGAGGATGTAACCACGGTGAAAGACCGTGGCCACACTGCAATTGCATACGTTATCCAGTACGGTACATCACAGGTTGTCCGTCGCTATTCTGACTTTGACACCTTAAGAAAGGCGCTGGTGCAGCTCTTGCCAACGGTGGTGGTACCGCATATTCCAGAGAAGCACAGCGTTATGAAGTACTTCCTCAACCCAATCAATGCCAAAAACGACATCAAGGTAATTGCCAAAAGGAAAAGGCTGTTAACTGTTTTCCTACAAAGGTGTTATATGATCCCACAGGTTAGAGAATGCGTTGTGTTTTTGAAGTTTGTCGACCCAGGAGTTAGATGGGCAGATGTGTTAGCATCGCCTCCAGTATCGATCTTACCATCGTCAAATCTATTGGCACCACCACTATGTCCTACAAAACCGTCACCGTTGCATTTGCTGTTGCCAGTTCCGCATTCCACCTCAATTAACAACTTCAAGCCGAGAGAAGAAGATAAGCAAATTGACACGAGGTTTAAGGACTACGAAAGAGTATTCAAAGTGTATAGACAGCTTACTGGAGACTTGACAAAGAGCATAAAAAGGCAAAAGAGACATTTCAAGGGGATGGTTAAGGATTTAGGTGAGCTAGGTGCTTACTACAATGCATTTTCACTTGAAGACACCTATAATATGTCATTTGGAATTGAAAAGACTGGCCAAGCTATAGATATCAACTATATCAATTCAGAGGCATTTGCATTCAAAATAATGACCACCCTTGAAGAACCAATCTTTGACTTCCATCAATCATCTACGGTGGTGCTGAATGTTCTCAAATTTAGAAGATTGAAAGAGATTCAACTCTTTATAGTTGAAACCACGATAAGGAGACGTCAAGCTCGAGCTGAAAGTTTGCAAAACGCGCAAGAGCAGGTTAACAGGCTTAGCGAAGTATTACGAAGAAACGCAGAATCATCTCCTACTATCGCAGAAGCAGTGAGAAGATTGGATAAAGGTGAAAGTGCAAAGATTTCACCCTTATCGAAAATGTTCAATGCCCAGTCTAAGAGTGACGATATCGTCACCATGACAGATCGTGAAAGAGCTACTGAAGTTGAGCAGATTCAAAAGGAACTGGTTAAATTGGAGGATTGCCATGCAGTGGTGTTAAAGGATATTGAACAGGTGAACACAGCAGTTGACGAGAACTGCACCCAACAGTTCCTACAATTTCAGAAACAGTGGCGGGCATTGATGCAGGACTTCACAGAATCGTTGTTAATTTGGTTAAAGGATAATCTGAAGGCATGGCAAGATGCAAAGGACGAGATTAACAAAATGCAAGTCCATGGATCGTCTTAAACATTGCCATCTTCTGTATGGTTTAAAGCGTTAACCTGTCCTCTTCTCCACATTTTGTGAAGTTTTAATAATTTATGAATTTTAGCATCATGAATACATGTGGCATTTTAGAGAATAACGTCAACTCACAGAGGCCTAATCATCATCATCATCATCATCATCGCTAGCAAACTCAATCAGTAGCGATCCATTGGGCCATAGTTGTTGTACTTCCTTCACTGGTGTATCATCCAGTGGAACCACATACCTTGGGAATGGTGATATCAGCTCAAAATCAAACTTGTGATTATAAGCTGGATCAACATCCTTATCCTGATCTAAAAATGATCTGTCGCCATTAGCCATATGGTTCTTCAGGGCAACAAATGAATAAATATCCTTGAGCGTGTGCTCCTTGCTGAACTTCTGGATCACTTGTGCTCCATGTGGCATTTTGAATCTTATTGTTGCGTATTGGCCCTTTTCAAAGCTGTTCAATTCGTCATTTTCATCATTAAACTTACTGTGAACCTTGCAAAGCCATTTCAGCTCTTGCTCTTTTAGCCATTGTGCTACTTGTTCCTGTTGTGCTTTTAAGTTCTCTTCTTCCTCCTTCTGAGATTTCTTGATCTTGTCTGCGATTAGACTCTCCTCGTAGGCTTTGTCTTGTAGTTCCCTGATCATTCTGGAATGACGGAGTTCCTCCTGTTCTAATCTTTTCATTGTCAATTCGGGCTTGTACTTTTCAACTTCAAACTTCAGTTTGTTCAAGAAAGAGTCAGTGGATCTGGTTGGTACCTTCGCAAGAAGAGACATGGATGATATCAGATGTGGTCCAGACGCAACGTTACCCAGTAGAAACACAGATGGTAAAGCACGAACTTTGAAGCATCTCGCTATTTCGTTCCCTTGTGATTCTTCAGCATGCGATACGTACACCAAACAGCGCTCCTCTTTGAGGATATTTACAACATGGTCGTTGTTGAAAGTCCTTTTAAGGAACTGGGTTGACTTGTCATTAGATCCGATCACCACGAGTAAGATGAATCTTGACTCCTGCTTTGCCTCTTCAAAGGCTTCGTTGAAATCACCCTTGTATAACTCAACTGGACACTCTTCATGTGTCAGTTCTCTGAAATGAGCCATGGCATTGAACCCCTTGCTTGTAGGGCGGAGAGGAACTTGATCCGGGGACGGTGGAAACAACAGATTGAAGAGATAAGCCAATCCGGTGAACAAAAGCGTCAAGGTCCTTGGAATCAACAACAGTATGAACAACAAGGGGGACTGAGTTATTGTTTGGAGTCCTAAGTAGTCCACATGTTGATTTAAACCGGTGTTTGACCTCCATCTGTTGGAAATGGGTCTCACAATGGGTAGCTGTGGCAACAACATGGCACGGTTTGGCAGTTCTCCGTTACCGTTGATCAGCTGCTCAAGAGCTGCAACGTCAATATCATTCACAATGTGCTCTCTCTGGTGGCCAGGTTGCGCGTACTGATCTGGTGGCTCGATAAACGGTTCCCTGGCGGCCTCCTCCTCGAGCATTCCGTCAAAGTATTTGCTCAATGCCACCTCCAGGTTCCAGTAGTTATTCCTCAACAGTCTAACGACTTTATCGTACTGATCCTCCGGGAAAGACGTGATCACTTGGAATTCATCGAGTTTCTCTCGTTCAGCGGGGGCAAGGTCGACCATCTTCTGATCTTGTCGAGGGCGCTAGTGGCGTATAAAGTGAGCTAGTCAATATTGGATCAAAAGGCTACGTAAACGGACCAGTTACGAAACAAATGTTCATGCACTGCGTAGCTATTTTGGCACAAATAAACGAAAACAATCCCGCGAAATCGCGCCTTAATTTACGCCAAAGTTTCGCACCGGTTGTCAGAATTGGATTATTTGATTTTAAACGGGATCCCCCTTTGTCGATGATTCTAGAAGGTTCGATGGCTCTGGTGTGTATGATCTACGATAGCGTTGGCGCATATGCCTGATGGTTATAGAAGTATGTTAGCGATCCAAGTTAGCGTGCCTCATCGTCATCGGTTGCAGAGCTTGGCTATCTATGTGAGATGAAAAAAAAAATGGGGCCGAGCAGGGAATTGAACCCTGGACCACTCACACCCAAAGCGAGTATCATACCACTAGACCACGCGGCCGGATTTGTTATCAAATTTTATGCGCTGTTTGTCACACAGTTCATGGATGAATTGGTTAGTTAAATGTATAGCCATGATGGTAGCTCTTTTCTTGTAGGATTCGGACATGAAAACATACTGTGCTTCTGGAATAAGTACTCCGTCTAAAGTTTTGAGATTATGCGAATGTTTTATGTAATGATCACAATGAAAGTGTAACATTCTTGATATACTTGGAGATGACGCTCTCATTTTGACAATCTCGCGCGGATCTCCAAAGCTTTAGATATCGCTGTTTTATCACCAACTGTGAACGCAAATCTTTAATTAATCCTGTTACTTTGTACGTTTAATTATCTTCCAGAGAGATGATATCATATAAAACATGTCAAGCACATAAATTTGTGTCATTTTACCACTCGAAAATAACATAATTTTGCCTAACTTTAATAATAGTACGTAGCTTTATTTTTTTGTTTCAAAAATCTAAAGTCACTTTTTAAACGAAAAGTCTGGAAATTCAATGGTAATATGTGAGATTCATCACTGTTTCCAATTCATTATAACTAATCTTGTATCTTATATTGCCCTATCATGTGATTATAATCAAATTATAGCTTTAACTAAGTCTGGCATTTATACCCTCTTCTGCCTGACTTTTATGAGGAAACAGCTGATTTTATCTGGCTAAGCTGTGACGCTACTATAATTTTACAAACCCATAAGAGCCTTGGGCTTGTTTAGCCAACTCGCTGAACCTTGGATTGTTCGTTGCATTCGAGACCTGTAATCTCTCGCTCAAATAGATGCTAGTCCTATAATTCAATATCTCCTGAACAGCCAACTTGTTCCTCTAGGTGTGTCACATTAAATCCGAACACCACAGAAACCATCTGTATGGGTTTATGGATCTTGGCTCGTACACTAAACGATTTTACTTTTAAAGGATCAAGCTTGTTATCAACGAAGCACGCTATAACTAATGGTTGCATAAACCTGTAAACCTGGATTTATTGTATTTAGTGCAATCAGTTTTTTTCGCTAAACGGTGAGCTAGGTGGAATTGCTCTCTCAAACTGATTTCATCGTGTGCTTAGGGCTAGGCTTCATCATCAACCGAGACACACAACTCAATATTAGAGATGATCACTTATCAAAAACATAAAAGTCATTACATCCATTAAAAATTATCGAGAGAAACTCTAAGACATTGCACCTGGTGATGATACCTTTTGAATCACTCTAATGATGCTGATTACAAAAGTGACCACCCAAGTACACAAAATAACAAACAAGAAGGCACATTGCGATCTCTGTAGACGACAAATGGTTCCAACTCTTGGAGATGAGCTTTCTTCATCTGCAACACAAACCCATCGATTATCATACAGAGTATTGAATGATAGTGACAAGTTTGAACTCGAAAATATGATGAAGAGGAGATCCAACAAGATCAATCTCATTTTCTCCACTGGGTTTCTAATACCTAATGGCTTAGAGCTGAACTCGTCATAAGTAATGTAACCCAAGTACACCAATGCAATTGTCTGAACACATATCGCCATGATTGTACTTGGTTGTTGTGAGACGCTTGACGTGATCCCCGAGGTAACGTAGTACTGTCTCTTGGAGATTCTAAAGATTCTAATCGCAATTGCCAAAGTGATGACACATAGACAAATCAAAACCACACGGAAACACAGAGGGATGTAATTGTTGTAGAGAAAGACCCTCTTGAGATATGGCAACCATTCTTCTCTTTTCTCTGTCGACATCCAATAGCCAGCCTTTGACCTCCTCTTGAAATAGTCCTTCGTCTCAGATGAGGAATCAGAGTTGAAGTCGTTGAATGCCAACTTCCCTTTCTCTGGAGGTGGTCCTTCGTTATTCAAGTAATGTTTCAACCGTTCATCACCACCCCATTTCCCCTCTAGCGTTGGTAAACCCTTTAACGCTTCAGTGTCATGGTATAGCACACCATCGGCAAACGCAGGCGTATTATCAACAACCTCCATTAGAGTTCCCCAGTTATTGTTCATCGAAACCAAGAATGGATCTTGGTGCCGAATATCTTTACACTTGTGATGCTGCATCGCATTATTCTGATTGTTCGCAATGCCGTAGAGGACAAATGGAGGAACCGTCGTTGCCTCATGTGAGTAGTTCTTAACATGGGTATATGGGTTCGTCAATGGCGGTCTCTTGTACTCCCTCTGTTTAAGATCCGTATGCGCCTTCGGTACCACCGCGAGCTGTGAGCTTGATTCTGTCGAGTTACCAGACTCTGGTGTTGCTTCTTTAGTAGACATGCCTTATATTGCACAATGTGTGCTCGTTTCCGCGAGATAGCAACTGTGCAATGAAGCAGGTATTAAAACAAAGATATGTCCAGCAGCTCTATGTATTTCACGAATCGAAATCACAGCACGATGTGACAGATAAGAGGGAAGAAAGAATAGAAACAGCGCTGTGTGTATAGTTGATTCCTTAGAAGGATCGGTTTGTTGTTCTTTTAAGAAATTGTTCGTAACTGTGGTGATATAATCTCCCGTTGTCTTTGTGGCCGACTTGTATTTGTTTATGTTTTTGCTTTTTTACACCTCTTTTAGCACACATTTTGGATGACAGGACGCAAACAACCACACAAACTAATATTTACACAACGGAGAAGTGTGCTAGCCACATCTACATACCCAGCTCTCAGCGATGAGCCGGCGAACACAGTGCCAAAGATCATGGTTATGATGGTACAGTTGTTTCCACCATGGAAGAAACTGCTCTTTTTGTCCTGCTCACGCTGGAACGTGTGGGCGTGCGGGCCCAGTTAGCATGTTACATGTGGGTTGGGATTCAAAAGAAGCGTTGTGTACTAGTGAGAACGATTGGACATACTTGCTTGGGCTCCATGGGACTCAATACCATGTATGGGAAACATGGATACTCAGCGAAGGAATTGAGTGGTTGGGATCTCGACATTGGCGATCACTGATGATGTATTAGTGCGCTAGCACCTCTCCGCTTATGAACAGTGGGTATACACACATTTGCCTATCGAGGATTCAAATAATTACACGCTACAGACAACATCCTGACAACTCGGGGGTCATTGAAGTGACAAATCTGGACCCTTACAACGGGTGTGGGGGAGTCACAGGGTTTTACCGGCTTTGTATGTGAGGGTGCTGTGATGTGTGTAGGATGCGTGAGATGTGTAGGATGCATTTGTAGCGCGCATTTGGCGGTGTCACTTCCACCGCATCAACATTCGAGCCAAAACAGAGTAGCAATCATCAACGTCGCCACTGCATTTACACTGCCAGGTACACAGCCCAAACGTGACGCACAACAGACCAATCATTACTCACCGGGACTGTGAGCTTGACTTGTTTATTGGATTCTATTTCTACCTCTTTCCCTTTGTGACTTTTTAGACTCACCTTGAACTCACTTGATTGCTGTAACGGAAGAATAGGCTGATGATAATGAACCAATCAGTTCTGGCAAGAGGACAGCTTGTGAAGTTGGCATTTAAAAGATACTCGTCGTCATGTTCACACAATGACAAGTACCTGGCAAAGATCTACGCATTCCCAATAACAAAGGACAAGTCATATCTCCACTTCGAATATAACGAGAAGCTTATCAACGTTAACTCTCCCTTGGTGAAATATGAAAACAAAGCAGTTAGTGGTGCTGCAAATCTTTGGAATAAGATGCAGCAATCTGATAAACCGGTGAATCAGAAGATTGTTCGCTTTGTATCCAGATTCATTGAAAGAATACCATGGACAGAGGACTCGCTCAGATCTATACCTTCAAGATCTGCATTACTCAGACAGGTCAAGACCCACGGAGATGATGGCACACACGCCGACAATTCACCGTTATTGAAACCTGCAACTGCTGTTGATGGTGAAGAACTTGAAGGTATCCCTGTGTTCTATCCAGCACATCTGATGACCCCAGTGACTCTCGCAAAGGAGATTGATACGCTATGCCATCAGGCAACCACATACCATAAGAAACAGATGCTGTTAACAGGTATCGGTGTGCCATTGTCATTACCAATTGCACTCGTTCCAGTGGTTCCAAACGTTCCAGGGTTTTACCTTGCTTATAGGTTTTACTGCAACACAAAGGCTTATATCGGTGGATTGCACCTTGACCTTTTCAACAAGAACAAAGAGCTGATATACAAAGATGAGCCCCTATTAGACGATGTCTATGAGTCCGTTAGGGAGAACGAGGATGACATCTTACTCAATGAGAGCATTGTGCAACAACTCGTGGATACTTTTAAGGTCGATGGGGCAAGAACAGGCTTGTTAAAGGCGTTGAGACAAGAGATCCACGCATTAGAGAAGATTGAAGAGGATCAAAAGAAGCATTAGACTGTACATAGGCAATGACAACGGCAGATCACTAGAGATTCCTCGTTCCCTTTATCAAGGCAGTAGTGGCACCAGTAGTCGTTTAGCCCTAACAAGATCTCAAACATGGAGCCCTAATAAAAGTCACGTGTTGAAACGCATAGCCCTCACCAGGACACCAGGACACCGCGGAGACCTCGGATTTGCGTACCATTTGTGGGACGCAAATAGCAAAAAATGCGCGAACCTGCAAAAGTTTGAGTCGGAATTAGAGGGTGCTGACCCACTCGTTGGCTTTCGACCAAACCTTTTTCATCGTCGAAAAGTTTCAAATCTCTTCTCTTTTCTCCAACACTTTTTTTTGAAACCCTTATATACAATTCTTAAACAGTATGTGCCCTATAATAAGCAGTCATGGTCATTAGGCTACTCTATGGATGAAACACAGGTGAATTGGTGACATACAATCTGTCTACTGGAGGTGTTCACTGGCTCCATTGCATCTCATCCCCATAGAAATGTCCAGCGTGTGACCAGACATGTACCTAGACGAAGGGTTCCCTTAACTAACAATGATCAACAGAGATGCGTAACAAATGGAGAAAGAAAAGAGTCAGAAGACTTAAAAGAAAGAGACGGAAAGTCAGAGCCAGATCTAAATAAGCGGACTGAAACAGATTGATGGGACTGCTGCTCTGTTGAAGAACCAGTCTGTGTCCAAGTTCCTTTCCGCCTTACAGGTTGAACGGGATGGAAGACTCTGGCTGGGACCTTGAGTAGAGTCGATGGCCTCATCGCTTATACTATTTGTTTCATGATACTGGTTTCTTATTAATTTCAGCTAGCAAGGCGAATTTATATGTTTGGTGTGATGGTAAAATTTGTTGAGAGTCTTTAAGGTGTTGGTTCTATCTTTTTGATGGTGATGTTTTAGAACCTCTTGGTGCTTTTACTGTTGTATTGGGGATTGGATTTGCCTCATTAGTCCGCAGGAAAATGTATGTTTACATATATTTCTAAGATCGTTGTAGACAGCTTAGCCCAAACCGTTGGAGCAAACATTCCGTAGCAATGTCTGTATACACACCAACACTGACACCTCGTCAACGGCACCATCAACGCTTGCTTCCCAGTCGTGTATACACACGCTGTGTGTCCCCCACCACATCTATTACATAAGCAGGCAGATCTAACAGTAGGGTAACGGAATCTAGCGCGCACAACAAAAAAATCCCGAGCCAAAGCCAATGCATTACCCTACCGACTTTGCGCTATAGGCTCCAACTTAAGGAGGTGCTGCATTTTATTTTGACCCTTCTTCCTGTGAAAGAGAACAGGTTTGATAAAGCATTTTCCCCTTTGCGCTTTGCTGGAGAAACAGACAAGACAGAAGAGGATACGCTTATTCAAGCCAATTGATCGTATATCTGTGCTAATTTGAAGATACATTACATCGTTATCGAGAATGGTGAGTACCAAGCGTGCTTGTTGACTGGGAGACGAGGGCATAGCGTTTGAGGCGAATGCCCTCGAGAGATGTCCAGAGCGTACCATGGCTTGAGCGCAGACCCACTAACGATATACCGTAGGCTGGTGCTTTAGAGAATGCTCGTAAGGAGATCAAGAGAATCTCTCTGGAAGACCACGAGGAGTCCGAGTACGGCCAGATTTACTCTGTGTCCGGTCCTGTTGTCATAGCTGAAAACATGATTGGCTGTGCCATGTACGAGTTGGTGAAAGTTGGTCACGATAACCTGGTTGGAGAGGTTATTAGAATCGAGGGTGATAAGGCAACGATCCAGGTGTACGAGGAGACCGCAGGTGTGACCGTTGGTGACCCTGTTTTGAGAACTGGTAAGCCATTGTCCGTCGAATTGGGACCAGGTTTGATGGAGACCATCTACGATGGTATTCAAAGACCGTTGAAAGCCATTAAGGAATTATCACAGTCCATCTACATCCCAAGAGGTATCGATGCTCCAGCATTGGACAGAAACATCAAGTACGACTTCAAACCGGGATCCCTGACAGTTGGAGACCACATTTCGGGTGGTGATATCTTTGGCTCAATCTTTGAGAACTCCCTTTTGGATGACCACAAGATTCTCTTGCCACCAAGAGCTAGAGGTACCATCACATCCATCGCTGAGGCTGGCTCTTACACCATCGATGAGCCTTTGCTCGAGGTTGAATTTGACGGAATTAAACACAAGTACTCAATGTTCCACACATGGCCAGTTCGTGTTCCAAGACCAGTCGCTGAGAAGTTGTCCGCTGATTACCCATTGCTTACCGGCCAAAGAGTGTTGGACTCCTTGTTCCCATGTGTCCAAGGTGGTACCACTTGTATTCCAGGTGCCTTTGGTTGTGGTAAGACTGTTATTTCCCAGTCCCTTTCTAAGTACTCCAACTCTGATGCCATTATCTACGTTGGTTGTGGTGAGCGTGGTAACGAGATGGCTGAGGTGTTGATGGAGTTCCCAGAGCTGTACACCGAAATCTCTGGCAGAAAGGAGCCAATTATGAAGCGTACCACTTTGGTTGCTAACACATCTAACATGCCTGTCGCTGCAAGAGAAGCCTCTATCTATACCGGTATCACACTTGCTGAGTACTTCAGAGATCAAGGTAAGAATGTTTCCATGATTGCTGATTCTTCCTCCAGATGGGCCGAGGCGTTGAGAGAAATCTCTGGTCGTCTTGGTGAAATGCCTGCTGATCAAGGTTTCCCTGCTTACTTGGGTGCCAAGTTGGCCTCTTTCTACGAGAGAGCTGGTAAGGCTGTTGCACTGGGTTCCCCAGACCGTATTGGCTCTGTTTCTATTGTTGCTGCTGTGTCTCCAGCCGGTGGTGATTTCTCTGACCCTGTCACCACCTCTACGTTGGGTATTACCCAAGTGTTTTGGGGTCTGGATAAGAAACTTGCGCAGAGAAAGCATTTCCCATCCATCAACACCTCTGTTTCATACTCTAAGTACACCAATGTTCTTGGTAAGTACTACGATGCGAACTATCCAGAGTTCCCAACGTTAAGAGATAGAATTAAAGAGATCCTGTCTAAGGCCGAGGAGTTGGAACAAGTTGTGCAATTGGTTGGTAAATCTGCCCTTTCAGACTCTGATAAGATCACCTTGGATGTTGCCACACTGATCAAAGAGGACTTCTTGCAACAAAACGGTTATTCCACGTATGATGCCTTCTGTCCAATCTGGAAGACATTTGATATGATGAGAGCATTCGTCGGATACCATGACGAGGCACAGAAGGCTGTTGCTAACGGTGCAAACTGGAATAAGTTGGCTGAGCAAACTGCAGACGTGAAACATTCTGTCTCATCCTCCAAGTTCTTTGAACCATCAAAGGGTGAAACTGTCGGTAAGGAGGAGTTTGAAAAGTTGATCCAAAGCATCTCTGAGAGATTTGCAGAGGCAAGCGAATGATTTAGCGTATCCACTTAGAAATAATAATAACATCACCAAAAGAATCTCATCTCATGATACTGTATCCACCCCAACTAATGTGGACGATGTGAAAGGTAGAGTGCCCTGGTGTCTTCATCAATGCTTTGGCAGTTACATGAAAGACAAGCCCAACAGTCTAACCACATTTCTGAGCAAATCAGCGATAGTTCGTCACAGAACAGTGGCTCTGAGGCAAGCTCTCCGTTAGCACACTGCACTACACATCGTTGTGCCACCATATCTTGGTGAGCGGTGGGTTGGTCTTTCACCAAGGCTCTTATATCTTCGTCGCTTATGGGAAACGCCTCAATGGTGAGTGGAGATTGTTCCACGGCGTCCTGTGCGCTGTCTTCCAACTTCACAGCGGTTAGTCTCTGTAGCATTGATGAGCTTATCGATGGTGACCGTGCCAATTGATCCAACTGTGCTGTAGTTGCTTCGACCAGTGGGTCTTCATCTATCGTGCTGAGTCTCTGATTGCCTCCATAGGGTTCCGTGCCGGGAGGTCCCATGCTGGAAGGTTCCATGCTGGAAGGCCCCACAGAGGATGTTCTCAGCTCATCGTGTATTCGCTGAAGTCGCTGTATGCTCACAGAACCTTCAACATCACTATCAGCTGTGTCTTGAGCCCCCGATATGCCCAAGACTTCGCACTTTGGCATGTTTGGCCTTTGATACGCGTGCCTGTCGTTTAAAATATCATCCACTTTGAAGGAGCTCTGTGGCGGGCTCCACCGCACCAACTGGTCCTCCATCCTTTGAAGGAGTATATCGTCCGTAGGGAACGTTCTTGTTGACTGCCTTCGAATCACAGCGTCTCTCAAAGTATGGCCGGCGCCTCGGTAGTATTGCACCGTCTGTTCGAACGGTGGTAGATGCGCAATCTCATCAACCACGATATCCTCTCCTATGAACACATCTGGCCCGTTGAGCCGGTCCACTGGCTCATGAGCGAAGCATCGATTCAGGGACTCTGACTGAGCGTGGCTGCCCAAACGTGACACGCTGTCAGGCTCCATCAGTGTTGATACCGTTGTCACTGGCTCGAGCTCCTCAGTATGCACACCGCAGTCCGATACAGAGAGCCCTCCACCTGTCATTCTGCCCTAAGCTGGCTGCCTGTTGAAAACACACGCAGGCACTGTTCAGCCCAACGGCACAGGCGATTTGTGTCCACCGAGCCCGTGGAGGCCAGCATCCAGTTCACAAAAGCATACAAAGGCTTACAGAGGCTTACAAAGGCATACAAAAGCGTGGAAAGGCTTACAAAGCTGGCCTACACCGACGCTGCGAGCCTATACATCCCCGGCAGGTTAACCCCGACAAAAAGCCCGACAGAAGGGCGATGAGCTGTTGCCGGTGGACGGCCTGGTTTGGAGCACCAGCGCAGTTGTCCAGGGCCCACGGGGGATGATGGCTGAACTGGCGTGGCATGAAGCCCCGTGCACCGATTTGAGCCGAGCTTGATGGTGCTGGACGGTGTTAAAGCGTGGTCTTGGTGCCAGGCAAATGGTTGCAGTGGCAGTGTGCTACTGCCACGAGCGTAGCGGGGGACTCCGTACGCCAGGCAGGCTATAACAGCGAAGCCAGGCAGGCTATAACAGCGAAGCCAGGCAGGCCACAACAGCGAAGCCAGGCAGGCCACAACAGCGAAGCAGAGTAGCGTCAATTGACAAGCTGGTGCCTTTCTTCCACGAGAGCACCTGCCTGTGTACCCACAGCACAGCTTCACAGCTCAGCTCCACAGCACAGTCCCCTTCCTCGCGGACAAACCACCGCCCGTCCCCTACAGTTGCAGCTGCGTTTACATCACACCGACTTCCTCACAGCACCTCCCCCAGATCAACTGAAGCTTCCTACAATGCCCCCATAATGAACCCTCCAACCACCGCCATCTTGTACACATTTTGAAGAGGCTCCCAGCCTAAGCGTAACCAATCGCCGGTTGGAGGCCCGGTTGGAGAGCCGGCACGCGTACGAGCCCGGGAATTGCAGTCATTGGCGGAGACCACAGGCAAATTTTCATCTTCACGGCCGGACGGTCCACAGGTGGGCAGAGAGCCGATGGGACTTATATAACCACGGAAGGGGATTCCACTACTGGCGCTCCACACACACACACACACACACACACACACACACACACCGAGGTTATCTATGCAATGGTGCTGACGAACACGCACTCACGCTCTGCCGTGTCGCCAAAGAACGTTGCCTTTGAGGAGTACCAGGTGGAAAACATCAACAAGGATGAAACCCATCAGTTTGTCATTGATGAGGAGGGGATGAGGTCTGAGGAGACCACGCTGGCGGAAAAGGACAGGGATGAGGCCTTCGACTTCTTGAAGAAGACCGAGCAGGTGCTCCATGGGGGCTCTGTGCCTTATCCCAAGGCTCTTGCCAGGAAGATTGATATGAGAATCATGACTGTTATGTGTGGCAGCTACTTCCTGCAGTTCATTGATAAGAACTCCCTCAACCTGGCTGCCGTGCTGGGTATCAAGGCCCACCTGGAAGACCATCCCAACGGGTTCGCCAACCTGGGCACCATCTTCTATGCGTCTTACATATTTGCCGAACCGTTTGCCTCGTATCTGCTCCAGGTGCTGCCAACTTCGAAGTTCCTCTCAGCCTGCATCATCGCCTGGGGCTGTGTGGTGGCCTGCCACGCTGCGTGTAAGACCTATGCCAGTCTGATGGTGATCAGAACATTGCTGGGTATCTTTGAGGCGGCACTGTCCCCAGGTTTAATCGTCATATCGTCGATGTACTGGACCAAGGAGGAGAACATGAAGAGAACGGGCATCTGGGTCTCGTTTGCCGGTCTGTCCACAATCGTTGGAGGACTGTTGTCATTTGCGTTCCAGCACGTCCATGCTTCGCTCGAGTCATGGCAGATCTTCTTTCTTGTGCTTGGATGCGTCACTATTGTGTTTGGCATCTACATGTACATGGTCTTGCCTAACAATCCAACAAGTGCGTCTTTCCTCACCGAGGAGGAGAAGATGATTGTGCTGGAACACATCAGGGTGAACCAGACAGGAACAGAGAATAAGACGTTCAAGAAGAAGCAGATCATGGAGCTGTTGTTCCGTGATAAGCACACTTGGCCGTTGTTCTTCCTGACAATCATTTCGATGATATCCACAGGTGCTCTTGGTACGTGGTCTGTGACGATTTACAAGACCTTTGGATTCAGCTCAAAGGTGTCGTCACTCCTACAGATGCCTGTCGGAGCTGCCATGATCATCGCCATCCTTGGTGGCACCTACACGTGCTCCAAGATTGGCAAGAGAACCATCGTGTTTATGATTATGTGCCTACCAGGCATTGCCGGTTACGTGATTCTCCTTGAGAATCCAAACCGCATAGCAAATCTCATCTCCATCTATATGATCATGGGATCAACTGGTGTCATTGCGCTTCTATACTCATGGAACAGTGCCAATACAGCAGGCCACACCAAGAAGATTGCCAGAAACGCCATGACAATGATTGCGTTCTCCATCGGCTCCCTGATAGGCCCTCAGCTCTTCAGAGCAGACGAGGCACCAGAGTACAGAACAGCAAAGGCCGTGCTGATCGCAACGTCCGTCGTCTCGGTCCCATTGGCTGGCCTTGTAGGGTATATCAGCAAGAAGGAGAACGAGAGAAGAGACAAGATGGGCCCTGTAACGCTGCCACCAAACTACGAGTTCAGAGATCTCACCGACATTGAGAACCCAAACTTCAGATATGCATATTAACTCATCATCACCATCAAACATAGTCAATGGTTTCATCTCCTGTGTAAATAGTCTCCACCATTATAAGCTCATTTTGTATAATAATGCCCATACTGTAGGCGATAGTCCACGGATATGCGAGTGCTCGTTGAAGGATTTCATCACCGGCACCGAGACAATATCAAAGTGCTTACAACAGGGGGGAAAGCACAATCATTTGAAGTGTGTATGAACATCGTGTTGCAAATGGGTAGAGAAGCGTCTCCAGTGATTGTAGGTGCTCTGCAATGTCAAAAGAACTCGTTTCTGAAGGAGTTCAAGTCGGTTGTTGTTCGCTGTGAGGAGGAGAAGCCCGAACAGCCAAAGCAGGGCGGCAAGAAGAAGTCTAAGCAGGATGGTGTTGCGGCACAGTTGAAGTACGCAGTTGAGCTCCATGATACGATTCTCTTCCCTGAAGGTGGCGGCCAACCTTCAGACCAGGGATATATCATTGATAAGGACGGGAAGAGTCATTTTGTTGGGCACGTTAAGAGAGATAAGCTCAGGGCGCTTCACCTCGTTGACGAGCCTGTTGAGCCAGGCACAGCGGTTACGCTCCAGGTGGACTGGAAGAGGCGGCTGGACCACATGCAACAGCATACGGGACAGCACCTTCTCTCTGCGGTGCTGGACAAGTACGGGTTGAATACGCTCAGCTGGAGTATGGGTGATATGGTGAACTATATCGAGATTCCTAGGGCGTTGTCCGAGGAGGAGCTGGCCAAGATCAGTGATGAGGTTAACGAGAGGATCATCGAGGCCATTCAGATCTCTGTCGAGACGCCTGGTAATGACGACGTCAAACAGGATAAGATTCCAGATGATTATGACGTTGACAAGGGGATCCTAAGAGTTATAAAGATTGGAGAATTGGATCAGAACCCGTGTTGTGGAACCCATCTCCAATCAACAGCTCAGATCTTGTCCATTGCCTTGCTCCACCAAACTTCTGTGAGAGGGACAAACTCGAGATTACACTTCATCGCTGGTGATAGGGTTCGCCAGTATACGGTTCAAAACCATAGAATCTTAAAGCAGTGTTCCAACGATCTATCCTGCCAATTTGACGAACTGGCAGACAAGATTTCTCAGCTGAATAACAACTATAGAAAAGCATCGAAGAAGGAAGCTTCGTGGAAAGAGGAAGTTGCCAAGTACCAGGCCTTGGAGATGATCGTGCAACTTGAGAGCAAGGATATGGCGTATCTTTATAGAGCCGATGCAGGCTTGGACTACTTGACTAACATTTTCAAGACTGTTTCAAAGGAACAAAGAGATGGCCAGACTATTGTTCTTTTGTCTGGGGAAGGTAAGGAAGGTGGTTCCATCATCATCAACTCATCCACAGCTGAAAAGACGGCTGATATTGCCAAACATTTACAAACCTTGGTTTCTGGATTGAAAGGAGGAGGTAAGGCTAAATGGCAAGGTAAGATCTCCTCTTATCAGAAGGGAGAGCTTGAGGCAGCTCTGGAATACCTTGAATCCTTTTCTTCTTGAAGATTTATTTATTATGCCATGTATTACATGATGTGTTATAAGTATGCGTCATTATTGTATTATTATTATACGTCGTTAGTATTGGACTGTTCATTCCTCTTCATAAACCTAGGAACTAGTCCGCTGATTCTCCATCTCCAACGGAGTTTCTTCTTTGCCTCGAGTAACCAGATTGCAGAGGTTCGATCCATCATTTCAAACCTCTTTGCTGGTGAACCATCCCTTAAATGACCCTTTAGCCTATCCACCAAGGTCTTTGAGAACTCTGTGTTTTTACGCCTTTTCATCGAGGGCTGTGCTAATGCCTCTTCAATATCATCAATATCTTCAGGAATAGTAGTCAATCCTGATAATGTTGTATCGAATTCATCTAGTAGCCTTGATAGGACCTCATACTTTTCAGTACAGTTGCAGCATACAAATTCCGTATAGTTCTTTGTAGTGCCCACTAAATGACTGCTGATGTCGTAGAGTGGGGTTTCACATATGACACAGTACTTAAGCGAAGAATCAGTTGCTATTGAGAACTCGACCCTTGGATATTCATTCGTGTCTGATAGTTTCAGAGTGGCCATAGAGCCAGTCAGCGAACTGCTTGAATATCGAGTAGCATCAGACGACGGTCCAAGCACAGTGGAATGCTGTGAGGTACACGGCGTACTCCACACTTCATTATCATATCCCTGTAGATAGGAAGATGTTAATAGTAATGAATTCGAGCTTGAGCCGATCTCCAACCCACTGGGCGGTAACTTTGAAGAGTCATTCAATGTGAGAATAGACTTGGCTCTCGAGAGGTAGGTGGTAGCATCCATCTCTGCTTCCTCGTTGATGACATTGTCTTCTGGCTCAAAAGCTTTCATAGATTTCTTCAGCTCAGATACAGAGAGTTTCTTCCTTCCCAGGGTCTTTTGCTTGATATAGTCCTCCACCAAGACTATAGAGGTATTATCCAGAGGCGAGTTGGTCTTGCTAGAACCAAGCTCGAGGTCAGTGGCGTTGAACTCCGGACTCTTCTGTACTGATGGCGACAAGTTCTTGGGGCGAGGTGGGGCCAGAGGGAAGGACGTGAGCTTCTGGTCCAGCATGTTGTCCAGATGCGATCTCTTCGGCTGTAGTCTGTGATAGTCTTGGACGTACTTCTTCCTGTTGACAAACCCCATGTGTGATCTCGACCTCGTAGGGGAAGGCTTGACTGGTGTTTCAAGAGTCTTCAATGAGGGCAACTTGCTAGGAGTCGAGGCCATCGGACTTGGAATCGGCGACTTTACAGAGAATGTGAACTCCTTCAAAGAGAGCTGTGGACTCATCTGCATAGCGTTGAACGTATTTGTAACGTCTTTCATCCGTTGAAGCTGGCGATCTTGCTCTCGTTTACGGGCAAATCTCAACTAGCAGACTCCTTCCAAATCACAGGGGAGAAGAATGTAGTGTGAGCACACTGGTTTCATCAACAGGAAAGCCGTGCATTTTGTGCCAACTTGTACTTTTTCTGGTTTTGGCGGGAAGATGCGCACTTGCATGCCGAAATGTAAACAAAGGCTGCTTACCGCATTGGGCCAAAAGTATGAAAAGGACATCCAAACATCACCAGCACAGAGGGCGTACGCTACGAGTGAGTACAATTCTGATACATCGAGGGTGACATTGCAGTTTGTCATGGTCCTTTGTAGAAGTTGCCATTCTCAAGGACATTCGCTGTGTGTATTGTGTGTTGTACATGCATATACCAGAGGTCAATCTCCCTCTCCGAGAAGGGTAATCTTATCGATCACGTCTATTCTAGCGTTTTTGTAAGTCTCATAGCCGTTTATCCCAGCTTCTAAAGAGCCCAGTTGCATCTTAAAGATGTATGTGTCGGTTTCCAACTCGTCAAGTTTTTGTGTGCAGTCCCTTATTTTGAAATAGTTTGCCTGGTGTGTTCTCCGTATCTTGTCAATCTCTGTTTTAGCAGCGCTGCCCAGTGTCTTCTGGACTCTGTCAGTTTCATCCATACCTAGGAGCTTGATCCAAGGCGAGCCTTGCCCTGATGTCTTTGATGGAGCCGTGCTGTCCGGTGTTGAATTGTTCCTTGCGCTCGGCGTGTCGTCTCTACTGACTGATGGCTTTGGCGCAGCATTGTTGAAAGACGCAGATTCGTTCGAATGTGTTGAGGATGGCGTCTTCTCCTTGTTGAACCAGCTCTCACGACGGTTCGAGAACTCTTCTTGGTAATGGTGTCCTCCGTGTGTGTTGTAATGGTTTCCTCTGGCGCTGAATCTTGGGTTGTAGCCTCCGCGACTGTGATGGCGACCTTCATACCTATCATAATCCTCTCTTTCACGTCCATATCCATCTCTATGGCGGTCATAGCTATCTCGTCCATCGTCGTACCCTCCATAGGAACCACCGTATGAGCCGCCATAGCCTCCCCGTCTTCCACGCGGACTGTCATATGGGCCGCCATATGACCTTTGGTACCCTCCACGATAACTGGTGCATTACCGTGTTAGTAACATAATGATGAAGCCATAAATCCATAGGAAAACTTACTTTCCGCGATATCTGCTATCCCTTCCTGACATTGGCGTGTTATATATTTGTTTAGTCCCTCTATTTCTCACGTGAGGATTTCACTTAACTGTGCTTTCCTCAGCTGTCTATTTTGTGTTTTTTGTGTTTTTTTCGTCGGTGGAAGAAGTGTTGATGGAGTGCCTGAACCAAACGGTTTGTTACTCTTAGCTATGGCCTACAATGTGACATTTCTATGCTTTTATTTCGTTATTAGGTTTCATGCAAAATTAAGTAATCATAAGGTGGCCATTGTTGACTCGAAAGGGATATCTCCATCGTCTGAGTCACAGCACCAGTCTTTAATCTCGTTAAGCATACGCGCAGAGTTGAGCATGTCCTGTTTCCACTCTTCAGTTCTCATTCTGTACTCAAGAACTTCACAACCTTCAATAAGAACTGCTTCTCCTCTTTGGTATTTGAGTCTTTGAAAAAGCACCAAAGGCTTGAAGTTAGTAAGAGCTAGGATGTGTCTAATCTCCAGGACAGACACGTTTGAAAACAACCCTTCTGCGAAGATGCGTGGTAGCGAGTTGTTTGTGAGTTGGACACAGCCATTCAGAGAGAGCCTAGTGAGCGTATCTGAAGAAGTAAGGGCCAATGTCCAAAGACCGCTATCTGTGATAGAACAGCCAGCAAGACCTAATGTCTCGATTTGTGTATATTTCGACACAGCGTTCAAAGTCAGATCTGTAATCTTCGAAGATTGAGAATGACGACCCAAGTTTAACGTTGTAATGTTATTACAGTTAAACAACAGGTTGACCATGCCTTTGTCAGTGACCAAACCACATGCTCTGAGATCCAAGGTCTCTAATTGAGGACAGTGTCTGGCCACCATGTTAAGAAATTGATCATCAACAACTCGGGAACCAGGTAGAACAAGCTTCTTCAATCCCAAACCTGCAAACATAAGGGAGCTTGGTAAAACCTTTGGACAGATGTACATTTCAATCCATTCCAAACTGCCACTCACAAAGGGAGCAACGGTTTCAATGTCCTCTTGTTCTGCATGTGGTAGTTTGTGCATGATGAATAACTTCGTGTTGGATTTTGATCTTGTCAACTGACAACGTTTTGGAGATCTTTGAACAAACTTATCCCATTTGGCTGCATCTGCAAAGAATAACTTTGTAGTGGCAACTTCTTTAGCAACTTGGTACCAGAGCTTGTTCACAAATAAACAGTTGTACAATGAGTTACAGTGATTATAATCAGCGATTGGGTTTCCCTCAGAATCCAAAGTACTGGTCACGGCATCAGACCAGGCTTTCTGTGCTTTGGCCTCATCCTTGTATATCAAAAGAGCATGTTGGTAAGACAAAGGTCTTCTTCTGATTGGTGGACGCTCAATTGGAACAGAAGTATCCACATCGACAAATGTCAAGATCTTTGTCAAGATCTCAGGAATGCGAAATATAGGATGGCATTGGTTATGATCAATTTGCAACGACAATTGGGAAAATATCTCCACTGAATGAGCACCAACACTTGGTTTGCGTGGTGTAGCTAAAGTCTGTGGAGTATCTGGTGTGAATGGATGAAAATAAGTGGTGTCCTTGATTGGTGTAGACAGTGGACTAGGGAATGGTGTTTCATCGCTGTCCTCTTCGGAGCTTGGTGATAAATCTCTAGAGCTTGAAAACACACTTTTGAACTTTGTAACAAGGCGGTTCTTGTTAGGAGGTATCCTGGATGGTTTTCTTGTTGGTGTGACTGGGAACACAATGCGAGGTGAACCGTAGAATCTCTTTGCGGGTCTCGAAGACTCACAACAATCATCTTCTTCATTGACTCGTTTATAAGAATGTGAAGATGCTGCCATAGTAAACCAAGAAGAATAAAACAAATGAAGAAAGTGAACGGGTAACGAACGGAGACAAACAAACGAGTGGATAGAGTTTAACGAGTGACAGAGTAGTTGGAAAGTGTGGTATCAAAGGAGTGGACGTCAACGCAACTTAATGGTGACAAAAGTTTTGGTTCAGGACTTCAATTTTTCGACAGCTTGGAAGTTCTAGTGAGTTGAAATCAGGTATGCAATCCGGAGGACTGATAAGTGTATGAACGGTATGTGTATGAGAGAGTCTTCCTCCTTTCTTGGCCCTGGACGGGGGAATGTTGGACTGGTGAATATGTGTGTAGATTTGGATACAAAAAAGGATATGTGATGTGAAAAAGGGGTCCTTTGTTCTTCCGTTGCAAAGTGAAACGACAAAGGGATCAATTATGGGCTTGTTGAAGAGTCAACTGGGAACAGCTCAACCTCACAAGACACTGCATTGGACACATGGAATATCAGTTCTTTATGGAAGTATTTATAAAAGTGGAGGGAACCACCCAGAGTGTACCAGCCATTTATTGAAGACGTCGTCCCAGACAGAGAGCCGTTTTGAAACATTGGCGTTGCTGCTGCCTGAAAGCACGAAATATGCACGCGAAACGCTTTTCGAGCCAGCCAAAACGCGGGTAATAAAAATGCACATGGGCGTGTTAGCCAGACCAAAAAGAGAAAACATTAGCTGGGAATAAATGATAAGGAGGTGTAAAATAAGGGCTGTTCAGTGTGAATGGAAACGTGGTTCTAAGTCCATTGCGCCCTATCATTTGCACAGCTTTGGCCAGAGTGGGAAAGTAAGGCCATTGCTTGTTCTCCATTGAATCCGTAGTTGCAAAACGATGAAACTCCGTTAATTACGTAGTGCGTTCGCGCTCCTGTGCGTTTTCCACTTGTTTACCTTTTTCGAAATTGGCGGAGGGAGGGCTGGCAAGACGAGCGACACTGTTGGCTCTGAGAGGCGAGTTGAGACAAACAACCAAGCTTACGCGCCGTAAACGTCAGAGCGTACGGGAAATAGCTTAGCCAGAGACTGAGACACTAAACCTAAGGTGGGTTGGTGTACAATCCACACAATAAATGCCCAATCGATTACGCTGCCAAACCTGAGCCATGACGTCGTTACCAGTACAAAGTTCTACTCGCAGGTGAGAGGTGGGTGCTTATTGTCTCTGCCGACAAATTCCCCCTGTAATCAGACCAGTTAGAGACCTCTGTCTCAATTTGTACTATGTTGGTGTTGCTATTCCCCTTAATGTGTAGCGTTGAGTTAACCCAATTATTAAGAGTCCACTTCGCATTTGGAATTCTGGGACACCAGTGTTGCAGGGAGAGATACGGGGGTTCCCGCTCACCATAACAAGGAACAAAGGCAGTAGCTGGAACCACGAAGACGTCTCATTGAGAATCCATCGCTTAGCCGATTACAATAGCTGGTCGATAACAGGGGTTTAGGCATGTCATTCAACATTCCACAGTCCACTTACATAATGTGCATGTTCCTCCCTTTCAAGTTGGAAACATAAACGCAGATTTAGCCTATGTTCCTGCGGCACCCAGGTGCTGGCGCGGGTCCTGGGTGCTGTGTTGGTCCAGCTCAGGCGGTGGGTGGCAGGAACTACTGCTAGGGAAAACAAGAGCTTTCCGCCACGGCAGGTTGAAGTTTCCAGTTACGCAGACAGCGAAGCAGGAAGTGTTGACAAAAGAACCGACAAACCAACCACCGCCATCACCATCACAACCAACACCTGGGTGTTGTAGATCCTTGCAATGTGCTTTATATGAGTAAAGTTGACCGCGAATAAGCTGAACCTGTACTGGGATGCATTAGGGGCCGTCCATTGACCATAGATGGGAACAACAGACGAATATGTTGGTAGCTGTTTTCGGTTCTCATAAAGTGTACTTTGGAAAACTATATGGACAGCATCTGACTACCAATTAACCTCTGGCATTCACAGAACGCCGTTTGAGGATAATTTCTGATGGCTTTTGATATGGGACCTAAAGCTCTAGGAATGTAGTCAATTGATAACGACACCACCACGCCACATGTGGAGATAACTCATCACTTCCCCATGCTAACGACCAATGGTCCCTTTTATGGGCCTTTTTGCTTGGAGTTGAAGGTGGGAGAAAACTTTTGGCCTTCCTTTCGCTTGTAATATACATCCAAACATCTCCTACTAGAGCCTGGCGGTTCTTTGGGGGGATTTCGTAACAAGTGGCGAAAACAAACGAAAAACTCAATCCGCAAAATCCCGGAATTAGGCAATAAATTCGCGCAAATTATTCGTTAACTTGTGCGCAAAAACCGAAAGTGAACAACCCACAAAAAACACATACACAAAAGAAAAAAAAACACACAGCAGGAAGGGAAACGCCGCCGCAAAAATTCAGAAGAGAAAAAAACATTCGCTGTTGAGAAATAAAACATAAACAACAAAAAACTTACAAATACAACACAACTAGTTTTATACCATTATAGCGGCTATTTTCTAAGCGGGCGGTTAGCTTCCAAACTGTTGAGGATTGTTACACCCTAATATCTTCTCATTGAACCCATACCAATATCCCGATATATCACATTTGTTTGTCATTTCATTTCTATTCAGATATTGTGTGATTGGGTATTTACGGAGAAAACAGAAAGTAGGGACAACAGAGAACACACCACTGATTGGTTGGGGGCGGTAACGTGTGTATATATACACATACACAGCATTATACATCCATCCTAGCCGATGTCTGGGTACAGAGGCCAGCGACCTGGTGCTTCGAGCCGGCCGGGTTCGATAGGCTCTACAGGTTCATCCTATGATGGGTTTTCAAGGCATCGTTACTCGGAACAACAACATTCTTCACAGCAAAGTTCACAACAGCCCGGTGGGTCATCATCAGGGTCCACTTACAAACCATACTGGCAGTCACGAGGCTCTTCATCCTATGGTAGCTTCAGAGGTGACAACAGAGATTACCGTGAAAGAGACAGAGACAGGGACAGTAGGGAGAGAGATGTAAGGGATAGAGATGTAAGGGATAGAGAAGTTAGGGACCGGGAAAGGGTACCGTCGCAGTCAGAGAGGTATGGTGCACCACGTAGAGGTGGTTATTATTCATCAATTGCATATTCTGGGAGGAATAGGGATCCTTATTTCTCAAGGAGTCAGCCTCCAAGAAGGGGATATAACACATACAATAATTATTCAGAAAGAAATGGAGGCAATCCCAATTACCGTGATAGAAGACAGAGAGAGTCTTATGGAAGTAGGTATGGTACCAGCCGTCACTCCTCCTTGAGCGGACCAAGCTTACGAGAAGATGCCGACAACTCTTGGAAAACTGGCCATGATCAACATCACGAATCGGAGTTTGATAGAACGTCCAGCGGCTCTGATTACCAAAGAGCTCCACGACCATCACTGATACCCAAGGACTTTAAGGATGACGTTGATGATGACGAAGAAGAAGATTTGATCTTGGGAAAAGCCAGTCGTAACAGTTTGTCCACTGAAAAGACTGACACGGTAACAAAGAGAGAAACCAGTGTCCATTCTGATAGTGCACATGAAGCATCGGACAATGCACATGAAGAACCTCACCAAGAGACTGTAAGCGCTGATGAAGAAGTTGAAGAAAATACAAAGAGTATCACAGAAGAATCAAAGAAGCTCCAAGAAGAGCCAAAGAATGTTGAAGAAAAACCGAAGGATGCGGTACAGGGAGAAATTGAAATTGCCGCAGACAATACAACAGAAACGAGAGCCGAAGAGACCACTGATACCAAAACCTTCGAAAACTCAGACAAACAAATACCGGAGAAGCCCTCAAATCTGGAAGCAGTATCCAATGAACCGGAAACACTCCAACAAGTCAAGTCCTTAGACGATAAGATAGAAGCGGGTAATGTGAGAACCGAAGAGGAGAGAAATGGTGATACTTCAATGCGAGAGGAAAGCGAAGACGAATCTGATTATGACCCAGAAGCAGACCACGAAAAGATCGAGAAGGAGCTACACATTAAGAATGAACCCATCAAGGAATCCAGTGAATCTGCGGTTATGGTTATTGAAAAGGAAGAAACTAAATCAAACATTGATGTTGAGCCATCTGATATGGATGTGGATTCCAAGAATTTGACCCTCTCTAAGCCTCTGGATTCAACGTCAATACATCCTTTAAAACAGGAAGAATCCTTTTGCTTCCCTCTAAGAAGAACAGAACAGCGAGTGTGGGAATTGAAGAACCACTCAAGAGACGAGAGAGTCAAGAGGCTTCCTTATCTTCTAAAAACTCCGATCAAAAGCTTAAAGGAATTTAGTTTCTACGAGAGAACATTACTCGTCCATAAGCAGGGAATTTTACCGAAGTTGAGAGAGAAACTTTCCATTGTGAAGGGTTCAACCTTTGTTCATAAGATTTCATTGCTGAATGAGTATGCTCATAGAGTTGATGATCACTCTCATAGGCTTGAGGAGATGGATAGACAGTTGAAGTCATTTTATCCAAATGAAGCACAGGAAGAGGAAGAAAAGTCCAGGATCAACGAATCGCCATCTGAACCACGCAGACGTTCTCGCCATGCTGATGTTGTTCGTTCTGAGGCAGAATTTCTCGAGATTTTGGAGAGTTTAGAGAAAGAAAAAGAGCAGGATCCTCTTTACCGTGCTGAACAAGTGGCTGCTAGGATTCCGGATATGATTCTCGATCCTATTGAGAAAGGTCTGCGCTTTGTCAACACGAACAATAAGGTGGTTGACAAAGAGGCTTGGGCCATGAGAATCAAGACCGATCCAGTAGACAACTTTACTCGAGCAGAGCATGAAGCATTTTGTGAAGCTTTTCTATCATTCCCAAAGAGATTTGGTCGCATTTCAAACTCTATGGGTGGTCTTAGAAGTGCAGAGGAGTGCGTCTTACATTACTACAAAACAAAGAAGTCAGTCACTGATTATAAGCAACTCCTTTCGGCTAAGAAGAAGAGAGGTAAAAGGGGCGCTAAATCCCGTCGTGGAAAGGCAAAATCAGCGAGCAACACTCCTGTTGTTAGTACACCAAACGAAAGTGCTGATGAAAAGGAACTTCACCTGGAAAAGTTCGTTCCAAAGGATGTTTCAGATGAATTGTTTACTGATACAGGACGTCCTCGTCGTGCTGCTGCTCCTGTTTTTGACTCTGAAAAGAAGACCACCCCAGACGCTCCAACTATCGATGCAGCAGAAAGCAAGAGACCATTGCAAAGCGAGGAGCCGGGCGTTGAGACTGAAGATAAAAGAAAGAAGAAGCAAAGGGTTTCTAAACCTAAGAGTCGGGTTGTGTTTGTTGGCGAAAGTACGAAAGAAGTCAATGCTAAGGGTAAGAACAGCATCTCGAGTTACTGGAGTGTAAGGGATATCGCCTTGTTTACTAAGTTACTACCAGAACTTGGAACAAACTGGTCAGAGATTGCGAGTCGTCTTGGAACAAAGAGTGCAACAATGGTTCGCAACTTTTACGCAAGAAATTCCGATTCACATGAAACGAGTGAGAGAACACCTACTCACGAACCACAGGTTTCCACGCCGGAACCTGTTGCGATACCAACCTCTACTACGGCTCAACACAGAAACCCACCACTTGGATTCTTTACAGCCTCTGCTAGTGTTCCAAGCAATGTGAACTTTACCGCTCAACCAATTCAGCCAAAACCTGAACCTGAAACGTCTCAATTGCCTGTTGGAAACTCATTTGAAAGGTCAGTTCTGCCTACTGTTAGTACATTTTCAACGTTATCAAACCAATACCAACAGCCCACGCCACAAGTTCAACAATCACAGCAAGTGTCAAACTCACAAGCTCCACCTCATTTACCACCTCTTATGCCAATGTCTTCGTCGAATTTTGCCCCAGTGGAAAAACAAGAGGTTGCCAGATCGAATCCATTCTCGATCACCAGCTTGTTGAATCCAACAGAGGTGAGGCAGCTTGCACCATCTCTCCCAGTAACGGGAACTTTCAGCCCTGTTCAACAGAAAAAGGCATTCTTCAGTAGCTTTGATGCCACTAGCAACGCGAATGGCGATGGCTTACCTCCTCACCAACAGATACCAGAACAATCCTCTTTCAATCCGTTAGACGCACTGGTTGCTGCTGCTGAGAAAAAGACATCTGATGAGATACCTCACCGTGGTCGCTATTACGACCCAACTGCAGTGTCATCACCTCCAAAACCAAAGCTGCCTGCGTTCAAGAGCTCGTTCAGCTCAAACATTCACAACATGTTAAATGACGATAATGGACAATGACTGAAGTTGTGGGTGTGGGAGTGCTTCCCTTGTTTTTATGTTTATGTGATTATCTTTATGAGGAGTTTTAATGATACTGGGTTTCTTTTGAAAAGAAACAGCAGAGTGATGATTAATTGTATATATGGGTGCCTTGTATTAATACAGATTCAGTTAATATGTTTTTTTATTTTCGAGATCATCGGTAGATCGTCACATTTTGATAGGGGTATATCATTTGGTGTACGGGTGTTTGATTATCTAAGAAGGCAACCTCCGAGAACTTCACCATTGAGAGTTGTTAACATAGGATAGGGTTCACCTGATTGCTCGGAATCTGACCGTGTGACTTACTGACAGTAAGCCTATTGATATATAGAGGGACATTGAAGAGGAAATGAGTGCCCCAATTGATGAGAATGGAGGAGCTGAAGCTGTTTCCGAGGATGCACATAGAGCCAATCTACAGGAGGAAGTGGATGGAAACCTCAACCAGGAAATGGATACTGTGGAGGCTGTTGAGGCCAGAGATAATGGCTTGAAGAGCAGTTATAATGGAGGTAATGGATATACTTCCAATGGAACTCGGGAGGAGGGAAAAGAGGATGACGCTGATGAGGAATGTAATCTGAATAAACAAAACAATGTGGCCACCATTGATAAGACAAACGAAGAGTCGAATTCTCACAGTGAGGTGGACAAAGAAGAGTCATCTAAAGATGGCGACATTGGAGATCAAGAGGGGTTTGAAAACTCTGAAGAGTATGAATCAGGGGAGGAAGGAGGAGAAGAAGAAGATGAAGAAGATGAAGAAGAAGAAGATGAAGAAGAAGAAGAAGATGATGAAGAAGATGAAGAAGAAGAAGAAGAAGATGATGAACCACCCATGTTGAAGTACACAAGGATCGACCAACTCCCCAAGACATTCTTCACCAAGGAGCCTGTCTCTTCAGTTCTAATCCATGAAGCATGCTTTGCATTCGGAACATCATCTGGTCTACTTCATGTTACAGACCAGAACTTCCAAACAATAGGCACTATACGAGCTCGAAGATCTCCGATTTTATCAATTCATACAGACGGTACACATGTCATTGCAGCATCCATAGATGGCACTGTTTTGATGGCAGCTCTCAACGACTTACACTCGACACTGGCTTTTGACTTGAAAACTGCTGTGTACTCTGTTGTGTTCAACAAGAACTACAAAGATACAAAATCGTTCATATATGGAACCAAGTCAGGGAAAGTTGTGATGAGTACTACGAATTGGCTGGGTACACGGGCTGAAAGAGTGATTGCCGAAGATAGCGGTCCAATCGTTAAACTTGAGATGATCAAGAGCATATTGCTTTGGATAAGTGATGATGGGATGACCTTCTATGACACAAGGACTGATAGAATCATCACGAGATTGAAAAAGACAAATACCGATACACCAGCAGAACTATGCTGGCCAAGAGTCTCATTTCCTGAGAATGGGTTGGTGCTTGTGGGATGGTATAAACATGTCTGGCTTATAAAATGCGATGATGGCTCAACGTTGGAATCCAATTTTAAGCTAAGCTCTGCTATGAGTTCTTTCAGCAGACCAGTCGTGGAGCCACATGTGGCAGTAGAATCTGAAGTTGACATAGATGAGGGCATAATCACTGGGATTGGAAGCTTAAAGGGGGATCTCGTGGTGCTTACTGTCAACGACTTGAAAGTATCTGAACCACCAGAACTTCGAATTATCAATTCTGTGACTTTAGAAGAAACGAGCACAGATGAAGTCATTTTGAAGGGATACAAGCAGCTCATTGCCAATGATTTGTTTCTGGGCGAATTTGCTGGTGCTAAGACTCAATTCTTCATTGTCTGTGCTTCTGACGGAATAGTTGCTGAACAGCTGGATCTCCAGGGTAGGTTTGACTGGTATTTACAAAGATCAAGGTACCTCAGTGCCTGGGAAATGAGTGAACATTTGATCTCAAAGGAAATGAGGTGTAATATTGGAATCAAGCAAGTTGAAAACTATCTAGAGGATGATAACTGGCAACAAGCAGCGGAGTTTCTGAGTGAAGTCCTGGAATGCTGCGACCCAGGCTCCTTTGTTATGGAGAAATGGGAGCAATGGTCTTGGATCTTTATACACAGCAAGAAGATTCAGTTCTTAGCTTCAATTCTACCAAAATCTGGCAGCAAGATTCTACCCAAAAGTATCTATAATGAGTGCCTCAAGTACTTTCTCGATAACGATGAAGATCTCTTTTTGCATTATACAATTGAGTGGGTGCCTACATTATACGATTACGTTGATATTGAACAAGATGTGGAGCAAATCTTGGAAATAAGCCCTGATTCACCAGTTATTCGCAGAGCTCTAGCCAATGTGTATATCCGGACTGATGAACCTATCAAGGCAGTACCTCATCTCATACACCTCCAAAGTCCACACACGATTGAGCTTTTAGAGAAACACCACTTATTATCCAAGTTTGTCAATGAAATCCCTGAGATCATCAAATTTACCATTGGGGAAGATGAATTTCAAAATGCACCATTGGAAGTTATTGGTGAAGATTTAACACCAATAGTCGATCTTCTTGTACAACAGAGGCATGAAATTTCACCCGACCGTCTGATTTCTCTACTTAACAGTAAAGAACTACAGATTGTCACGTTCTTTTACTTGAAGAGTATCGCTGTTGTGGATGCAATCATGTCGGAGGTTTATGAAACGGAGCTGATGGAGTTATACGCTGAACTAGTTCCAAACCAACTTCTGGCGTTTTTGAAGAAGGCACAGCATTATGACATTGATCTTGCTCTGAGTATTTGCAGTGAGAAGGAGTTGTATCCCGAGTTGGTGTTTCTACTAGGGAAAGTTGGCCAGACTTCCAAAGCGATGTACTTGATCATTGACAAACTGGACGATCCAGATATGGCAATTGAATTTGCTACTACTCATAAGCACCAGAAACTATGGGATATATTCTTAGAGCAAGGTATATCAAAGCCAAGGTTCATCAAAGCAATTCTCCAGAACACAGGAACGCTCTTCGATGTTAATATCTTGAAGAAAATACCACAGCATGTTGAAATCGAAGGACTGAAGGATTCCCTTGAGCGTATCATGCAGGATAACAGACTAGTGAGGGTAATGCACGAGGTTATTCTTTCGATAATTGAAGACGAAGGTAAGGAGAAAGCTCAAGTATTGGACGATTTGAGATGGAGAGGGAAGTACATCGAGCTGGAGAAATGGTATAAGGATATCATAGTTCTTTCCAACGGGGAGACAAAGAGTCTGGATTCATAAAATGTATTGTGCTATTTACAGGTTATAAAGTTGACCAGTCATAATGATCAACCGTCAAGAGCAAGGTCTGGGTTTTCAACACCCATTTGCTTCAACTCAGATGTAAGCTTTTGTTGTAAGATATCCTCAATGTTCTTTGTACCAAAGAGATACTGCGATAACCTATTCAACTGGAAACTGACATCCAAGATTGTCATTGTCAACACGTATATCGAATATCTAAAGAGTCTTTCAGCTCTAAGCCATACCGTTAGATGTGTGGTTGGTGCGTTAAGGTAATAACCATTCACGGCTTCCTTCGTGAAGAGGTTAACCCTATTCACGGGAGATTTATACCGTTGATTCAGGGTTTGAACCATTCTCATGGTTCTTCCCAAAAATATCAAGGGCAACGGGAACTTCTCCGTGTTTTGGAAGAACTGTTTGAAGTTATTAGACATGTACCTTTCCCTTTCATATCTTGTCATCTTTGCAAGATTCTCCTTAGTTTTATGGTATGGCTTCAACAAGGCAAATGAGCCAAACATGTCAGATTGGTCTTCACCAATACCCCAGTGAATGGCAATTCTCTTCAGTTCCTTATCATTGAGTTCGAACAAACTCTTCCACAGAGTGCAGTATTCATGTCTTAGGGACTGAGACATCTCCACGTACAAACCATGGTCAAGTAGTACCAACTGTTGCTTGCCATTGTGGAATCTTGCGAGGAGATTACCAGGATGTGGATCAGAGTGAACAAATCCCCATTGGAAGATCATCCTAGCAAATAGTTTCAAGTAGTCATGTATAATCAATGTCGTATTGAACGTCTTTGCCAGTTCTTCAATCTTGAATAACGGCTCACCATCACACCATTCGGCAACTAGGACCCTCTTCGTACATAGTTCATCGTATGTTTCAGGAACATGGACTCTGCCTTGTAGGTACGAATCACTGTTGATCAATTGACGGGTTCTTGTAGAGTTCGACAGCTCAATGGTGAAGTCCACCTCTTCCTTCAATCTCTCTGATATATAATCAGACATAAAACTGAAAGGAATCTCAAATGCATAGCTAAACACCCTCGTGAACACTCGATATGTCCACAAGTCCATATCGATCTGATTATTGATGTAGTAGTGCTGGACCTTCACGGCAACCTGATCACCGTTATGCAGTTCCGCACGGTGCACCTGGGCAATACTGGCACTTGCTATTGGTGATTTATCAAAGCTCTTGAAGGTGTCCAGGTAGGACTCACCCATTTCCTCCTTCAAGATCTTCTCCACATGGAGCCAAGAGTCCTTCTCAGCGGAGTCGTACAGCTTGTTAAATCTCTGCTGGAATGGCAGAGGTAAGATAGCTGCCTGATTAGCAATGTTCTGCCCCAGTTTAATGTATAAACCTTTGTTTTCCATCAAGAGGTTGAACAAACGTTCCGCATTTCTCTCATGGAGAGCATGTATATCCTTACTCTCTTCAAAGTTCATCTTATAGTCCAGCCCAATCAGCGACAAGACATAAAAGGCCTTTGATGTTCTTTGCAGAACACTATCCCAGTAGAGATAATCAACACCAGCAAGTACACCAACGGTGATTGAAGAGCCCAGCAGAAAGTTTCTCAGACGATGAGTCTCATGTTTGGGAGCCGACGACGTCTGGAGAGCCCGTCTAAACTGTGTGGCGATCCGTGGGCCCCCAACTCTTCGTGTGAGCAATGTTGCCGGTGTCATATCTCAGTCTATGTATCGGACTTGGAGATATAAGCCGATATACGATGATGTGCTTTGCCGTGAAATCTAATTACAAACCACTACAACCAACACAAGCAAATCGAAGGTCGAATGGATGTGTTTCGGAGCGTGATTGGCCTATAAATCTTCCTCTGAGAGTGGTTTATCGGCCTTAAACACCTTCTACGTCGGTGATGAAAGTGGTGAACAGGCCGGGTTTCGGCTTTACAGATCGGGCTCGGTGATCGGGGTTTAAACACACGCATAAGAAAAAAGGTGTGCAAAATCATCCGAAACCGGAAATACGACAAATTCAGGTGTTTCCTGTTTGGGCCATTTCGTTTTTAAGTGCAATTTTTTTTTCCATGGAATTTTCGCCAAAAAGCAGTGAAAAATTCTTTGGACATAACTCGATGAGAGAGAGAGGTCAATCATCAACAGCTGCTAGCAAAGGAAATCATGGCTGATACCCTTCACATTGTTAGACCAAACTTGCTTTTGTCAAGCACGACAACCACACCAGTCTCTGTGACTGTGCAGTCTCCAGCACTCTTCCAACTTGTTGAGTTTTCTCTGCGCTCCCAGGAGAGAATCATCGGTACGCTTGTCGGTACTCGTTCTGATGAGGATGGTGAGTTGGTTGTCAAGGACGCGTATATCGTTCCTCACACCGAGGAGGATGATATCTTAGAGATTGAGGATGCACAGAACAGAGCGTTCTTCAACTTGCACAAGAGAAGCAATCCAAAGGATGTCATTTTGGGTTGGTTCAGCACATCAGATGCCATCGACTCCTTCACGTCTCTGATCCACGATTTCTACTCAAAGACTGAACAGTATCCACCGATCCACTTGACCTTGTCCTCCGTGAGCGAACTGAACAGCGTGCCAAAGATCAACACTTATATTGCCACAACGGTGGGTGCTTCCTCATCGCTAGCCAATGCCATCAAATTGGAGAAGGAATCAAACTATATCTTCACACCAATCCCTAATAAAGTTGATTTCGGAGCACAGGAAAAGACAGTATTGAACCAAGCTGCAAAGGCTGTCTTTGGAGAGAGTGATGAAAGCGTTGCTCAATTGGAATCCAAGTCTGTTGACCTTCAAGTACTTGTTAATGCTGTTAACCAAATCGATTTACTCATCGACACCACCTTAGAATACATTGAGAAAGTAGAACAAGGATCAATTGAGGGTAATGAAGAGTTTGCCAGACTCCTCTTGAGCTCTTTGAACACAAATGTAAAGTCCTTGAACTTGGAACAGGCCTTCACTTCTCAAATCCAGGACACTTTGATGATTGAATACTTGACGTCTTCTATAAAGACTCAACTTGAGTTGTCTGCTAAGCTTGCAACTTTGGCTTAGGAAGGTTGTAATTATTATGCACCACGTTTCTTACAGAATAACGTCGTTGTAGATGTTAGTTTAAAGTAGCGTAGAAAGATATTGTCTTGTTATTTAGGTATACCTCTTTCCCTTTGAAATAGTCTTTTCGTCAAAAGAAGCGTTAAATGCAATATAAATTATTCAATCTCACGAAACAACAAGCTGAGCTCAGCTTCATTACCCATGCCACTGAGAAACTCTTCAACGTTTGCTAAAGTATCTTCACTGAAGAGACCACTCCTCGTTAGACGTAGTCCCTCACCTGCAGCTTCAGCCATCGAAAGACGTCTACGAAGCTTCGAACCACGTCTTTTACGTATCGGATTTTGAGACTGTTGTCGTGGTTGTTGTAGCTGCTGGTTCTGGAGCTGTTCTTGCTGTTGCTTCTGTTGTTCCGGGATTGATGGAGGGGCTTTCACCTTAGAACGAACAGGGGTCATGATGACCTCGTTTCGTAGTCTCTTGGACTTCAACTTTGGCCCTGATGCACTATGACTGAATCTTCTGGTGGCATTCAAATGTATATCGTCATTGACAATCCCCTTATTTCTGAATGCAGATAGAGGAACTTTGCGATTTGAAGATGTCACTTCCAGCCATTGTTGGTGGTCCAAGTGATCGTCATTCTCGTCGTCCTCCATCTCACTCATGTTTAAAAGCTCATCAAGTGTGAACTCCTCGTTGTTACTCTGTGGTGTAGTGTTTGTGCCAGCAGCAGTAATGCCAGTACCAGCAGTGGTGTGTGGTACAGCTCCTGGCTTCGGAGTGGCTGGGATTAGAGAGCGAGTCGATAAACCGTCAATGATACCAAAGGGCTTTGAGTCTGTAGACCATGTTCCTAAAGCAGGTGGCCTTGCAATTATCGATGAGGAGGATAATAATTCTTGAGCCTTTGACCCAACCTTTTTCCTTGAGGATGGTGGAGGTAACGTTGTATCTTCATCCGTCGCTTCATCATCGCTCATTGGTTCATCGTGAGAGTCATCAGAGCCTTCTCCACCACTGAAAAAATAGTTCCAGAGATAAGAGTCGTCCTCGCTATCAACGTCGTGCTGCTTCTTCTGAGTGGCATTCATTGCACCCTCAGAGGTATATAGCAATTTATCCTTGAAGACCGAGTCGTCAAAATACGGTATCGTGAATGCCTCTTCATCGTAATCATCGTCATAGTCCCCATATCCATCATCATCATCGTCATCATCATCCGAGACGTATTGAATGGCTTCAGCGTTATCCAGGGCCTCCTGCTTGTGCTTCTTGATCATATCTTCGACAACAGAGTTTCTAGGAGTTGTCTGTCCACTGAGATCAAAGTTACCATTGCTGTAATCTTGCGCTATATTCTGAGCTTCCTCCTGAAGGAGGTTGTAGTCGTCTTCGCCAGTCTCGAAGCCTGTATCGACACCATCGCTCTCTTGCTCCAGAGTTCGAAGGAGCTCATCCCTATCGATATCACCATCAGAATCGGAGTCTTCAATGTCCACCAGCCCCAAAGGTTCACCAGCTATAGGCATTTCATTAGTCTCTGGAATGACTACCCCACTAAGCTCTTCACCAACATCCTCCTCTTCTGCGTTCTCAATTTTCAACATATGACTACCGTTGTTCCAATCAAATGAGAAGTCAACATCGTGGGCAGCAGGCTTTGAAGGCGAAGGCTCCTTAAACGGCGAGCTCGACCTGTGACGCTGCAACGCCTTGGCCTTTCTCTCAGCTGTTAGTTTGACGTAGTCCTCATCGTCATCGTCCGAGGAACTCGTATCATCGTCCTCATCATCTTCACTTGATGTATTAACAACCTGACCAGCATGTGTCTTCCATAATAAATCATGTTCTTCTTGCTCTTCATCGTCACTGTCACTCTCAACAGCGTGGAATTGCCCACCGGTAGTTGCTGGCTCATCTTCCGACTCAAATTCGCTCAAGTCACTGGAATCGCTCGAATCAACGAGGCTAAACCTCTGTTTCTGTTTGGCACGCATACTCGGCGGTAGGATTGTCTTGCCTGGTGCCTTTGAAGCACGCGTGCCCTTCACAGCCACTGTATTCTTTCTAGGGGCCTTGGCCATCTCTGTCAATACTATCGGAGTAGTCTTCTTTGATCTCTCTATACGGCGCTTGTTAGTGGGCGGAGGAGGACAAAAACACTTCGCACGACGATCATCATCATCATCATCATCTCTCACTTACATATTTCCCAATCGTTAGCTTTGGCTGCTTTACACTTCAATATCCAGTCTAATATCTGTTCCAAGGAACCGTTTCCATAATCTGCCGAGCTGTTGCGGATCTCACACGAAATGATGGGGCCCTGGTCTCGTATGAACTCTTGCTGTGTTGAACAGTCTTCGCTTATCGCAGTGAACAGGAAGGTCGTCGTCGTTTTTGTCGTCTATAGCGGCTCTCCAGAGGTCTAAGTCAGGCGGTAATACCTTATAATGGCTCTATTTCCAACGGCTCTTCTTCAATTTATCACATCATAGTGTGTGTTTAGGAAGAGACAGAAAGGTAGCACAGGAAAATTTTATGCATCGCATCTCCGAGGGTGCGAAAATTGCCGCATTAGGCATAACCATAATAAACACACCGGCACTGTTGTCCTCGGATATCACAGCTTACTACGTTACACACAGTACACACAGTACACGCAATTCGGTGCTATTCTTTTTGTTTATTGGAGAGTTTCTGCTCTAAAGTGTGGCAGTTAGACGTGGCACCCCAGTGGACTTCTCATTCTGAAGAGATATTCACACTTCTCAGGCTCACTGACACCGAGAAGCTCGTGCTCATCACCGCACTCGATCTTGACAACAGCCCTTCTAACAGGGCCGTTCCAACATTTGGCACCGTTCTCGTAGTAGGCCACAACGGTGTTGTCTTTCTCGTCGAGCTCTGCTCTGTCGAAAGTGCCGATCTTGACGTTGTGTCCATTGGCCCCCTTTTGTCTGACATCACCGATGATTTCGAGCTCGTAGTCGTATTCACCAAATTTGGAGGTCTTTTTGACGTCAGCCATTGCACGGAAGATTTCATTTGGCCCATAGTTCTTGGACAGCTTTGAGTTGATGGCATCGATGGACGAGGAGGCACTTTGTGCGTACTCTTCGAATTTCTGAACAGCGTCTGCTAAATCGTCATTCTTGAAGGTTTCAATTCCGGACTTCTTCACCTGAGCTGAAGACGTTCCCAAGAATTGTTCAACTAGGAAATGGAACTTCGATCTTACCCTATCGATGAATGATCCTTCTTCAACAGATTGTAATGGGGCAGATACCTCTGGTTGCTGCTCTTCTTGGACAGGTTTGAGTGTGGACAGCTTATCTGCGATTGTGTTCAAGACAGATGATACGGAGTCGACAAACATTGCATCATCTTCAACAACTTCCTTGTTCACCAAATAGTCCTGGAATGAACCAACGGCTTCTTTAACATTTGGATCGTTGAAATTTGGGTTATAGTTCTCAATCAAGTAGTTCAAGAGCTCCTCCAGTTTGGCAATGTGTTTGTCAACTACTCCATGGTCAGTAACGGCTTCTTTCAAACTTTCCAGGATCACGGAAGAGGAGTCATTGACTTCTTTGACACCCTTACTGAAGAGTGCAATGATCTTTCTCTGAAGCTTCTTAACGTCAAGTTCAGATGGTTGGTAGTCCTTCAAGAACTCTCTGAAATCCTCAACGGTTTGCTTCACAGCGTTATCATTCAAGTTAGCGTTAAAGGTCTCATCAAGCTTGGACAGAATATCGTAGACGGTGCCCAAGTTTTGTTTCTTGGATGCAAATGCTCCCAGCTTCTTACCAACCAACAACTTCTGTTCATCAATGGTCTTTTTCAAAGCTTTGAATAGATCAGCATTCTCAGACTCGTCCCTTTCATCAATGAGCTTTTGAAATCTGCGGATTTCACCTTTATCAAAGCTCAAGAGCGATTCTTCAGTGGCCAATTGATCAGCGAGTTTAGCCTTCATTCTCTGAGCTGCTCTTATGATCTTTGCTGCCTTATCTTTACCGACCGCAATCATTTTCTCAGTAGCAATACGATCCTTCTCATACTCCTCGTGTATCTCCACACATTTGTTTGGACATTGGACGCCAGTTTTCCACTCATCAGAGCCATCACAGCACACCTCGTAATCACAAACACCATCGTTCACCAGATGACTTGGAATGTAAGAGCCAACGTGACCTTCGTTCTTACACCAGAACAGGTTGTTTTCACACGCAGACGTTCCTGGCTCGTCACTCCCGTCAGGACAGTCGCAGTAATCGTCGTTCACTTGTGACCAGTCCAGCACAATTTCTGGGTTTGAAAGACAGCTCCATTTGCCATCTTTGCTGACATACAAGTGTTGGTCCTTGGGAGCAACACCTATAACTTCTGAGTCAGCGTTGACCACCAATGGGAGGAGTGGGACAAGAACAGCTAATGGTAATCTCATAATGGGCTCTGCAACTGCACCTTATAAATCAGGGTTCTACAGTGTCTTTCACAATATCTCCGGACACAATTCGTATAGCACTGTGATATATAGCTCAGCACAACACTTCCAAGGTTGTAATTGCAACAGCGAACAACAAATCACCTCTCAAAGTGAATGTCGTTGTTGGCACACCTGGGTGTAATTTTCTGCCTCGAAATCGCCGAGTATTAATTCAATGTGCCAAACAATCTACAAATTGATGAGGTGTTCGAAACAAGATACTTGGTATACTAATGCAAAACAGCTTATACGCCCAATTGACACTCACCATTAGCTGTTGAGCACTCCGCTAGAGCTTTCAATTAGGTGTATAAACTGAGGTATTCGCAGTGTTGGTCATAACACCGATACCCTCCGGTAAAGCCGCCATCCTGCTTAGTCATAAACTCCGTCCCTTCCTCATCGCATAAATTTTTGTTTATGTTTGTGTATGTTTTGGCTCGTTGTCGAGGAAGCCATACACTTTGAAACCACCTTCTTCGGCTTGTTGGGCTAAACAGTGGACAACGCTATGAATAGCCACCCACGACTGACACCTTGGAAGAGCTCGGATGAGGTTGTATACCTGAAGGGTCTGTTTTTCCCGGCGGATAGAGAACAGATCTCGAGAGATGAGCTCTATCGTCAGTACGAGGAAGCCATATCGCTGGTGGAGATGTATTCCTCAAGAACGAGGGTCTCACATATCCTGCAGTCGACCGCACATCTGTTCTCTGCGCTGATGATGCTTGAGAGCTTTGAAGGTGGGCTGGATGATACCGTCAGACTGACGGCGTCGATGACCATCATTCGATTTGTCAATGGGCTCTTGGACCCAAATCAACAGAGTCAATTTGCAATACCTCTACACCTGCTAGCTAAGAAGATTGGCCTGCCGAGCCTGTTTGTTGAATTTAGACACAGCGCTACACACGATGCGCTACCGTCTTTGGAAATGTGTAAGACGTGTGTTGATCGGGCGATTGATTGGGTATGGGACCACTACTGGGATGGGGTCTTGTCGATCGTCGAACCTCAGGTTGAAACGGATGATCTTGAGGAATCACTCATTAAGGAGCTGAAGGACCTGTTCAAACAGTATAGGAGAATAAGGAGACAGAACATCACCAAATTGTACAAATTTGGTGATTCCACTCCTGAAGGAAAGGAATATTGGACTTGTATCGCAGGTATAAAGGACCATGCAGATATGGCTAACTTCTACAACGTTATGATTGAACGAATCGTGAGCAACAAGCTGAAATGGGAACATCTGCGAGCTCTGTTCGAACCAATGATGAACCATTTCATCCATCTTAAGGGATGGGATTTCCCTCTTGGGTTGATCGATTCAATGCTCTCAAAGAACTACGAATATTCTAAATTCCGTGGTATTGATGATACCGAGAGAGCATACCTCAATGACCAGGAGTTCAAATGCGCACAGAAATGGATAAGATGGTTGGCTATCGAACAGATAGATCGCTATGATGATGTCTTGATTTCAAAAATGATTGACACACTGGGGAAGACTAACCACGAGTTGAACGTTGAACTTCTTGAGAAACTACAGTCGAGGTTCAGCGCAGATCCTGTAATCAAGGACAAGATCCAGGCAAAGCTCACATTGATTCAAAGGCTTTCAACAGACACCAAAACCAAGAGGATGAACAATCTCGAAGATATAATGTCCGATCTTGAAAGCCTAAAGAAGCGAGCAAAAGTGACGCCTACGCTTCATATCAAGAGTTTTGAATCGCACCCTAATTGGACACCCAAACCGTTTGGAGTTATATAGACATCTACATATATTAATTGGAGGATGGAACCTTTTTATTTTGGACTGTATATATATATAAACCAATGTAATTGAAACTCTTTGTCAACCCAATGACAAACATGTCACTACAGACACTCAAAATTGAAACTGTCGTCAAACACAGTGTTAATCAGACATCCTAGGAAGGTCTATGGGCGGTCACCGGCTTACATAGAAGGGTTCTAAGCGTAAGCTACCGAGGAAACTGCGAATGTTAAGGTTATTTTCATCACTTTAACACGGTGTAGAGACAGCTCCAATCTTGAGATTGCACTTGTAGATTCCAGTCTGGCAGAGATTGGAAACATAGAGTTCAAAACATTGATGTACTTTGGCCTCAAAATACAAACTAGATCTTCTCTCTATACAGAAACACAGGTTAGTATACAGAAAAACACTGCAAATAGCAAAGTCCACTAAAGAAACCACCAAAGCCTTCCCTCCAAAGGAAAGAAAAGAAAAGGCAACAGATCAGAAATGTTTGGTTACTGGCAAGTAAAAAGTCAAAGAGATCCCCAACTAGTAACCGTAGTTAAGAGTTGTATGGGAAACAAGTGACGTGTTAGAACCCCATGTCGTCATGGTCGAAATCGGACTGGGAAAGAAGGAAACAACGTTATCATCATATGAGCGAAGACTTCAGTGGACACATCTAAAGCTGAGAGCTTGGTGTAAAATACGTACAGTTCTTCAAAGTTTCCTCCAACCTCCATTGGAGTGGGTTTCTCACTGGGAAGAGAGCATTGGAAGGGAGAAGAAATCGATGGAGAATGAAAAATTTTCTTCGTTTAAATAGCGAAAAGCGCTGAATGCGCAAAAATGCGCTGAACGCGCAAAGGCGAATGGGAAGGAGTTATTTGCCCGTAAGAATGCATGACAGAAATGTTAGGGCTAACTTCATTTACTCGTAGAAGCGTAATAACATAGAAGCATCAACCTGGTCAGTTGATTGACATTGGAGCATGAGTGTAAACAGAGGTATAATCGTTGATAGAGAGCTATCGTCAAGGAAGCACAAAGGTGTAAATTCGACGGAACTAGCAGAGAAGATCGTTAGGGAGCGTGTATTTGATTCTCTCTATTGGAAGTTGAACTGCTTCAATGTCAATGCTGCCACGATACTGAACCGATGTGTAGAGCTCCGATGCGTTGGCTCATTTGAACAGTCCGGAAGACCTTTCCCATTCTTATGCCTATTTGTGAAGCTGATCCAGATGTTACCACCGAGTGAGATTATAGAGTTCTACTTACAGCAGCACGAGTTCAAATACCTGAAAGTGCTGGCATTGCTCTACGTAAGAATAGTGGAGAGGGATCAGGACACACTGAGACAGCACCTGAGTGACTATAGAAAGATTATTCTCTTTGAGAACGGGGCGTGGTCATTGACCACGGTGGATGTCATTGTGGACAGACTACTGACGGAGGACTTCTTCATAGGGCTAACGCTGCCCTTCATGGGCGCGAGTGAATGACGACAACATGTAAACATGGCTCTTGAATTTCATGACATTAGTAATACATATATATGTAGCTCTCTAGAGAGCCCTTCTAACCCTTTTGGCACCCCCATGAGACGTCGCATCATTAGTGTCGAGTCTTCTCTTCTTCTTCTTCACCTGCGTTACATTATCCTGTAGCAGCAAATCGAGATTCAGGGAGTCCGGCAATATGACGTTTCTCACGTTACTGCCTCTGATGTTGATGAAATCTACCACTATCGGGTCCCTATGTCTCAGCGTCATCTTCACCTTCTTCAGAGTGATATTCATCGTTGGCGCTACCATCACAACAGTGCCCTGTACCACTGTACCGTCTTTCAGCTCAACCTGTACCGTCTCGTTGGTGAGCTTCATAAGAAATCTAACCAGTTTCATCTTTGTTATGTGTTATCCTAGTGCTTCTGAGCTACCCGCCACCCGTTGTTTTGCCTTAAACCAGCTTGTTTTGCCTTGCGCTTCCAGTGGTATTTGAACTTTTTGCACAAAAACCGACTAACCAAAACCGAAAAAGAAGGAAAAAACAAAAACAAACAGTTTCGCGCTTATTTCCCTTTACGGAAGAGGGCTCTTCCCCTATGAGGCGATGTCCAATTCCTTTTCTCATCACAGGCTCTTTTCCCTTCCTTTGCTACTAAAATTTCACCTTGAAAGCGCACAGACGTAAACATTGAACGGCAAAGATGTCCACAATCAGTGTTAAATCGCGTTCTAAATCAATCAAGTCCGCGGAGTACGAGGGCGTCAATACGTATGACCAGTTTCTCAGCCTAATTGCCAAAGCCAACAAGACCAATGTCAACAGAATCCGTATCACCACGTTGGACAAGAAGCCAATCACCTCCACCAGTGACTTGTTATCACAGAGCGAAGTCTCTGTGAAGGACCTTGGTCCGCAGATTGGATGGAGAACAGTGTATATCATCGAGTACTTGGGCCCATTGCTACTGCACATCCTGTCTTATAAGTACTTTGGAGAGCCAAAGAAGTACAACTTGCTGTGGAAGATGCAGGTGTTCCACTACGCTAAGCGTGAGTTTGAGAATGTCTTTGTCCATAGATTTTCGAGCTCTACCATGCCATTGTTCAACCTGTTCAAGAACTCGGGCTATTATTGGTTGCTGGGTTCTTCGTTGTCGCTGATGTACAACGATTGGGGTAACTTCACAGTGCCAGGCTGGGCTCCATCTGCAACCACTATCCAATGGTTGTTCATCGCATGGTGCGTGTGCCAATTCTTCAACGGTGTCAGCCACGTCCAATTGCGTTTGCTTGGTGACAAGTCCATCAGAATGGGTAAGGGTAGACAGCCACCACAAGGTGGTTTCTTTGAGATCTTTGTCAGTCCAAACTATACCTTTGAAATCTATGGCTGGGCTCTGGTGTTCTTGATGAACCCAAATGTCTTCTCCTTGTCGTTCCTCATTGTCGGTGCAACACAGATGTACTTTTGGGCACAGGCCAAGAACAAGAAGTACAACACCCACAAGTCATTCATCATTCCATTTTTGTTCTGATTCATTCAGTTTTAGCTGACTCTACAGAGGGAATGTGTGGGAGAGTGGGAGAGTGGGAGCGAGAAGCACTAAAAATGACACTGCCATATTACATATAACGTTCCACCAAATCGCAAGCATGAGAAGGAGAAGTGTGTCATCGTAATGGACATCTCCTCTGCGCACATAGCAAGCACAAAAGGGATGCATCATCGACTATGTTGTGTACACAGCACATAAATTAGCAAACTAAACCATATGACTTCGTTTAACTTCCATCACTTGTATATGTGTAGTCGTCTATAGCACATATCCTGCGACAACGTCAGCACAGTTGAACACGGTGCAGTGAGCTGGTCAATTAGGCTTTAACCTTGGAATCAGACGTGCTGGGAGTTGTTGTCAATGTCCTACATCTGATGAGTGAGTGCGCGTGTCCCTCCCACGCGTATGCCATGGCAATCAGCTCGATATGACACATTCAACGCTACAACTCAGTTCTAGATCACCATCTTTTCTTTTTCTCCGTTTCTTTTCCGTCGTGTACCTGAACGGAGAGTGTGGCAGAGGGTTTGCAGTGCCATAGGAAGCGACCTACACGACCATCGCTGGTATCAGAGAGGAATCATGTCGCCAACTTCCCGTCCCGACGATCAGACAAACAAAAACGACACAGCAGCTATGTCGTTTTTTTTTTTCTTACTTTTTTGCGCAAAATCAGTTTTAAAGTTCTGGTTTGCGTCAATTGAAAGGAAAAGCGGTCCAGGCTGAAAACGGCAGGGACGAAAGGTGCAATTTTGCGACACAAGAACAACCCATCCGAAACGGGCAAACAGCGAAGCGAAGCGAGGCAGCAAGATGGGGGAAAAGGGAGGGTTCAGGAAAATGGCGCAGTTGCCAACCAGTCGCCTGGGACTGCAGGGGGGGCAAAAATCGTTCGCAAATTATCCCAAAAGGGAAACAATTGCTAAAACCTACGCCAAAAATTACGTAACCGGACTAAACACAGGGACTGACGTAATTGTGCTTTGCAAACATATAGGCTTGTCTGACCGTCCAACCCATCGGCTCCACCTATAAAAGGGGCCCCCTGGTAGCACCAGGCTGCTTATCGGATCACTGTAGCTGTGTTAGCACAATACTCCAGATAGTTTTTAGTTGTTCAATTATACCGCTGATTGACTATATTTCTGTGTATTTGGATAGAGATGCCATCATCACCAGCAGTGAACGCTACAAAAGCCAATGAGGATACGCCTGCGAAGACGTCTTCTCCATCAATTCCGAAGACAAACTCCATGTCGTACCTCAACAACGACGGCATCGACGAGCTGAAGCCGCTGACCAGAAAACAACGTGTGTCGTCGCTGTCGTTATCGGACCAGTGGTCTGGCTCCATGACCCGCTTGAACGGGTCTGCAAAGGGCTCCGGACTGGACTTGACACAATTGTCGTCAGGAATCGCTCCGCTCACGTCGAGAAGATCGAATACGCAGCTCTCGAGAGGCGGTTCCATCCGCCATAAGAGAACGGTGATCGATCACGAGCGTATCGCGTCCTATGCATTTGCTTTCGACATTGACGGTGTCATTGTCAGGGGACCGGAGACGATTCCGGAAGCCAAGGAGGCCCTCAAGCTCCTCAACGGTGCAAACAAGTACCACATCAAGGTGCCCTACATCTTTGTGACGAATGGTGGTGGAAGATCAGAGTCTGCCCGTTGTAAGGAGCTCTCTGATCGCCTGGGAATCACTGTCACGGAGGATCAAGTGATCCAAGGCCACACGCCAATGAAGGACCTGGTTGACGTTTACGACACTGTTCTCGTTGTGGGCGGTGTTGGCGACGCGTGTCGTAAAGTGGCTGAGGGATACGGCTTCAAACAGGTTGTGACTCCGCTGGATATCATGAAGTGGAATCCTTCAGTGACACCATACCACACATTGACGGAAGAAGAGCTCAAAGTAGCCAAGGATTACGACTTCTCCAAGATCAAGATCGACGCCATTCTCGTGTTTGCTGACTCTAGAAACTGGGCAGCTGATCAACAGATCATCTTGGAGTTGTTACTGTCCAAGAACGGTGTCATGGGTACCGTTTCTGAAACCTATGACGAAGGTCCAGGAATCTACTTTGCACACTCTGATTTCGTCTGGGCAACTGATTATGGACTGTCCAGATACGGTATGGGTGCATTGCAAGTTTCTATTGCTGCGCTCTATAGAGAACATACCGGCCAGGAGCTTCAGGTGACTAGATTCGGTAAACCTCAACGTGGTACTTTTAGATATGCAAACAAAGTGCTCACACACTGGAGAAAGGATGTATTAGAGGAGCACGTTGAGAAAACCAGTGTATCACCAAAACCTGTCTTCTCAGACTCAGAGAGTGACGATGAGACAAGCGATGACGAGCCATTGACTGTGCAGAAACTCTCACAACTGACTCTGGACTTACCTCCAGCTTCCACAGTGTACTTTGTTGGTGATACCCCAGAATCAGATATCAGATTCGCCAACTCCCATGACACATCCTGGTATTCGATTCTCGTCAAAACTGGTGTTTACCAAGATGGTACAGAGCCTCGTTATAAACCAAAGCACACGTGTGAAAACGTGTTGGAGGCTGTAAAGTTTGCCATTGAGAGAGAACACCAGAAGGAGTTGAGTGAATGGAATGACGGTGCTATCGATGTGCCAGTTGTTCTTGATGAGACTGAAGTGGTGACGACTGGCACTAAAGATGTGCTATCGAATGAACAGCTGATTGCAAATGCTAAGACGGCCTAAACGAATGTACATAAGAGTTATATTACGCACGTCACGATCTATCTCATCCACTACGTTCTTTTATTAGAAACATTTCTTTGATTTACACAGCACAACCCTTTTAAAGTATAGACTTGATGTTTTATTCCACTATACGCTCTATGTAGGACACCATCATAGTTTACCCATCTCATCAATGGAGTAGTCCAAGATGAAACTCTGCTCGATAAGATCGTCAACCCTGGTGTAATGTCTTTCGTTATATGGGACGATGGCATCAATGAATTGCATTAGTCCAGGAATCTCTACGAGCTTGTCGACATCGAAGCTCTGGAGAATTGCTCTTATCAACTTTTGAGCCACCGAGAAGTATCTAGCATTGACGTTCCATGTTCTGATTCTCTTGAACAATAACAAGATCTGATCGTTGTTAAGGGTCTTGATGACACTGTCCAATTCTTCACCAAGGATGAATTCATCAGACGAGTTTTGTGCAATGGAGTTCTTAATCACGGTGTATAGTCTCATCGGTTGATCTAAGGTCAACGCCAGCAGGAATGCGTTACCCCATTCACCTTGGTTCATGTAGTTTTGTAAGCTTTGCTCTTGTTCAACTTTCAATTTAGCTGCCTCTTCTTCTTCTTTATTGACCTCTTCCGTGTTATCAACCCAGAATTGGAACACACCATCAGCATCAGCAGTGACGAACTCATCACCGTTGTTTTTAGTGACAAGGGCCCAGATTCTGTTTGCATGTTGGTCAAACGTCTTGAGACATTCAGCACTACTTGAGTCCCAAATCTTGATCAAACCATCGGCACCTGTCGAGATTAGTTGCTTCTCCTGATTGAGATAGGCAACTCTTTGCACAGCATTGGTATGGCCTTCAAATGTTCTCATACATGTGAAGTCCTGTAAGTTCCACAGTTTGATTGTTTTATCACCAGAAGCAGTAGCCAAAGTTTTGTCGTATACTGAAAACGTGATGTCCCACAAACCTCTCTTATGGCCCTTCAGCACGCCGATGGTTTCACCAGTATCCAAATCCCAAACCTTTCCAGTCTTATCATACGATGCTGTAGCGAAAAACTCATCGTTTGGACTGATGTCCAATGCGTTGATATCCTTATCATGAGCACGTCTGGTATATTCTGAAGTTTTGATAACAATTGGGAGCTGGTCACCACTTTTAACCTTTGGTATATTCCACTTCTTAACAGTGAGATCAGCAGATGCAGTGAGAACAAATCTTGGTTGAGTACCGTTCTCATGAGTTCTTGGAAGAGCAATTGCAGATACGGAAACGGAATGACCTCTCAGTATGGCAAAGATTTCGAACTCCTCTTGCTCTTCGTTGAAACGCCAAAGACGTGCATCATTATCCTTACCAGCTGTGGCAATCCATCTGCCATCCTTTGTAGAATCCAGAGAGTTCAACATATCAGTATGTCCTTCGAGTATTTTCACCTCCAATGGAGTGTTGATAGGATCAAAGATTCTCAACCCTGGAGAGTTGGTTGCAAGGGCCAGGTATTGGCCATGAGGACCAACATAACGCATATCTGCGATGGTACCGTGGTTACCTGCAATGATACGTGATACTTCGATTTCTGTATCTTCCTCAATGAGTGTTGTGTTGATTTCGAAAAAGGTTTCATCAGATAAGACCAGGAGTAATCTATCATCGTCTGTTGAAAGAACACCAACAATGACAAGCTCTTCGATCGGCTGTTTCGTTTGGGCGTAAATCTTACCAGTGGAGAGTCTCCACACTTTGAATACTGCATCTCCACCAGCAGTGTATATGAGGTCATGATCGAGGAAGTCTACTGCAAGGATCTGCTGTTGAGTGGAGATGGTCTTCTTCAACTTCCAATACTTGGTATCCCAAACCATGAGGACGTCGTCCCTTCCTCCGGTGACGAGAAATTGATCCTCGGAGCCACCAAATGCGAAGGATCTAACAGCATTGGTGTGTTCTGTCAGTGTGGCGATGGCCTTCCGCTTTGCCAAATCCCAAACCTTCACCATACCAGTGGTATCACCGGAGACCAGTTTCCACTTATTCGAGTTGAGTTCGCCGTGGAACTTCAGACCTGAGATAACGGAGCCATGACCTTTCAGAGAGTGCGTAACGAAGCCATTATCAATGTCAAACACTATCACGGCACCATCTGAACCTCCAAATGCAAAAAGCGTACTCGTCGGATCAGCAGCACATACGTAAGAAGGCGAAGGAAGCTTGTGTGTCTTGGTGAACTTCGAGTCCGCCAGGTTGAATATACGCAGCTGTTGACTCTGTGAGACTATGGCAAGATACTTGCCATCCGGTGTCAGCTGTAGACACGTGACAACTTCTCCATCACCCTCCAGCTTGTGTAGTGTCTCACTTGTTTCAAGGTTGGTGATGACAACGTCTTCTCTAACTGGTGTTGCGAGGATTGAGCCATCTTCAGAGAGCGTCGCGGTCGCATCACTGAAATAGAACGGTGCAAGCTCAGTGTTGGTGTACGTAGTCTTCAAGCTCATCGTCTAAATACTATGGAAGAACAGCCAAAGAAGGAGAAGGAGAGAGAGAAATGTTGTTCATCTATGGGCTTTTCGAGAGCAGAGGGCCATGGAAAAATTTAAACATCGGTACGCGCCACAGCGATGAGATACCTAATTGGGAAATTGCCGTATTGGGTAATTAGGCGTCTTTTTAAAAACAACAGGCCCTTTATGGCATGGAATTGGTGATATTCATGTCAATTGGATGTGTATATACAGTGCTATGATAGCACAAGAGGCGTTGTGGCTTGTGGTTCTTGTTGTCGCCGATGGACTTGCTCACTGTGAGATTAAGGCGCAGTGCCTTGCCTTCTTTACGCTATTTACAGACGAGGCATCTCAGGGACTGAACATCAGAACTTCTCATCGCTATCCACAGTTGACGTTCTCACGTTGTTCTTGTTCAGTTCCCAACACTTTTTGAACTCTTCCATCTTGGCTCGATGCGTTAGTAGGTGCCGAGTGCTGTGGGTTCTAACGGCTCCGTATACATACCTCTTTAGTGCATTTCCTCCAGTCACCAGTGTCCGCGTGGCACAGCGTAAGCTTCAGGTTCTCAGCTATCATTACGACGTTAGTGGTCCCAGCATGGCATATTTGAAGCGTCAGTCAGCACTCACCAGCGCACCCGGTATTGTTGATTCTCTTGTCCCTGTAGGAACGTTAGCGCGTGTTCTTCAAGAACGAGGACCACAGGTACTCACCACTCATCGGGTTCATCGTCATCAACCTCCTCCTCCTCAACGGTGTCGGGCGTTTGCTCTCTTGTAGACTCGTTGACCATCGCTACCGGCTGCAAAGATACCTCTGTCTGTGTGTATATCGCCCTCGGATATGTCCTTCGTGTCTGCCTACGACGTTGGTGTGTATGGCATGGCACCGGTATACGAGTTCAAATCCCACACGCTACACCAAAAAGACCACATAACGGCCGCAACAGGAAATACACCAGAATAGGCAACATTCGCGACACCCGCACCGCACAGCGCAACAAATCCTCGAAGGACACCGCGTTCGTTCGCTCGTCCGTCCAAGGAGAGCAAAACAGACGAATTTCCACCTCAGCGTTTCTCCTTCGAAGCAGATCGGCAACAACCAAAAACAACACAAACTACACACACCGAAAGGGACAAAGTGCTACTTTAGCGTATCCATCGGTGAACATTCAGGCTTCTGTTATCACACTCGGCTATTCATTGAAACAGGTCTTGTGTAATTGTTGGTAATTGAACCGTATCTTCTTCTCCGTACTGATCAGTTTGTCTGGCGATTTTCTCCCCCTTCGTCTCTGTGTTTTCAATCTCGAGGAGATCGTGAACCGCTGTCATCAACAGACAACGGCGAGAGTAAACAAACCAAACAGCGCCACGAACAGGGCAACGAACACGGCGCTTCGATCCATTTCTGCCGCTACACACACCTTCACACGTTTGCCTTCGACTATCAGCACAAGGGCTTGATACAGGAAGACTCAAGATGGTGAAGTTGAACGAGATCAACACGACTGCGACCTTTGCCTGGTCCAACGCTGCCATCCCGGTGTTGGCGACTGGTTCGGCGGCTGGTGTCATTGACGATGATTTTTCGTCCACGTCGTCGTTGCAGTTCTACTCACTGTATGATAAGACGCCGATTTTGTCAGTGGATGCCGATGCCAAGTTCTACGACCTGGATTGGTCAAAGAACAACACGCTGTTGGCGGGTGCGCTTGAGAACGGCACCATCCAGTTCTGGAACACTGACAAGTTGAAATCGGGGTCTGCAAAGGCCGTGGGTAAAGGTATCAAGCACACGGGCTCGGTCAAGACTTTGCAATTCAACCCGCTCCAGCACAATGTGCTGGTATCCGGTGGTTCCAACGGCGAGATCTTCCTCTGGGATACAAACAAGTTGGAGCACCTGTCGCCATTTGGCCCTGGTAACCCGATGACTCCAATGGACACCATCACTTCGGTTGCATGGAATCATGCGGTAAGCCATATTTTTGGTGCTGCCGGCAGTGCAGGTTACACTTCCATTTGGGACTTGAAGTCTAAGAAGGAAGTGTTGCATTTGACGTATACTTCCCCAACAGGTACTAGGGCTTCTCTATCCACTGTTCAATGGCACCCATCTCAAAGTACGAAGCTGATTACTGCTTCAGAATCAGATGGAGCACCAGTGATTTTAACATGGGACTTGAGAAACTCGAACGCTCCTGAGACCATTCTTACAGGTCATTCAAAGGGTGTGCTTTCCTTAGATTGGAATGCCCAAGACCCAAGCTTCCTGTTATCGTGTGGTAAGGATAACACCACCATGCTTTGGAATCCACTGACCGGTGATAAGTTAGCTGAGTACCCAACAACTGCAAACTGGGCATTTAAGACAAGATTTGCACCAGCTGCACCAGATGTGTTTGCCACATCTAGTTTCGATAAGAAGGTTATTATCCAGACCCTTCAGGACACTTCACCACCGGTTAGTACAAGAATCTCCACAGTCAAGGATAGCGACTTCTGGAATGAAATCTCCACGACCGATACTCAACAGCCAAAGTACTTCGTAAAGCAGGCACCAGGTTGGTATGGATGTCACTCATCTGTTTCCTTTGGATTCGGTGCAAAGCTCGTTACCGTCTCGAAGACAGGAGATAAGACATCTGAAATTAAGATCTCTAAAGTTAAATTACCTGGGTCTACGAAGAACGAGAACCTTGAAAAGGCATTAGAAACTGGTGACTTCAAGCCAATCATTGAGTCTCGTTTAGCAAGCTCTTTTGACGATATCAACAAAGCTGACTGGGAGTTGCTTGAGAAATTAGCAGGAGGCGATATCTATGAGAAGTTCATCGCATTGGAGATTTCTGATGGAGATGAAGTCGAGAAGGATACTGCATCCTCTGGCGAAGATTTCTATGATAACGTAAAGGCCCCAAAGAAATTCGCTCCATCTGGAGAGTTGAAGTTCTCTGGAATAGACTCAGCCTTGACTAATGCATTACTCACCAAGAACTTTGAAAAGGCTGTTGATTTATTGTTGAAGGAGGGAAACCTTACGGAGGCATTGGTTATTGCTTTGAGTGGTCCGGAATCTTTGCAGAAAAAAGTATCAGATTACTACTTCTCTGAGAATGGAGACAAGAGTCCACTCTCGCGTTTGTTGTACAATGTATCGTCTGCGGATGTGACCGACCTTGTTGAGAATGGTGACCTCTCCAACTGGAGAGAGATTGGTACTGCAATCAAGACATACTCAGCGAATGATGCAGTGTACAAAACACAGTTTACCAGATTGGGTGACAGAATGTTGCAAAACAAGGACCGTAACGATGCGATTTTGAACTATGTTAATGCTTCTGCTTTGAACAAGGTTGCTGATGTTTGGAATTTGGAACTCAAGGAATTGGAAAAGAAGATATTAACCCAGAAGAACACATCTTCTTATGACGCTCACTTCGAGTCCCTTACCGAATTTATCGAAAAGTTCAGTGCATATAGAGCAACATTGAACTTGGATGCACCAGTGTCTGAAGGCTCATCGTCTCTCTCAACTCTTTTGGAGTATATCGATATCATTTCCACTAGTGGCCAGTTCGAATTGGCCTCAAAGATTCTCTCATTGGTGTCGTCAGATCTACCAGCTGTGAAGTTGGAGCAGGCTCGTATCCAAAAGGCTACTTCTACGCCAACAAAGACAGCTGCTAGACAAACCACCGCTACGAGAGCAGGCAACCGTTATGGATCTATTGCTCAGGGATACTCTCTTTCCCAGGCCACTGGTATGAATAACACCATTAGTGGTTCATCTGGTATCCCTCCAAATGTTGCTACTTCTTCTGTTGGTCAAACTTCTCAACAAAGGGGACGTTCTGTTGTTAATCCATACGCCACATCTGGTGCACCAGCTGCGCCAGTTGCAGCTGTCCCTCCACCTGCCCCAATTGCTTCAGCAACTCCTTCCTATGGCTTACAGCCTCCTGCACCAGGTCTAGCATCTGCTGGTCACTCTCCATACTCGACGGTAGTGAACCCGGCTCTACCAGTGAATGCAGGTGTACCATCATATGGTGCTCCAACTAATCCATACATGCCATCTGCAACTACACCTGTTCCAACACCTACACAAGCACCTCCACCGCCAAAGAACGCCAGAAAAGTCGAGACTGATGGCTGGAATGACTTGCCAGTCCATTTCCACAAACAACACCCAGTTCGCCGTCCTGCCCCAGTTCGCCGTCCTGCCCCAGTCGCTGCTGCTTCTGCTGCTGTGCCTTCCGGCTCAAGCTCTAATGGTACAAACTCACCAATGAGCCGTACGACATCTTACACCAATGCCCAGGCTCTTCCGCCACCACCAAGATCTATGTCGAGACCTAAACCACCTGCAGAGCCAACACCAGTTCACTCAAATCATTTACACACCAGTCGTTATGCGCCAGCTTCTCCAAAGCCAAACGTCCCTTCTTTGTCTAGTCCGCCTCATTCGGCCGCTGTTTTATCAGGTCCACCAAAGAATCCATACGCTCCTTCTGCTGCCCCTGTTGCTCCAGTGTCGAATCCATATGCACCAACCAATGGTGGTATAAACCCACCTAATCCATATGGTGCGCCTCAGGTTGGCGGTGTCTTCAACAATGCTGCTTCTGCAAGTCATCCTCCACACCACAACCAGTATGGTGCTCCTCCGACAACCAATGCGTATGCACCACCATCAACCTACGGAACTCCAGCTGTGGCAACTAGTCATAATGCCTACGGTGTGCCTCCAACTGCTGGTCCACCACCTAGGTCATTTGGTGCTCCTCCAAAGTCCGGCCCTTCAGCGGCCAAAGAACCAGTTGCTGAACCAGCACCAGAACCTGTCAAGGAGAGATATCCTGTCGGTGATCGTTCGCACATTCCTCCGGAGCAGAAGAGAATCTATGAAACCTTGGAACGTGTTCTGCAAGACGTCAACGCAGCTGGGCTTCCAGATAGATTCAGTAAGCAGGTTGCAGACACTGAGAAACGTTTGAACATCTTGTTTGATCATTTGAACAACCAGGAACTTCTCACTCCACCAACAATTGAACTTTTGGGTCAATTGTGTGATAGACTTAATGAAAAGGATGCTAAGAGTGCCGCTGATCTACACCTACAAATTGTGACCCACCACCCAGATGAAGGTGGTCATTGGGCCGTTGGTGTCAAGAAACTTATCTCTTTTTCAGATGCTGCTTGGAACTAAGAACGAGGCGACAGAGGAAGAGAAGAAAAAAAGTTTGTTTTCTTAGTTGTGAATTGAACCATCAGTTTTACATTTATCAATAAATTTGTTGTGTTTTCTAAATCGATGATGTTTACCTAAGTGCTGGAATCAATATATTATTATACAGTATGTCACTTATTATTACACCATTCTTATCGATATTTCCCCGAAAAGTTCCTGTTGCTTAACTTTGATTCTGTCATTAGTTGACAGGACTAAGAGTTCAAAGAACACCCTTGTTGCCTCATTCTTTGGCGTTGTAGATAGAGGTTCATGTGATAGAGCATCCTTCTCCAGAACGTCAGTAAATGTTGTTTCCTTCTCAGACTTCATCAGCTCAACAAGATGATTTTCAACCTTTGATGTGGATTCAGTAACACCGGAGTTGAAACCCGTGACATTTTGCTCTTCTTCTGGCTGCTGGTCCAAGTGGTCACCAAGGTCCTCTTCTAATGGTTGATTATCTGGTAACATATCATCCTGTTGAAAGTCAAAGTCTATATCTGCATCTTGAAAGAATTGTTGTTGGTCGTCAGCACTGTCATTTTCCTTATCGCTTTGTAGCTCTGGAGGTTCTAACATCAACGGTGACGAGGGTTGTGTCTTTTGACGCTTGTTTGTAGCTATCGTCAAGAAACGCTCAGCTATAGTATCGTTGAAGAACGTCTCATTTAATAAAGCCTCCACAGCTGATTTCTTCAACGAAAGATCCAGTGGTTGCTGTGTCTCGTCATCGATAACAATGCCTGTAGTGTCATTGAAGGAACGGATATTCAATTCGATCTCCTTATCAGTTACAATCTTCTTCCCAAGTGGTTGCTCTCTGGCCTTACGTTTTCTTCTTGGTTGAGACTGCGTAGTTGTTGTTTCATCACGTTCATTCTCCAAGTCGTCTATAGTTTCCAGAGGCTGGTCAAAATTACCGAGATCTCCCAGGGAAGAGTTTCCCAGAGTTGACAGATTGGCATCATCGGTAGCTCTTCCATGCTCGATACTTGTATCGTCATGACCTTGGTCTAAATCAAAATCCAGGCCACCTCCATAATCAAAATCAATCTCTGGAGGGTAATCTTCTCTCTGATGAACATCGTTATCCTCGCCCTGGTCCAGGTCAAAGTTCAAGTCGATGTCTAGTCCATCGTCATGCTCCAAGACATCGATATCATCATCGAATTTATTTCTAGGCATTTCAATACTCTCATCAAGCTCCAATGAGTTCTGATTCTGAGTATCAAAGAACGCAGAAGGTTTCATGCTGTTATTCATCGTAGGGTCATCGTCAAAGGTCAAGGGCTCTTGGTAAAGCAAATCTGCCTGTGTCACGGTATCCTGTAAAACAATTTGATTCATAGAAGGGATGATTGTAGCATTGATTGGGAGCGTCACAGCATTGGAGCTCGATCTGAACGCACTCTTCAGCTTCAAAAGCGCATCAGACACGTCATCCAGCAAGTACTTTGCCTTTCTCGAATAGATTCTCACAACACCATATAACAGCTGGCCAGACAGTCTCAACGTCAGTGCCTCAGTGGTATCCGCATTGGATTCCGTGGCCTTCACGATTGCTTCGGCTGACTGCGTGATATTGGACTGGAGAAACTGCTGCTTGTTCAGCTTACGCTCCAAATTAGCAGCTAACCAGACCTGTGCGAGAGGCCCTTCTCTGGTGAGCAGCGATTCTTGTAGCATTATACACCGTTACGGGATGAATTATAGCAAGTTGGTGTTCTCCTTGTTGTTGTTGCAGTATACAAAGGTGGAAAAACTGCGGCCTTGGGGATTAATAATATAAACAAAGGATGGAAAAGTGCAAAACACGGTGGGTTACGCGAAAACGCGACGCGTCGCGTCTTGACTTCCCAGAGAGGAAATACCACAGAATTATACCGTGCATAATTGTTCTAGGTACTCAACCACGGCGCTGGTGATGTTGGAGCTCCATGGCAGCAAGAACCCTTCAAAATGACAGGCTTTCGGGTTTATGAACAGTTGAGATGATTCCCTATTAGCTGTCTTGTAGAATTGGATGATATCATCGTGAAACAACTCGTACTCGCCGACCGTGATGAGAATGCTCTGTGGCAGCCACGGTATCGTCGAGGCATCAGCGTAGTTAAGCAGTAGTTGTGGATCAACAGAACCACCAAAGAGTTTCAGTGTGCATCTCTTGAGGAAGTTGAGGGAGAGCATGTCAACGTGCTTGTACTTCTCGTACGAGCCAACCTCGGTCGGGTACAGGTTCAGCCAGGGAGACATCAGTATGAGGCTCTTCACAGTGTTCTCGAGTTTGGTGTCGATGGGAGGAACACCATCAACTGGAACGACGCTGTGTCGTAGCATGGACAGTATCAAATGCCCACCGGCGGAGTCCCCCGCCAGTACGACGTTCCTACATGAGTTTGCCAGCTCGTTTTGGACCATCGTGATCTCACACAACTGTCGTGGGAACTTTGCATCCTGTGACAGCGTGTAGTCGAGTACTAATATAGAGAGCCTTGGGTTGTTTAGTCTCCTCACCACAACCATCCAAAAGGTGAAGAAGCCAAAGAAGAGGCCCATCATGTATGCTCCTCCGTGGCAGAACAGTATCACTGGGTCATCAGGCTGTCTGTTTGGGCATTCCGTAAGCCATATGACTCGCGAGGGGTCTAGCCCTTCAACATGGAACTCAGTATTGTAATTCGGCAGCGTACTGCCAAACGGCGACAATGACCATAGACAGCTATCAATTGACTGCTTGAAAGCTATTCTGTACAGCCACTGTTCAGGGGTGTACTCTAGTAGAGTACGTACACATAAACGACACAGAGAGTTGATTGAAGCCATCATGCTGTTGAGAAGAATGTGGAAGATGGATGAAATTGAATGTCATCATCGGACGGAAATACTTCACGGCCTTTACACTAGCAGCTGATCAAGATCTACAACTGGTATGAGGAGCGCTGTTTTTCTACGGAGCATCATAAGAACAGAAGAAAGCACATAGTGATACCTATCTAACTACTTGCATTACACGGTCAAACATGGTTGAAAGTTGCACGTCCATACTGTCGAAGAGACCTGCGAATGAGTTAACATCAAGCTGTCTCGCACCGTTGATCTCATCCGAGCCGAGGTCCAAATCTGTCTTGGTCTTCTTCTTCAACGAGCTCTCTCCCTGTGCCCTCTGTAACAGTATGGCCATCTCCCTGGCATGGTCGATTTCTTCGACACGATCCTCCTCCAGTCTTGTCGAAGTGACAAGCCCTATGCGTGAGTTGATGTCGATGAAGATGAAGTCTGTATCAAAGTTCCATTGAATTCCACAGATGTATCCATCGTGGAGTGTATTGAACACAGGGGTCTTGGAATGAGGCGTGAATACAAAAATCTTGGACTGTAACTTCTCCAAGTCTCTGTTGTAGAAGTTAACGGCAATACAGATCAGGGACTTGTCTGTATTGGTACACATCAGGTTATTGCCATTCTTTGGAGACGACACCCTGAGTACCAGGTCGTTCTCTTGCATGGTCAATAGATCAACACTCTTGAGGGAAGTCTTTGATAGTATGCACAACTGATTATCAACAATTTCCAACGATTTGATCTGTGACCCTGCTATTCTGGCCAATGTGTCGTTTGGAATCTCTTCAAAGGTATCGGTATCAATGATTTCAACAGTCTCACCAAATCCTAAAAAGATCAAACTGGAATCCTCAGACCACGCTAGACTGACATCGCTTGAGAAGATCCCCGTAGATGGCTTCAGCTTTCTCAAGGACCAACGGACAATGTCATCGAGGTTGTTAGTGGTTGGTCTCCATACTCTAACACCACCGTTGTTATCAGCAGTGAGGAAGCCAACACCCTTGAAATAGCTCAATGGTGCAGCAATCAAGGCATGTACAGGGATATTGACACCATGAGGATTGACGATCTTGGTGACAACTTCCCACGACGCCTGTCCAGAGCCATTCTTCACTTGAGTTTCAACAGATCTCCAGATCTTCAAGACATAAGTAAAGTCGTTCTTCGACAACAAATTGTCCAAATCACCATGTTGGTGCTCCTCCATGGTGGCCATCCACTTACCATCACGAGTGAACTGGAAATGCTTCACCACGGGGTCGTGCAACTTCTGTTCTGATCTAACCTTACCAGCTTGGATAGTATCCGTAACTTTCTGTACAAATGCCTGTTCATTCTTAAAGAAGTCGAAAACCTGGAGATAGGCACCGTTGACAAAGTACAACTGCTTGGACGTAGGGTGGATCTTGAAGTTAGTCGAGAAGTCGTATTTCAGCTTCATGATATCTAAGGATGGGTTCTTTGCATATAACTTGTCCAATTTCTTCACGTTTGCAAGGTTGGAGCTGTAGCTCTGTCTTGGTCCACCCACCACTAGCCTGGATTGAAGATCCACTGCTGAGAGTACCAATATCTCGTGGTTTTCTGAGTCTAATTGCAGTGTTGTATTGATGTATTCTTCATTTGGGGATTCAATTCCAACTATAGCACCGTTCAATCTTGGTAAGAACTGTTGCTTCTCAGTGTCCAATTGCCAAAACACGAGGACCCTTTCCAAACCACCGCTCATCAAGTATTTCGAGTTTTGCGAGAAGCACAGAGATTTGACCTCGTCGATGTGCCATTTCAACAGCCTAGTGAAGGAGTCGAGGATGATATGAATCACACCAATTCTTGTGCCTACTGCCACAGAGCAATCATTTGCGATTGCCAATGCAGTTATCAAGTTCTTGTTTGCGAATGGAATCGACTGTTTCTTATCAAGAGAGTCCATATTGACGATGTGCACACTCTTATCCTCATGGGACTTGGATAAGAATGCAAGTTTTCTAGAATCTTGAGATACAGCGAATAGCAACACGTTCTTGATGGAGGTCAAAGTCTCATATTGGTTCTTCGATGGCGTGAATCTCACAACGTTTCTTGTGTGTGGCTTTGGCGAGTTCTTTCCAGTGATGAGAGTAAAGTTATCCTCTTCGAAGCTGCTCACTCTCAGTACAAAGTCGTCTTTGTTCAATTCAACAGTGAATCTGTTGATCACCACTTCAGGTACTTTCTCCTTCCAGTTGATCACCAGCACCTCTCCGGAGACTAAGAAGGCCCACACCAGGTTCTCATTCGACAGATCCTGCTTCAGATCAACTAGTCCCGTAAGATCGATCTGGTTCTCGACGTTGAACTTCAACGAACGGATACACTGTCTTGTCGTTATGAAGTACACTCTCAGCTGGTTGTTGAAGGGAACGATGAAATGACGTCCATCTTGCGCCAATATCCCACCGTGTAGCAAAGGCTTACCACCACCCACAACTGAAACCCTGTAGTCTTCCATCTTAGCAACAATGGATCTTCTGGAAAGCGCTAATTGACTGTAGAAGGTTGTATAAACCGTGAAAAGACGTTGTGCCCTCATCGCATCTGCTTGAAAAATTTTTGAATGCGTATGAAGGAAAAAAAAAAAAAAAAACTGATTACATAAGCAATTCGACCGATGGACTGCGATTACATAAGGTATTACGTAATTCACATATTACATAAGTTCTTACATAATACACATTCTTACATAAGCACCATCTTGCTTACATAAGCCTTCTGGTGATGTAAGGAAAAAATTTCACGAGATCGAAAACAAGACAGGACAAGTTGGCCCTTCCTGGGAAGGAGCATCACATAGTAGATCAAGCTTATAGGACAATGATTATTCCAGTTCGTTGTTTCTCTTGTGGTAAAGTAAGGTTCCGTGTTTTCTTTTGCTCCTTTGAGCGAGAAGGGTAATGCTCGAGCTGTGTACTAACTGTATGGTTTCTAAGGTTGTTGGTGATAAGTGGGAGCAATACCTCGATCTGTTGAACGAGGATGCTACTGAAGCTGAGGCCCTTGACAAGCTCAAGTTGAAGAGATACTGCTGTAGAAGAATGCTTCTTACGCATGTTGACTTGATTGAGAAGTTCCTGCGTTATAACCCACTTGAAAAGAAGGATCCTACTTTGGACTAATGTCTTGTAAGAGGATAAAGGCAGAAGCACGCAACTGAGGGAGTAGACCGATTAGGGTGAGGATGGAAGAGGTGTCGTTCAGAACAGATCAGGGTGCTCTGTTCTCTGTACTATAGGAGTCGAACTGTCCTGTATCGCCCATACACAGGGAGGCCTCAAAGTGGAGGTTATAGCAAAAGTCTCCAAAGAGTTCATATCTAGACAGTTCACCATACAAAACGGAAACAATTGGCAGTGTATATATTGGTTATACGTACATTTTGTCGCTATAGAGTAAAGGATTGAAACAGCGTAGAGGTTTGCCATTATAATGGATGTGTATATATGAAACCTAAGGTGGGCAGGCCACATCCGCACATCCACACATCCGCACACCCACACATCCGAACACCCAAACATCCCAACACCCACACAAGTTGCGCCACTTCCTAAGAGCGCAACCAAAACCACAACAAACCATCACAACAAACCATCAAAGCACCTTCCAAGATCATCCGACAAGCTAAAGATGTCACGTGTGGGCTCTCTGCGTAGACACGCTGGACCACTACGGTGCCAGGTGGGGATGAACGTGAAGATGTCGCTGACAAGGGCGTACACAAGACATCACCGGTTCCTCTCAAATACGTCGTTGCTCATGTCATCGAATGCCAAACAAATGGTTATGCCTATGGGGTTGAAGAGCAGAAGCTTTTCCTTTTCTGCGATTCCAAAGATCGTTGCAAAGTCTGTGAAGGTGCCTGCTTACCTGGGTGGTGGGATAGCAGCAGCTGGTAGCTATATCGCGTATAAAGTCGAGGAGGCCTCCAATTATACACAGGACAAGTTGGGCCAGTTGAAAGACCTGGGCAACAGTGCGTATGACAAGGCATCTGAGTTCCTCAACGGGCTCGAGTTTGGTTCCCAAGGTGATGGAAGCGGTAGCGGTAGCAGTGGTAATGGTGGTGGTGGTGGTGATTCAACCGCGGCTCTGGGAACAGCTGCTGCAATTGCTGCCAAACTTGATGAGGAAGAGGAAGAGCGTGAGAAGCTGATCGAACAAGAAGATGATGAGGAGGAAGAAGAGGATACAACCGATGATCAGATGATGAATCTGACGAGACAGATGATTGAAATTAGATCCCTGCTTCAAGAGATTGATAGATCATCCGAGACCCTGAAGTTGCCTTCCATTGTTGTTGTTGGCTCACAATCTTCTGGTAAATCATCCGTTCTTGAGGCAATAGTTGGTCAAGAGTTCTTACCAAAGGGCTCAAATATGGTGACAAGAAGACCTATCGAACTCACATTGGTTAATACACCGAACACTGCTGCAGAAACTGCAGATTTCCCAGCTCTGAAGATGTACAACTTGACAGATTTCTCAGAAGTTCAAAAGATCTTGTTCGATTTGAACATGGCTGTTCCTGCTTCAGATGCAATCTCCAATGATCCAATCCAACTAACAATCAGATCACCTTCGATCCCTGACCTGTCACTGGTGGATTTGCCAGGATATATCCAAGTCGAGGCTGCGGATCAACCTCCTGTTCTTAAACAGAAGATCAAAGAATTATGCGATAGATACTTGGAGAGTCCTAATGTCATATTGGCCATATCATCAGCAGATGTTGATTTGGCAAATAGTGCTGCACTGAGAGCCTCCAAAATTGCTGATCCAAAGGGTGAAAGAACAATTGGTGTTATCACCAAATTGGACTTGGTTGAACCTAAGGTTGCGAGAGACATATTACTCAATAAGAAATATCCTTTGAAAATGGGATACGTTGGTGTTATTACAAGAGCACCAAAGAAATCTTTATTCCGCTCTGCCTCCAGTCACGATGCATTTGTTGCTCAACAGAACTTCGAGTATACCTTCTTGAAAGAACACAAGCCTGAGTTTGCCGAATGCAGCACCTCCACGAGAACACTCAAGAAGAAATTGATCAAGGTGTTGGAACGCACTATGTCAATGTCTCTTGCACCAACAGCACAACTGGTACAACAAGAGCTGGATGAAACGGCCTATAAGTTCAAAGTGGAATTCAATGATAGACAGCTTACTCCAAAGACATATTTGGCTGAGAACGTTGATGCTCTGAAGCTGTCTGTGAAGAATTTTAACGAACACTTTGGTAGATCAGAATTGAAATCCATTCTACGAAGTGAATTGGATCAAAAAGTTCTCGACTTACTAGCCACGAGATACTGGAACAAATCTTCTGACACGCCATCAGATACAAGAATACTCATTGACAACCTATCACAATTGAGTGATATGAAAACAGAAGATCCTTATTGGGCAAAGAAACTTGATCTCGCCACCTCTTCCTTAACAAAACTCGGAGTAGGAAGACTGACTACATCAGTTATTGCAGACGCCATTGTCTCTGAGGTTGGGAACATCACCGATCAAACGCAATTGAGAAACCATCCTTTAGCCAAAGAGGCCGTTAAGGAAGCTGCTGAGAGCGTCTTGAATGCACGCTACTTGTCAACAGCCGATCAGGTGGAGAACTGTATCAAGCCTTACAAGTACGAAGTTGATGTTGATAGTCGTGAGTGGAGCACAGCCAGAGAACAAACTATTTATCTGGTTAAACAGGAGCTACAACAATGTCAAGACTCTTTCCAGGCTTTAAAGAATGCCATTGGTGGTCGTAAGTTATCTCAAGTTATGACGTATCTTGAAGAAGGTGGTACAGCCGAAGAAACTGTTGGGTTCTCACAAGTGCTCTTAAAAAGAGGCCGTGAGGCATTGTTTCTTCGTGATCGTTCAACAATCCTTGGAATGAGATTGAAGGCCTTGAAATCTGGACCTTGTAAGAGCAAAGATAACAAGTTCAAGTGCCCAGAAATATTCTTGAACGTTGTTAGTGATAAACTTACAACGACAGCAGTGCTGTTCTTGAATGTTGAACTTCTTACAGACTTTTTCTACAAATTCCCTCGTGAGCTAGACTCCCGTCTCAACCAGAACCTCTCAGAAGAACAAATTGAACAATTTGCTAAGGAAGATCCAAGAATCAAGCGTCATATCGAGCTTCAAGAACGCAAGGAGCTATTGGAGTTGGTTTTACAAAAAATTGATGGTATATTGGCTTTCCAGAGAAGCAAGAGTTCCTTGACTTCACGGAGATGAGGAGGGCGTCAGTAAATTTGATTATACCTGTATATGGCTTAAATGAATGGATGATATGTATATAAATAGTTTTACAAATGTTACTGTAATCATAAACATCGTATCTTTAAATCACATAAATAGTGAGCGTGTTTGTAAACGCTTTAGGCTGTCAGACGTTTTATCAAATCATGGATCTCATGCTCAACCATGATGTAGAAGTTATTGTTGAAACGATCGTCATCGCTCAAACGTTCCTCACGAAGGAATTTCGTTATCTGTGTCTTAATACGTTGGATCTCATGCTCTTTATACGTATCGTCAGTAATGAGATCACCACCAGAAGACCCGTTTTCATTTGAGCCACCAAGTGTTGACAGTTGGTTAGAACTTTGGAAGAAGTTAACTTCCTCAGTTAAACCACTCACAAACATATCACTAACAGAAACCGAGCTGAACGAGTTACTAGCCTCGTCGAAGCAAGAGCCATTAGAACGTCCACTAATGGCAGTGGGGTTCAAAAGTGATTGGTTTTTCTGACTGCTTGTGTTTCTCTTCAACAAGTTTGAGCTACTGTTGAGGGGCTTTGGAATAATCTGCTCGGTGTAAACAGGGCTGAATTCCACCAATGTGGAATTACCACTATCATTTCTCAAATATTTCAATCTCAAGATTTGGAACAAATAACGTATCAGTGTGAAACAGTTCTTGATAATAGATCTTTTTTTGTTGTCAAACTTAATGAATATCAAGTCGATGGTTTTATCCAGAAGATGGTATCTGATATCATTGCGTAATTCATACTTCTTGTTATTTTGGTTTTTCTCAAGATCAGATATCAAGTTCGTCAACAGAAGCACAATGGCGTCAAACGGTAGATTGTTACGAATTTCCCAGTTGAATCCGTTGTATATGTCATCGTTGTTGTTTTTCAAGAACTCATACAACAAATGTAATGAAGTTGGTATCAAGTTGTTTGTCAAGTCGTCATAAGTGTAATGAGTCAAGTCATTATCAGTGTTCAAATGAGGTGGATTCAATGACTTCATCAAAGCCTCGATGCTAAACTTAGATCTCTGGCTGTTCAAAAGCTGGTTGAAGCTTCCTTGTATCAGCATGTTATTCCCTTCCTCGTTTGAATTCAGCACAGTTGACAAAACGATTTTCTTCTGCAACAACAAAAGTGCACGGTCACAGTAAGAGCTTAGCACAGATTTTGACCACTTGATGAATGTATTTTGTTCGTATGACATGTTTTGCACAGATTCCACATTCTCCAAGTTCATTATCGAAGCATTGCAACTGATGTACAAGTCCAAGATCTTCTGCTTCAACATTTGAATGGTGTTAAACGGCACTATGTTCAATCCGTACATGCACCTTGTCAGCTCGTTCAGGATCAGAGTGAATCTGAATTTACCATTGAGGAAACACGTATGTGGGTTCAAAGAGTTATTAACATATTCCACTGGTAGCGAAGTATCGAATTCGTCGAGCCTTATTAACGGAGTGGATGTATTCTTCAACGCTGTCATAGCATCAAGGTAAAAGATTTCCCACCACAACAATCTCCTGGTCTGTACCAAATTTGGATCCAAAATCTTGTGAAAAGTTGCAGGATCTCTGTTGAGTTTGACAGTCTGTGCAATACGTACTAAGATACCAATATCGATCAACGATGGGTTTTCCAAAGTACTATGCAGCAGAACAGAACTTTGCAAAACACGGAGTGAGAATTTTTGAGGGTATCCAATCGTTTGAAACACAACACGGGCAATTCTCAGGTATTTGTGAATTTCATTACTCAGTTCAAATTTTGTGATTTCATCATAGCTGAATTCAAAGCACTCACCTTTAGAAGCTGCATAAACAACTGGGAATAAAATCACCAAGAACTCCAACTTGTGTTCCAGAGTATTATCCCAAAAGGCATCATGTTCTCTAACAAATTCATTTATATCCAATATGGGTAGAATTGGATGAATATTTGTAATGTATCTGTTAACCAGTCCATACGATCTCTCTCTAGAAGGCAAGGCGCTATAGATTTCCTCCAATTTCCAAGTTGGAACAATCTCTGGTTGTTTAGGCATCAAGATCATCGGCAAGCTGTGGTTTGTCAAGTTCAACGCTATCTGCTGTATAGGTTCGTTCTGTGGTAATCTTCCAGTCATCGAGGGCTGTGGTGTCTGTCTCAGTGAGAAATCACTCAATATGGAGTTGCTCAACGGTTGGCCACCCTGTTGCTGTGGCTCGAAGCTTGGAGTTTGCGACCTTGACACGTTTACAGGCGGTAGAAATCCTACATGGTCTTGTTGTTGTTTCTGCTGTGTCGGTTCCTGCTGTGTCGACTGCTCCTGCTGCGTCTGTTGTTGAAGATTGTGAGTATGTGGAAGTGGTGGTGGAGCATGCAAATGTTGACGAGCATTCTGCTGAGTATGATTACTGTGTTTCTCAGTGGGCAGCACCTGTGGATTGTGCATGTTTGGAGGGGAAAGAGATTCGATACTGACAGAGCTCTCAGAGTCAGAAAACGTTAGAGAGGTTCTATCCCTCGGTGACTGATGGCTGAAGTTGACGCCCACGGGCCGTGGCGGCAGTGGTTGTGGATGTGGCGGTTGGTCATTTCCAATGTGTACATGTGGCGGTTCGTGACTCTCGTGTTGTTGTAGCGGTTGCTGGAGCTGATGTTGTTGTTGATGGATAACCTCAGCGGGTATTTCCGCACCCATTGTTGACGATATTGGGGTGGATGACGACGACACAAGGTTCTTTGCGCGTGCCATGTACTGTTTCAGCTCTTGCTTCTTTCTCAGCTCCGCCTCTTTATCAACATCCTTCTTCTTCTTACCTCGTGACACCCGGTCATTCACAAAGTATTTACACTCCAGGTTATTCTTCGTGCAGTTCTGACACACAGGGTGCTCCCTAGAGCACTTCACCTTGCGCTGATGGCACGGAACACAGCTGTGGATCTTCCTCTGGCGCACTTTCTGGATCTTGTACACCTTTCCATCGCCCATCACAAGAGCGTTCTGGTCCTTGATGAACTCCTCAGACATCGCTTCAGCTCCCTAGAGTACGTATACCACAGCTGTACTTATGCACAAGAGAGATCAAGCAAAAAAAAAAAAAAAAAAAAAAGAAAGTAGGGTAAACGACAGGGAAAAACACAGAATCACTTGCAAGTGTGAGAATCCTGAGCAGTGAGTAATGGAGAAGAACCAGCTGTATATTCAAGCCAGTACAAAGCAAATATCTCGTCTGTAGTCCTGTTCACCGTCCCGAACGATGGTGTTCCTGGAGTGACAAGTTTGAAAATTCAAAAAGTTGGCGGTATTGGCCCCTCCAACAAAGGGTCAGAAAGAAGAAAAAGAAGCTTTCAAAGAAATGCGGGATTAGGAGGGGGAAGGTTGAAGAGGGAAAAATTAATAGCGGGAAAAAGCCTAATGAACGGCCAATCAGAGCGGCTGTTGAGGCGGCTTTCGCAATCTGTTTTCGTCTGTATGGGCGTTCGCCTGCTTCGCTCGACTCTGCCGCCGCTGTGAGTTATGTGTGTGACTTGTACTGTGCTGTTGAAATTTCCGTGCCCCTCTTTTTCCTGTGTGTGTTTTTCCCCCCGTTTCAATCTGTGCGTGTGTTTTTTGCAAAATTTTGTTCTGATTGTCGGGATGATGCGCTGCGTTTTGCGAAAGCGTGTCGGGACCAAGTCGTGGGAAAAGCGGGGTCGCTGGTGGTTTGTTCCAGGGGACTCGCCGGGAAGCGCAGCAAACCGAGAGCTCTCTCTGCTCGGGACATAGCTGCCTACGGGTGTTTTGGGAGATGTTATATAGGCAGAGGGTGCCAACATGAGGATGCGCTGTTGTAGCTGGTTGCAGCCAGGTGTCTGTGTTCACAACGTGGGAGTGCTGGTGGGAGCTCTGTTGTGGAGACACTACCGCGGCTGCGCTGGGGGACCTCCTGTGAGGGTGTGAGTCCCGTGGTACCAATGCCGAGTGGTGGGATGCGGCAGGGTGTCTGTGGAAGCCCAGCTCTCTTATCTCGCGTATGAGCGCCATTGGTGATTATAGGCATAGGCACCGTAAGCATCATAATCAGGGAGATTGGAGGGTTGTCTTTCCACACACCGAGTTATGCACCACGAAGATAAGGCCTAGTGATCTGTGTGCCTGGGCAACTGTATCGTGGACATTGTATGAGTGTGTGTGTGTGTGAATGCCGGTGTAGTAGGGACGTGGACCTCATTGTCGTCTTGATTTGCTTTCCATATTAATATCCTTCTAGAAGCTTTTAAATGCTCCATATGTGTGCCTCGTTCTTAATCTGTGGGAAGTATCGAGAAACAAGTGCCTTAGACCATCTTTCATGATGATGATGTCGTGTAACACCGCATAACAGCGCTTCCCGTAATAGGACATAATTTGATTCTGCCTATGGACAGGCCAGATGTAATCTCCCATATTAATGATGGTATCCTCCACTAGCTTTGCAGCAGTCTCGTGATTTTACACCTTTGAGCCGACAAGATATAGCATTATATCACGACATGTGCTTTCTCCACAATTCTCTGTTGCTTGTTGCAATGTTGCTTCCTATAACCACCCTACTGGATTGTTGGAGACTTCGGCTCACTCAATCACGTATGTTTTCTACTGACACCACATTACTGTGAGCTTCAAATAATTTTGCACCTGAATCTATTGCTATATATGTACATATTCCTGAAACACCTTCTGTCGTGGGATTGAATTCAGGTAATCACACACAGCCAACCCAGTGTGGCATACACCAAGCCAACAGGATATATCGCAAGGAATACCCTTCCTGGGAGAACACCATGGACTTTCAGGTTAACTGTGGCAGCGTATACACTCCAAGCAACAAGTATAACGTACAGGATAAATCTGATAAAACTCCACTTGATGAAGATCGAAGTGATGGCCAGGAGAAGCAGTGGGAACATCGCATAACCAGTGGTCGAAAGAGCGTTAAAGAACGAAATTGTACCCCCAAGAAGCTGAATATTGACTGCAATCACGGCTAAAGTTGACCAAACAATTGCAAAAACTCCTGAAAACACCTCTGAGGAGTTGGCCTCAGGAGACATCAGCCCAAGTATAACAGCGAATACCAAAGTGAAAAGTAATGGACCCCATAGATCCCATGCCAGCTTCTTCAAATCTGAATCGTCCAATGGAGTGTTGGCAATGTCCTGCTCTAAATCTTGACCCAGTTGATCAAAGTTGATACCAACGTTTATACCGGAATTACGGGCAGCTATGAGTAAATTGTGCTGCTGAATCTTTGCCAATTTAGAGAGAGAAGCAGGCCACATGACACTGAGGAGTCTTTGTCCAATGGCCTTGAAGTCCCTCTCCAACGTTTTCCAAACAGGTTCGTCCAATGTGTCACCTCCGGTAAATGCGTGCTCTCTAACCTGTTCATTCTTTAACAAGGGATTGAACGATTGAGAAAGGTCAATATTTGGACTGACAAAATTACTAAAGTTGAAGAAAGAGGAGCTTCCACCTTGCCCCTGGGACTGTTGCTGAGCCTGTGTGGATGATGCCTTCTGTTGTGGCTGTACAGGAGTCTCAACATCCGGTTCTATCGTATCTGGCTCAAGCTCAAAATCATCAGCTTCATCCGGATTCACAGCGACTGGTTTCCACTTCTTGGACATTTTATACGACCACCACTGTGTTAGTGACTGTTTCAATGATACAAAACGACACCTGGAACCAAAAAAAAAAGTTCTGAAGTAAAAGTTGGGCTTTTGTTGTCAGAAGGAAGGCAACGTTTTTTCCTCACAGTGGGTGTTTCCCACTAAGAGATTGTTCACACGATGTTAATCATCATTTAATAACAAAAGCACCGGGGGTTCGAACCCACGCACTTTCCCAGAAATAGCCACCTGGCCACAAAGAGGAAAATCTCTCTAAAAATGGGCCTTGATCCGTGAAATGCTTGAACAGTAGCACGGCGCTCGTAACCATTGGCATTTTCAGCTAGTGCTAGTCTGTGATAGTGGATTTACGCTCTATGTATATAATCTCTTGCTTGCAGCATCATGCCCATTGTACTGAAATATAGATTGGTTATATGAACCAATTGTTATGAATGAGCTCAGGCAAAGGCAAAATGTAAGAGAAGGTTATGGAGGTCACCCTAATCCGCTGTTGCTTTCTATATTGTGTGACATTGTTAAGCATGCGTTTCAATTGGTTGAAGCGAAAATAGCTTATTCTTGCTATAAGACCAGGATGCCTGATAGCCAAAGCCTGTTACATGTCATGGTTGTAACCCATGGTAAATGTTTCTCTCGAGTTTCGGACGCTACAGATAATATGATTGAGGTATTGCTATAAGGACGAACACTCTATTCATGTCTTTCACTTCAATTCCCCCTTCAGCTTGACGCAAAGGTCGTTTGATGGTTTGACATACTCCACCACATCATCGATCCAAGATTGCACACACGCATAGTATAATTTGTATATTAGGGTAGAATATATTCGTTTCGTAAGTCATGAATTCAACAAGTTTTGATTTTACCTCTCCAAAGGTGTGTTTAAGGGCTTTCATCATTCTGCTCATCAGCACTCTGTCCATCCGCATTCATCTGGTTGTGCGTCTTGATATGTTGAGCAAGATTGTCAGATCTGGAGAACTTTTTACCACAGAGCGTGCAATCAAATGGCTTTTCATTCGTGTGTAAGCTCCTCACGTGTCTCTTTAGATGTTCCTGACGCTTGAACCGTCTCATACAGTACGAACATACAAATTGTTTGGCAGGATCGTACTCTAGAGTTGGCTTACGCCCACGACGTGGTGGCTCATTTTGCAATTGGATGGGTATACTGAGGTTTGTTTCACTCTCTCTAAAGGATTTGGCATCGGTAGCAGTATCCTCAGGCAGAGTAGGGAGTTGTCCAACTCCCTTAGTATCTTGGGGACCTTGTCCTTTGGAGAATGGACCACGGAAGATATGGGAACGTTTCTTCGAAGTTTTGACATCAGAAAATAGAGCTGCGTAATCTGGAGAGTGCTTCTTCTGATCACCTTCTTCGTTGGTATCTTGTTTGAGCTCTCTGTTGGAATCTTCATCCATGTCCACATCATCAACCTCCATAGGTAGAGAGGAATCGCTGGAAATCCGTCCAACAGCAGGAGAGGTTTCACTTTGCGACACAGTATTGGTTTTGTTATTATTGAAATTATAGGTGGATGAGTTCATACTGGCTAATGATATCACCCGACTCAACTCCTCGTCAAACTCAAAGCTGATCTTCTCCTCCTCTGTCGTCTCTGGGATCGGTTGTGTAGAACTCTTTGAGTTAAATGTTAGTCTTGCGGATGCAATGGCATTAACAAGGGACTGTGTCCGACTCTTCTTCCCATTGCATGTACAACCTTTTGCATGGAGATTGTTCTCTTGGTCACAGAACGCTCTATTCTTCTGCTTCTTAGGCTGTTGTTGCTGTTCCTCATCCTTCACTTTAGTTAAGTCCTCCTCGCTGTTCTCCAACGTGGGTAACGTCGAAACCATTAGTTCCGCGTCCTTATGTGTTGATAGTGGGTTTATGCCTCTCAAGTTGAACCTGTTTGGATTATTCGATTTGAATATTGACGACAACGAATTTGATATTGACGTTCTGAACCGTGAAGGAGTCGAGTTCAAAGGACTCGAATTCTCATCCTCGAACTGGGACATCGAATCAAATACTTCGCTAGAAGTTCTGTACTCATAAGAAGTTCTCGCAGACGGAAGAGTAGTGGAGTCGTTGAATATAGCACTCATGCTATCAGTGGTGAAATTCCAGTTCAGCTCATCCAGGAACTTATCATTGTAGAAATCATGGAGTGCACTCTGTGAGGGGCTATCATGAGGACCAACCGCATCAGCAGCGGTATCCCTGTACACGGCTGCACCGCTATCCGGCTGTTCAGAGGTATATTGAAACGTCGGTATACTTCCCAGCTGTTGCTGTTGTTGATCCTGTGCTGCTGTTGAATACGGTGTCACCTGTGGTGGCTGCTGTAGCTGTGCCTGTGTCAGTTCTGCGAGAGACTGCTGTTGCTGCTGCGACAACCCATTGTCCACGCCATCCATTATACCCATACTGTCCAACAGCGAGCTGGAATCCACAACGCCTAAATTCTGATCTTGCACAAGCTCTCCACCGCTATTAGAGAGCCCCAGTAGCTTATCGTAGTAGAACTGAGCATCAAGTACCGCGTTGAGATCTGGCATCTCCGCCGTTTGCTCTCCCCGTGTCTCCTTTCTCAAGTCACCGCCCTCCATCGACTGAAGTATGAGATTGTTGTTATCCACCGGGCCTCCATGCGACATCTTATTCACACTCACTTGCTCTTGGACAAATCACTCAGCCAGAGAGTATACAAAACACCCAGAGAATATGACGATAAGGTGTACACCTAAGCTGCCTTCTGTCTCAAGGCTTTGCACAATATATACACCGTTGTATATAGATATTCCGCCAATGGTTTACCCAGAGCGTTGAATAGCCAAAGGGAAAGCTGCCACTGTTTTTGTGCTTTTTCCGGGCGTTGCGTAGCCTGTTTTTTCTTCCCGTCAAGGATTTCGTCACGGAATTTGCTCAAACCAGGCTGAACCAGCTGTGTGCGTGCCCCTCCGCCCCTCTTTAGCGAGCCTACCGTGCCCACCAAGTCGCTGCTAAAAGCAGCCCGGTAAGGAAAAAAAAACACGGTCTGCGGAACCAACGGGCCCTCTGGCTCGTCAGAGCTTCTCTTGACGCAATTTATGCCCTTGGTGCTATACTGCTTGACGGCAGAACCACGGTTATTTCTGAGCTGGAGGTTTATCTTTGCCTTAATGGATCTTTACAGTTGAGATGAGTGCCATGTCGTAATTTGTGTGCTTGTACTGGCAAAGTACTCAATTGTGAAGTGATGGTATACGCCGGTTTACAGTGGGCAGTGCTTTGCTCGGAGATGGGAAGCCGTGCCTTCCTGGCGGGTTGGCTGTTACGTGCAATCTGAGCTAACCGCATGGGAAAAAGGTGTCAAACTTGCACCTGTTGCAAGGCCTTCTCAGAGAGAGAGAGCGTGAGAAGCACAGTGTGCTATGCAGAGCTGACTAATGTAACGGTGATATTGATCATGGTATGTTTGCTACTCCGATTCCAGCAGTGCCGCAGGCGTATCAGAAGGTGCTGCTACGCTTTTAGTCTCAACATGGGCAAAAAGTACATAGTATCCATTATACAACAAAAGACAAACTAACAAGAGTAGAACTAAATCGGGAAATTGAGCAAGCTATCTGGGCATTGCACCGTCTCAGGCATCAACTTGCTCCTCGACAATCTCAACTCTGTAAGAATACAAACTAGAGTCATCGTCATCTGCGTCCCCGTTCGAAGGGACGAGGATTGCAGGGGCTGTGGACTTCTCCTGAGCAGGAGAAGAGGCAGCGGAAGCACCTGGCGAGGAACTAAAGAATTGCTTCAAGAAGGCCTTCTTTTCAGTGGCTTCAGCAGAAGAAGCAGGCACTGGCTTTCTCTGAGCAGAAGTAGATAGAGAACTTGGGTGAGAGTGATGCTTCTTATCACCAGCGAGTGCGCCAGAAGCCACGGCAGCAGTGGATGCTACTGCAGCGGTCAAACCGGCAGCCCCCACAGTGCCAGTCACTTTAGGATCCAACGTGGAAAATGTGGAAGTAGAAGTGACTGTAGCTTCCTTGGTTCCCTCCGCATCATTGCTTGATCCACTGCCAACTCCAGGGGCAACGACAAACTTCTGCTCTGGTGGGATTTGCACTGGACTTGATTCCTCGTAGAGTGGCTTTGCTGGGCTGTCCTCTGAAGGCTGCTCGCCTATAGCGTTTCCAGCAACAGAAAACTTTTGGTCTGCTGGAATCTCTACTGGCGCTGGTTCGACATAACCATTGGTTGTTGTTGTTTCATCTGTGGATTTGGCAACAGCTGCACCTGTAGCACCACCAACAGCCGCAATAATAGCACCAACAGTACCTACCTTCGCACTTTGATCATCTGTACTACCTTCAGCTGGAGAGAGCTTGTTCGTCACTTCTGCAGCAACACCCTCAGTTGCAGATGGAGCAGTTGCAGGCGGAGTTGGTAAAGTAGTCAAAGCATCGGCAGCCACTTGGGTATCTGTTTTAACGTTCTCGACAGGGACGTCACCAGTAAAGACTGCGAGTACCTCTTTCTCATTCTTTGCCTCTTCTGCAGTAATTGGTTCAAGAGTGATGTTAGGATCATCAGCAACAATAGCGATAACAGGGTTACCTTCATCAATGACCTTAACCTTGAATTCTGTAGCTTCATCGATCATTGGCTCATGTACGCCATTCTTGACAGCTTGAGCCTCGGAATCAGCATCAACATCGCCAGTGGTCGACTTGGTGGTGTTCTCAGGAGCCTCCAGTGTAGGTGTGTCAGCCTGAGCAGTGGATGCTCCTAGAGGCACCTCTGCGTTTGTTTCAACTACTGGTGGAACAGCAATGATCGCTGGAGCAACAACCTTTGGTTGGGGTTCATCCTGTGCATCTGCGAATGCTTCAATCAGATCACTCTCGATGGTTTCAACACTAGAAATGTCACCGTTTAAGGCACCAACAGGGACCTCGCTATCTGCAGACTTCTCCACTGGGACAGCAGCTTCGGATTCAGTGACGGTCGACTCTACTAGAGTTCCTGGAATTATGTCAATCACAGGCACATGCTCCTTATAATCCTCACTTCCTGTGTTTTCTTGCTCAGTAGTAGATTGCTGGAGTTCATCACCGGTGGGTGTAACAGCTGATTCAGTAGTCTTCGTGACAGCAACAATAGCAGGCTCTGTGGCAGCAACAGAAGCAGATTCAGGTAAAGAATCAGAGGCAGTCACAGTCACAGGTTCAGAAACAGACTGCACTGCTGGTTCCGTGACTAGTGGTTCAGCCTCGGACTCTTCCTTTGGTTCGGTGACGATGCCTGCGTCTTTTGCATCAACAATTTCGGCAGCCTTAGCCAGTGGTTCCGTTTCAGACAGCACTACTGGTTCAGAAGGAGTCTTGCTGGTAGCTTGGGGAACTTCACCTGATGATTGTGGAACTTCTGCAGACTTAGACACTGGAATAGTACTTGCTGCTTTCGTAGCAGCACTTCCCGTGACATCAGCTGCCTTGGAAGCACCCGTAGCCGTGACAGCAGCAGCAGTACCAGCAACTGCAATAGTACCACCAACAACTCCTGCTGCAACTGCGCCTCCATGATGATGCTTAGACTCCTTATTCTCACGAGACTTGGATTTGAATATGGAGAAAAGACCAGATTTCTTCTTCTTTTGCTCTGAAGACTTCGTTGGCGTCAGCTTAGTAGATGAATCTGTCGATTTAGAAACAGCAGAAGGAGCAGAAGATACAGTCTTTGAAGTGCCTTCAGAAATCGCAGTGTTGGCTCCAGTACCAGTAACGCTAGTTGCAGCGACAGCTGCAGCTGTTGTAGTAGCAGCTGTGGCCACAACAACAGGAGCGAAAGCTTTGGCTTGAGTAGCGGATTCTGTTGGAGCAGCCGACTTCGATACAGGTGCCACATTGGCTTCCGACGTTGACACTGGAGCAGCAGCTTTAGAAACTGGAGCCTCTGTTTCAACAGCATTTGGCACAGAAGAATGTTCGTTAGAAGATACTGTCGCTGCTGCGGCTGCTGAGGCTGCCGAGGCTGCTTTAGCATCCTCTTCATCCTTAGCCTTCTTCTCTGCAGCTTCTCTAGCTTGTCTCTCCTCCTCAGCCTTGGCTGCTGCAACTCTAGCTTCCTCATCAGCTTTTTCCTTTGCAATTCTCTCCTCCTCTTCCTGCTTCTCTCTGGCAATTCTTGCTTCTTCATCAGCTTTTTCCTTTGCAATTCTCTCCTCCTCTTCTTGTTTCTCTCTGGCAATTCTTTCCTGTTCCTCCTTCTCCTTTGCGATTCTCTCCTGCTCTGCCTTTTCTTGGGCAATTCTCTCCTCCTCTTCTTTTCTCAGACGTTCCTCCTCTTCTTTTCTCAGACGTTCCTCTTCTTCTTTTCTCAGACGTTCCTCTTCCTCCTTTCTGAGACGTTCCTCTTCCTCCTTTCTGAGACGTTCCTCCTCTTCTTTTCTCAACCGTTCTTGTTCCTCCTCATAAAGCTGTCTCTTCTCCTTCGCTTCTTTCAATCTGCTAGCACGATCACCAGCCCCGGCTCTCAGAGTTACAAGCTGAGTTTTCAAATCTTCCAAATTGGCTTCAGATGCTTCCAGTTCCTTCTCAGACTCCTTGATCTCTGTGTCCACTGCCGTATTCTTTTCCTTAGATGCAGCAATATCAGCTTCATTCTTAGAGATTTCTTCCTTCAATTGGGCAACTTTACTATCAAGTTCTTCTTTAATAGCAGCATGTTCACCGTTAATGTCGTTTTGCTTTGCCAATTCACGGTCATTCTGAGTAACTTGTAACTGCAACAGCTCCAACTGCAACTCATATTCAGATCTCTTTGCCTGTAGCACTCTTGCTGCAATCTCAGCTCTCTTTTGGGAAATGACGCTGTCGTGAATCTCCTGCAAATGTTGCTTCTCTTTCGTTTCAGCGTCGAGCACAGTGGCTTCCTTATCCTTTACTAACTTCTCATCAGCCTCAGTGTTGAGCTTTTCATGTTCTTCAACTTTAGTTTCGATTTCACCATGTGTCTTCTTGTCAAATGCAGCTATTTGTCTGTCGTAATCAGCAATGGACTTCTCGAGCTCTGCAATTCTGCGATCATGTTCAACGTCAAACTTGTTTCTGTCAAGATCCAATTTTCTCTTGAACTTGGCAAATCTTGTGGAAATCTTGTTGTGATCTTTCAATGCATCCAGCTCTTTTCTCTTTTGACGCTTCTGCTCTCTGAGATCGTGCTGCTGAACTGCCTTCTTATCAATTGTCTGAAGGTCACCGGCCAGTCTAGCCCTGGCGATATCCAGGATTTTACTCTCGGGCATCTTCAAGCCACCACCAAGATCAATGATTGGCTGGACAACAATCTTCTTCTTTGGAGCTTCTGTAGTTGTAGCAGGTCCGTCGAACTGAGATTCAACAGTCTTCTGAACAGGCGTTCCACTGGCAGCCTCATCCTTCCCAGTAGTGACACTTTCAGACATAACACTAATCGAAGGAGCTTCAACTTTTGAAGCACCAACTTTTGAAGCTCTAGCTGGTGAAGAAGAGCTCTGAGCAACAGAAGAGCCTGGTGCCCTACTGCTTCTGAACGGAGAAACCCACTCTTTTTCGTCTCTCACAGTGTTGACCGCGCTTCTGAACCCAGCTGCTGTCACAACCTTCTCAGGGGATATCGCTGACATGACTGCTTCCTTGAACTGATGCTTTTATTTGGCTATCTTCCTCAATTGATACCAGTATTATTTGTAAGGAGTAAAAGTTCCAAAATGTAAAATTTCAGGTGGAAGCTGCTGCTGTGTTTTTTCGGTTTCAGAGGGGGGTTTTCCCCTGGAAGCCTCCCTCTTCGTTGCTTTCCCTTGAAACTTTGCCTGTTTGCTGGTGGGGAGATAAAGTGGCGCCAATCCTAGCAGCCAGGTTCCGAATTGGGACAGACTTCTACGTCATAAAGACCGAATTTGGCGAAAACACTTGACCAATGTGGAAATACGCGAGTTGTGGTAGCGTCCGAAGTGGGAAATAAGTAAACACGTTGGTTCCCTCTTGCGTATGCACAGAATTATTTGTCTTCTAATCGGGCAGAATTATTACACCGATCGTTGTCTATGTGAAGTTGTTCTTCACTACGTAGTTTGTCTGTTTTGCTTAAAGTTGATTATTATGAATTGACAAGATTAAATACTTTACTATGGTCCTTGTTGGCGATTGCCCGGGGCTTTCTAATTGTCTAATTCTTTTTTAGTAGTTTTAGAGAAGTTGCGCTAGGGCCACAAGAAGGAAGGCATTGACTCCGCCAGTGGTGATGAGTTTTGGTGCTTCGTTAGCAGTCGAGTAGCTTTCAATAGACGTGGTGGAGGTGACTGCAGATGACTGGATGAACCTGTTTCCTTCTGAGGTGGTGGTAACCTCCGTTGTGGTATCCTCCGTTGTGGTGATGGCCTCCTCTGAGGTGGATGATAGTGTTGTTAGTTCTGACGATGAAGTGCTTGATTCTCTTGTGGAGGATGCTCTGGAAGATTCTGAAGCAGATGCTGATGATTCGATAGATGACTCTGACGATTGCGATGAAGAATCCCAGGGGAAAGAAGCAGACTCTGACGATGAATGCGATGAGGACTTGGACGATGAATGAGAGGAGGACTGTGAAGACGAATGAGAAGACAATTGTGACGACGAATGAGAGGAGGACTGTGAAGACGAATGAGAAGACGAATGAGAAGACGACTGTGAAGACGAATGTGAAGACGACTGTGATGACGAATGTGAAGAAGACGATGACTCTGAAGAAGACGATGACTCTGAAGAAGACGATGACTCTGACGACTCCGAAGAGTTGGATGATTCAGAAGATGAAACATCCTCAGATTCCCCTTGACATCCGGAGTTGTCATCGAGACCAGAGTTATCAAATGAACAGATAGCAGTATCAGCATTCGTTATCTTCACTGTGTCTTGGTTGTACTCACTGTTACTGGTGTAGACGTAAGCGTTGGATCCATCAATCTCAGTACCACTTGGCACATCTCCACATTGAATGTATGCATCCTTAACAGTAACATAGTAATATCCTTTTTCTTGAATATCCTCAGAGTCCCAATCAACAGAACCACCAGCCCATTCTTTTGTACCCTCACCAGCACTCTCAAGAACCGGCCAAAGAGATAATTGAACTCTGGAAGGTGTTTGTGGGAAGTCATATTCATCAGTTGCAGAATTGTATGTATCAACTTTATTCAATGTTCTAACAACCTTACCATCAAGAGACCATGAAACATAGTCCTCTGTCCATTCAACCTCGTACTTATGGAAGTTTTCGAATGTATTAGACAAGCTAAATGCTTCCATGTTCTTCCAATTCTCAACACCTTGATGGAAATAATTCGTTTCAGCTTGCTCCAAATTGTAGTTAACAAACTCCCAGTCAATTTCATCTTGAGTGTTGGAAAATGAAATCATTGCAGAGACAACACCAGCACCACGGGAAGTCTTAAAAGTGGCACCGAATTTACCATACCATAGGAATCTCGAAGATGACACGACTGTACCCGTTGAATCCTTTGGCATCTCTATGAGTAACCCATCATCGCTATTCTCGACGTACCCAGTGTAGTACCAGTCTGTATCGTTTGGATTTCCCATATACTCTTCAACGTTCGGGAAACTCTGGGAACCAAAAGTTGTTTCAACATCTTTACATATTGGCATTGCCATACATGCTTCTGGCTTGAATGAATACTTTGGATTGCATCCACCCAAACAATTAGCACCAGTGCCACATGTACCAAACTGACCACAACAGGGCGCGCTCTCTGGACACTGTGATGAAGACGAGCATGAAATCGTTGCCTGAACACTCGAAACGAGTCCCAGTATGGAGAGAACTGCAATTGGTAACATGATTCAAATACTCAGTATATACCACAAACTTGGAAAAAGAAGAAAACTTATGAGCAGGGAAGAGAAGAGCATGGGGAGGGAACCGAAGGAGCAGGTTACAATTTATATGAACAGAAACGAATTGTTTCTCGTCGATGCGTTAATTAGAACTGTGCAGATCCTGCAAGCATGGCCCTTTAAAGCGTGAATTACGCGCATCAGGGTGCCCTGTCCCAGCTTTACGAAGCGCCTCACAGTAAGTCAATTTTAACACTCCCAGTGCTCAGATCTAGATCCAGGATGACATGTAGGCTCTAAGAACGATACACCTATAATAGAGCAGTCAGTGGCTTGTCTCCATGTCGTTCAATAAGTAATCCTTCTCTTTCAACTCCAGCCAATTGTTGCTCATGTTTCCATTTATAGACCTCAATAAAGTTGGTTGAAGGCACTTCGACCACGCGTCATGGCGCATGGGGCAGACGTATATGGTATTTTTATTATCGTTTTGGGAAATTACTGTAGGATAAGTTTTCCTTTGCCCCAACCGGCATACGCGTGAACTCGACGTTGAAAGAGTACGAAGGGCACATGCCATGTGACGTCTGCTTGTATGTAGTTAATCAACGCCGAGTTGGTAGGTAATTGAGACGCTAAAAGATTGTTGTACATTAAGTGAAGATAGAGGATTATACTGGGGAAACGAAACCGGCAAAAAACAGAGCCTGGTGATTGGCTTGTCTCTGGCAGTTGTATCATAACATACTAAATATAGATTTTCTTCTTTGAAAGTTCTTGTATTCTGTTTATTTTACAAGACAATGTACATAACACTGCTTTGCTATTTGTCTTGTGACTCTTGGTGGTGCCGAGGTAAAGTCTGGTAGTTCCGTTTGTTGATAGTATCCAGTGTCATCTCATAGTAGTCGAAGATTAATATGTGTGGCATCCCCGTGCTAAAGATCTTTCTGTTGCGGAGAAGATATACATATTCCCATGCTAGTCATTGCTGGAAAAGCCCCTTGTGGGTGACCTCACACTGGCTATCTGTTCCCTTGGCTCATAATACGTATTCCACAGTAACTACCACAGTCGCGTTTACATAATCACCATAAGATCCCCTTCATAGTATTTATCATAAATACTAATAGTAAGTAGGGATTGTAACTACGCTGTGTGTCTACCCCTCCTGTCATAAAACTCGCACATGATTTATAAATGGTAGCAGATATTGTTTTTCCAATTATAGCAAATATACCCTTAACTGAGTAGACTGAACTATGGACTATACTCTCATGAAGCCCGCCGCCAGTGAATACTCACTCGTAGTGCATCATATCAAGTTTCATAAGTACAAATTGATATTGATATAATGTCCATATGCTGTCCTATCCCAAGTCTTCTGCTATTCCAGTAGCAAAATTGTTTGATATTTTTTTTCTCTCCTTTTTCACCTTCAGTCATAAGCAATTAATTCTTTCGTATCTTTGACGTCATCTTCATGGACGTCATATTTATATTCATTAGTGTCCCAAAATGAACCTGTTTGCAGGTCTTCAGCGAGTGACTGAAGACTCCTGACATGTCCATTTCAATTTTAGCAATATTGTATTCAACCACTTCCTCTTTCTGCTATTGGAGAAGCAAAGCATGCCCTTATTCCGCATTTGCTATCTCGATTGCAAACCCAATGATAATTAGCTCGTTATCACTTCCCAAGCTCCATTGGGGCTTTGCCTTTGTTCTCTTCTTCTTCAGATTCCTTTTAGCTCTAACCGGTCCTGAAGCAGTATGTCTATAAAGGAAATCCTCCGAGAAAAGCCTTATCAACTGTGAAGCAACTTCCTCCGGGTCCAATGAAGCCGTGAGAGCCTTCAAAAGTGTCAAGTTAACGTTCACTGTCTTTTGAACGCTAGACTTGCCGGTTTTATTCAGTTCAAACTGAATGCAAACATCGAACCGATTTTCCGGGTAGTCATGTATCAAAGGACTTGTGTCTCGACGTCTGTCGTGCATTTTGAGATCAACCACAAGGAAATCCAAGACTAGCCATTCTATAAGATCATTTTCAGACACTTTCACTTCATTAATAGGTCTGGAAGTATCAACATGGAATCGGTCGGTATTGATGGCAATGTATTTCGAAATAAACTTGGAGTCAATAATCTTGGAGCCAAAGAACAGTGCCTTGTGTGGAGAAAATCTCTCCTTCTTTTCCACTCTGTACTTCTTAGCATTTGGTTTTATAGTCCGTGGAGATGTAGGTGTACTCAGAGGCTGATGTTCACATCTCACTGAAGCCGGTGGAGTGGGATGTTCAGAAAAGCCTTCCTTGTTTAAGAACAGAGGACCGTCGAGTCCGGCACCGTTTGTTGTGTCAGTATTAGACCATTGACGGCTTTTATGGGCTGATGGTGGAACAAGACCCATCGATGGCTTCGGTAGAGGGACAGTCGTCATATCCTTGTTAACTAAGCATTTCGGAGGAGAAATGGCTTCAAGCTCTCCAAACTCTTGAGCGGAGGGTAGTCTGCACAGTCCACGCTCCCTCACCTCCTCAGTAGGCATCAACATCGATTCACGGTACGAAGGCACTAGTGGCACGCTATCATTTGCTCTCTGTTCATCGACTAAAGGCCCAAAGTTTTGGGCGGGCAATGATATCTGTTTCTGCCGCTGTGGCAAATGCTGATACAACAGCTGCTCCGGCACGACTTGACTTGGGTACTGTCGGCTTGGTTCAACACCAGGAGGAGCAACTAACTGCGCCGGATAAATGTACACCACTTGTGTAGGCACTGTGATACCGGTATACCATGGTTGCTTCGTGGTTGTTTGTTGTATTACACTCGCTCCGTACTCAGGGTGTATACTGACAGACTGAGCGCCCTGTGGGACGTGAAAGGGGGCCTGATAAATAAAGTACGACATTTAACACCAAAAGAAAAATCGCACAGCGAGTTTCGATGCTTCGCAAAAGATACACTCAACTCAATCTCTTCCACTCAGTCCCTATTTATACTCTCCTTGATGTCTTTATCTAATCGGATGGCTCAGAAAAATCCAACTCTTTCATCGTAAATTTTGTTAAGTTGGTGCCCCATATCGGTTTAAGATTTCTCTTCCGACACGCAAAACAGCAGGCTGACAGCCTCGTTCAGAAGTTACAATGCAGCCCACGCCTAAAAAAAGGTGGATCAAAACATGACCTCCGGAAGATGGTCAGCATCTCGGAGGGCGTCGTCGGTCGATGAGTGTGTGGAAAAGATGAAAGGGAACGATTGGATCAGGCCTTTTTTGTCAAAGAGATCTTCATTGGAGCGTTGTGGAAGAACTTCAAGAACCAATGATATCCAATTCTGCTGTCTGAGCTGAAGAGCGTCGCTGGCTCCTCAAACAAGAATGTTTGGGATTAGCCAATCCGGACTATACATGCTTTTGCATCCCTCGTGGGTATATACATTTAGCGTGGACCAAACAATGTTCACTGCCCAATATACAAGTATGTCAACGCTATGTGTGACATGAGACATACGTACATGTATAAGTTGACGATCACATATGCTCATTCGAAGTATAATTTGAAGTGAAGTTTGGGCGGAGCTTGAACCTCGATATTTACCGTTGTGCCGTCACCTCTTGTGCTGTAAGGAAAGTAACTAGCCAGTGGAGGGTGGTCAGTTGTTAAAACGAATATGATTGTGATTAATGTTACCTGGCTCTCGCCATCACCCCACCAATATGTGTATGTGACTTTTACACGAAGATTGTGGCCAAGTTGTTCTTCTTCGGTCCTGAGGATTAAAATCACGTTCACCACATCATGAGAGGAACCAATAGAGTTTGGGGTATATGATACACACGGTTAAGGGCTTTATCTATTACAAGTTTGTTGTACGGCGCCTATTAGATGGAAATTGATAGTATAACATCTCTTGAAAACCCCCCTTTAGGACCCTGGTTTTGATACTAGTGATACTTTACAAGTTCACTGAGCTCATACTCAACCGATATAGCTTGTTCTAGAGTATGTATCAAGGCAACGATCTGGCCATGTTTGCTGTATAACTGACATGCGAGGAGTTCGCAACACAACAAATGAACAGCATGATCCAATAACTCTTTGCTGGATCAAATATCGATATAGCGTCCAAGGGAGTTTTGTAAGGCTTGAATGAACATGAGGCTTAATCAGTCATGCAACAAGTTGGAACTTAAAAGCACTCGTTATGAACTATATGCATACACGTATCATCTTATGTTTCAAGCGACTGAGGTAGCACAGAATGTAAAAGTCACTGACTGAAGGAGTTCCCATCAAAAGGTTCAGAATCCGATGCATTTGACGTTTTCTACAAATTTAGAAACGGGATGGATTTGAGGTTTTTCGAGGTTACAACCTTTCATAAGCCGTCAAAGACCATAATACATGGTGCATTTCAATAACATATCACACGTGACTCACATGATCTACAGGAAGACTATACTAAATTTTGTTGTAAAAGCCTTCAAAACCATTAAACTGCATATAGCTGGTCAAATGTTGAGATATAAGGAACAAACATTCAAGATCATTTCACAGACACGACTTTCGAATGGATTGGTACCATATTGATAGGATATTTAATAATGTTCAAAGTAAGAAGTATACTTCATTACAGGTTTGATATGAGTTTTATTGACTGATGAGTTATTACCCTGTCCTGCTTGTGGGCTCTAAAGCCTCGACCTGCATTACATCGTCAAAGTCGTGAGTTTTCAAATATAAACTTTGATCTCAACACGATACCAAAATGCACACTTTGCAGTCAATGAAGCGTGGCACTGTTAAAAATACCGGACGCACAGATGATCCCTCAGCTTTCCATATGTAATATTTACTTCATATTGCATATGTAGTAAGTTGTAACATATGTGGTACATTGTAACATATACGTTGTAAAGGAGACCACTGGTTCGAATTTCCTTCTTTGGGCTGTTGAAGTTTGCTTCTGTGCAGTATCTGCATGGATCAGGAAACAATCACACATATTAGATACCAAAGAAATACTCCACGTCACGCTAGAATATTTTGAGAGCAGTTCACGTATATTCTGTTCTCCAGTCAAATGAGTACGTACCGTCCTTTTCCTGTGTTGGAATATCTTGCAACTTTCTGCAAAGGACATGCCTTCTGTTCATTAAATGTATAAGCGACATAAAATCTCTAACATTAGGTTATAGCTGTAAGGCAGCGGCACGCGAGGTGGTACTATACATTACTATTTTTGAGAGTTTTGCTCAAGGTCAGGTCATATCCATGTCTGTCCCAATAGTTAGCCATAACTGTCTCATCGGGACCAATTGAACTAATACACAGTCATTCAATAAGAAGGGTATGCCAGGCCAATGAATCTCATGAATTGTTGAATAGAATTCTCAGTTGTTTATATCACATTAACAATATTTCCGCGTTGTTTTGGACAACCGTTTGCAGGAACGTGTATACGTGTAGTAAATATGGTGACAACTGTGAAGTCATGTTAATCTAGCGAGGCGTAGAAACCAATGGTATAAGGTACAGCACAGAGCTATTGGGGAAGTTCAGCCTGTACATCCGCCATCCAACTTATTGTATAATTGCAATCGAATTCATCTTAGTAATCATGCACGTTGTAAATTCGTTGAAGTCGATATTGAAATTGGTTAGAGGTTTGGCTTGACGTAATCAGTACCGATGGGTTAATAACAGTGTCAACAAAGGTCTATACGACTTCTAAGTAGTCCAAAGCACTGTTGAGTTCTAGTTAAACCATGTTATCTCTGGTATATAATATGGTTTTCCTTGTTATATTCTTCATAACTGTCGTCGAGCAATTAAGCCTGGTTTCCTACTGTCGATTATATGCAAACATTCCTATAAGTTGCTATGTATCACTAAGATCCAATGTATCCTTTAGCATGCCCATGCGTGTGCCTTTTAAGTAAAAGAAGCAAGTAGATATCGATGTCCTGGTGATCAATATGTTGTGTGACGTTTTAAGATTCGTATCGCTTTAGTCTCTGCTAAGCGGTGCCACATATTATAGTCGGGTTTCAACATTCACCAGAAGTTACGTTTCACTTCCCCGTCCATTTTTAACCTTCTTTTTAGATAAATGGATCAGCAGCCGGATCGATCGCCTATCGCTTGTTGCATTGCCTTGCATTCTTCGTTTATTCTAGATGTCTTATAAATTCTTCCAGTGTAGTCTCAATGCGGTATTTGGAAGTTACAAAGTATTTGTTGTCCATGCATCATAAGCATGCTTAAACCTATAAACGAAAAAAAAAGGCAATTGATATGCATTATACAGACCTTAGACTATTTGTGCATTCATACATGCAATTAACATGATTCCATAACTTGTGCACAATGCGTAGCCAGAGGATTTCCAGAGGCGGTGAATATATTTATACCAAAATCAAAGCATCGTGTCATTCAAAGGTTTGCGAATTATACTTTGAATTAGGTCTGGTGAGCCATACAATTGTGTTGTGGACTTAACAAGATAACCCTTGTAAAGGTAGTTTTGTTGTAAAATCCAGTCCACAATATCCAGAATACATGAACGCGGTGACCAATCGGGACATTAAAGCATGAACTGGTCAGCACATATTTTATTGACCATCGTGTCACATATTGAGTTTGACTTTTCCTACAAGGGAATGGCTGTGCGATATGTAACATTTTCAGTTTTTCTCAG